GCAACCCTGCTTCCCCACAAGACAGCATCAAAATATTAGGCAAAATGCCACTTTTAGAGCAGGGGCGTCGCTAGCCTTTACAATCTCAGGTGGCTCAACTAAAAAATTTTTTATTACAATCTCAGGAGGCTCAACTAAATTTTTTTTTACCAAACCCCTAATTTGCAGGCCTTCGGCACGCTTTTGCCCGGCTTTCGGCCGGGTTTTATATTAATTTATTATCCTTTTTAAAATTTGCTAACTCTGAACAATTATTCTAAATTTCATATTTTGTCATATATTATAATATGCATAAAAAATAAACTAGCATATAAATAATTAAAACTATACAAGACATTTCTAAAAATAATATTTTTTAATACAAAATCTATTTATTAGAATATAAAGTATTTTCGATTGATGGTATAAAAAATTTTGCGTCTAAAGAATTACAAGTGATAAAAAAGGTTAATTATTTTATACACATGCCTCAATTGATATGGTTTCTAAAACCACATAACATAATATAATTCTTAACAACTCACATTGACAAAAGGTCATGTAGCTAATATAACTCTGTTAACATTTTAGACATGTTTTATAGGAAATATTTATAGGCCTAACCAAATCAACAATTCTTGAAGAAGAGAAAATCGACTAATCCAAATCATAAAACTATATGGTGGTTAGAGCTTCCTTTTAGATAACACGATGGAAGCTAGATAAGTATTCGAGAGAATTATTGTGAGATATTAAATTTCTATAAGATTATCTTCCATTTTTAATGATAAATAAACGACTACACATTTAATCATTATTGCTTATCTAAAATATGCAATCATATGCTCTCAGCTGTTGTAGTAATAATCTTAAATTACATAGCAACACAAATAATAGATGATGGTTAATTTGCAGTAATAGCCATGACACTCACGATGTAAATTAAATTATTATGTTGGATAAATTGATAAAATAAAAACACTAAAAATCTTTGGAAGAAATAATTGTGCAAATATATTGAAACCTTGAGTTATTTACACGGCAAGGATGCCATATTAGAAATGAAACATTTTTGAACAATAAGGACCAGAATGATATGATGAAACAATAAGATTTTATATATTGTCGCACCACCTCTAATTGGTATATTATATCTTAAAATAATAGTAGTTTGTAAAAATATCAAAAATATACTTGTATTAAAAATTTAACTCAAAACTGTTTTTTGAAAAAGAAAAAATAGAAAAGATATCAAATTACATCTATTGTATAGGATGAACACTAAAATGTTTTATTTTTAAAATTGTTTATAACTAAATAGAGGGCGTTAAATATTGAAAGCATATTGTTACTATATTTATTATCAAAAGCATTTATTAGTAAAATTCATTATAATATTAGCTGTAATATATTATAACTGTCAAATACGTTTAAAAAGTGGCATTTTATCTAATATTTTAAAAACAACTCTATATAATAGAGGATTATAAACTATATGTCTACTTACTTACTTTTTATTTTACTTATGTTATTTGGACCTTAAAAATATTTTTAGGAATAGGTATGATAATTAAATTTAAAAATAAATATACAGTTGATTAGTCATTTTGAACTCTGCTAATTACAGTATTAAATTTTTTATTTTTCAATTAATAAATGATTATTTTTATTTAATTAGGGTTATAAAATTAATAATAGTGCTAAATTAATATTTAGTGAGTGATATTGATATTATATTTTTAACACAAAATTTGATTGCTAGCTGACATAGTTAAAATATAATTTATATGTATTAATTTAATCTAATATTTAAAATAGTATTCATTTAATAAATATTTAGATAGTCTTATTAATTTTTAAATAATGAAGTCTATATTTTACTTATTAGAATTATAAAAGAAATCTTGGGCAATCAAAAAAATTTTTTTTTAGTTCAAAGGGTTAAAAAGAAAATATCAATAATGAAAAAGAAAACACTAGGAGAAAAATAGTTTGGAATTCCACTTGAAAGTGAAGGCCATGACCCACTACATAAAATTAGACCCCTAATAACTAACCAATAACACTAAAATCTTTATCGATAAACGAAACATTTGCGTAGATGAGCAAATTATTCCATACAAAGGGATAAGCAGGTTGAAACAATATAACCCTCAAAAGCCCAAAAAATGGGGCTATAAAGTATTTCTACTATGCGGAGATGATGGCCTTCTGCATAATTTTGAAATATATTCTGGGAAAATTAGCAGCGGAAGGATTGCCTGATGTTGGAGCAAGTGGCAATGCTGTGCTCCGTTTAATTTCTTATATACCGCAGCAAATTAATTATAAATTATTTTTTGATAACTGGTTTTGTTCCCTAAATTTGCTAGTCGTACTCGCTCAAAGAGGGATATTTTGCGCGGCCACGGTCAGAGGTAATCGACTTCCAGATATAAACTTCCCAACAGATAAGGAATTTTAAAAAAAGGCGAGGATTTTTTGTTTCAAAAAAAAACAATAATAAACGGAGTGGAGTTAAATTCAGTGAAGTGGCACGACAATCGTGCTGTGACTTTATTAAGCACTTTTGTAGATGCACATCCTCTAATAGACTGTGAAAGATATGATAGGAAAAAAAAGGAAAAAATCATGATAATATGTCAATATTGTTAAAATATATAATAAATCAATGGGAGGTGTAGATCTCATGGATTCTTTACTTTCCTTATATAGAATTCATACGAAATCAAGAAAATGGTACCATAGAATTTTATTTCATATGTTTGACATGTTACTTATAAATTCATGGTTGCTATATAAACGTGATTGTAATAGTATATCAATAGCACGCAAGGATCGATTAAGTTTGTACAATTTCAAAATTTCAGTGGCGAAGTCCTTTGCAAATATGGCAAATGCACTTCAAACAATATACCAAAATGAAAATCAGTTCAAACTGGTTATCGGGAAGATTCCATTTAAAAAAATTTTTACTTCAGGGGGGCCATTCAAATTTTTCAGTGCTCGAGCCCCTGCGTCCCTCCCAGCGACACCACTGTTTTAGAAACATATTTGACAGTTATATAATATATCACAGTTAATATTTTAATAAACTTTACTAATCAATGAATATAAGCAACAATTTGCATTATTCTTTAACACCATCTATTTATTTTAAATAAAAAAATATTAATAAAATTAATCATCTTGTTATTTAACCCAGAATGGATGTAATCCTTATTAGATGTCTTTTTTCCTTCTCTTTTTTTATGTGTTTTAGGGAAAGTTATTTTTTTCTTCTTTGAAAAACAGTTTGAGTTTAATTTTTATTGCGAGTATTTTCTTGATATTATTACAAACTACTATTATTTTAAGATATGATACCAACTAAAGGTGGTGCGACAATCAAATATAAAATCTTAATTGCTTTCATCATATTACTCTGGTCCTTATTTTCTAATTACTAAACGATTCATTTCCAAGATGACATCCATACCGTGTAAATAACTCATGGCTTCAATATTTTCATAATTATTTCTTAAAAAGATTTCTAATGTTTTATTTTATCAATTTATGTAACATAATAGTCACTGATTTGAATTAAGATCGTGAGCATAATAGCTACGACCTCAAATTAGCCAGCATCTATTAATTGTAAGTCTACGTAACTTAAGCTTATTACTGTTGCTGCTTAGAGCATTTGATTGCATGATTAAGAAAGAGGAGAAACAATGGTCAATTGTCTAGTCTTTTATATATCATTAAAAATGGAAGATAATCTATTATATCTCACAATAATATCTCGATTACAAATTATTATTTAGCCTCCATAACATCTAAGAGATTTAGTTTTATGATTTGGACTAGTCGCTTATTTTATCTTCTTCAAAAATTATTGATTTAGTAAGGCCTACAAATTTTTATATAATAGTCCATTCTATAAAATATTGTCTAATTGGTAATACAACTTTATATTAGTTTCATGATCTTGTGTCAATGTAGGTTGCTAAGAATTAATTGTTCAGAGTTTGCAAATTTCAATTAAAAAGTTATAATATATTTATATAAAACCGGGCAATATCGGGTCGAAGGCCCACAAATTAAGGGGTATGAATGGTTTCCCCTCCCTCCTCCCATAATTTTTTTAGCTTAGCCTCCTGAAATTGTAAAGTCTAGTGGCGCCCCTTGTGGTTAACTTCACTCTTAAATAAAGAGGTTCAGGGGCTAATAATAATAGAAATAACGGAGAGGGAGTCACAGCTCCAGTAGTCCCACTCCACTTCCGCAATACACTCTTTACTACAACGTTTGAAAGTAAAAAATAAATCATTTTATTATAATTGGGAAGTACTAAGTTTATAAAAATTTATGGATTTTTTTTTATGGTGGTAATACTTTATAAAAAAACAAATTTTCAAAAATTTTTCATTTACAAATTATAATTAAAAATATATATTAAAAAACAAATAAAATATTAAAAATGAATTAAAAAATATATATGTATAAAAGAGAAATGAGATAAAAAAAATAAAATTTAAAAAAGGGTACAAATCACCCTACAAAAATACTCAAGTATGTAGCCATAAAAAAAATATGAAAAAAGGGGAGTCAAATTTAACACTTTTGAAATTATATTTAAATTTTTAGGAGGGGTATTTTTATTAATCAAATAAATTTATGTGAAGGGTGATAATCGTGGTAATAAAATTTATTGCGATTGAATCAATAAAAAATACTCGTTTTAATAGACTTTGTAAGAAAAGATATTGATAATGTTTTTTTTAATCATGATGCTCAAATAGAAACGGGATGGCCGATCATTGTTACATTTTTTACTCTCATGATGTGATTCATACACTCAAAGTTTAGCCGATTATGTGGCCCTTGATCCTACTAAATTACCCAAATGTGTTGTTTATATAACCTTTCAAATGTTAAAATTATGGTGCCTTTAAAAAATTACCGTTTGTTGTGAGATCCATTGAATCTGCATAAAAAATCATATGGTTGATATCATTATATACCTAAAGGATCTTATATCTTCTATCGATCAAATTTTTATTTTATTATTTTTTTGAAAAATTTGCCAATATTGAAATTTTGCCAAATTAAAATCAAGGATAATGGATTTTATGAAAGATATGGTTAAAAATGTGACCAAAGGAGGTGGGGCAACAGATTTTGTTGGTGATATGGCATCAAAATTTATTCAAGGAGCAACTGGTGGGAGTGGACAATATCAAAATGGACCTAATGCTGGACAACAAGGGAGTTATGGAGGAAATCAAAATATTGGAAATCAAGCCGGTGGAGGAAAAGGAATTTTAGGTGGTTTTGATGTAAGCAAAATGATTCAAAGCGTTCTTAAAGATGGGAAAATTGATCCTTCTCAATTGTTTAAATCTAGTGAAGGAATAAGTTCCATGGCTACTGCTCTTTTAGGTAATTCTGGCGTCGATATTGGATCTTTGGCTGGAGATGTTACTAACAAATTGCTCGGAGGAGGGCCTCTTGGTGGCTTTGCATCTGGACTTGTTAAATATGCACTTAGAAGAACATTAAAAGTTTTTTTTTTACATTATATATTCTATCATAGCATTAAGATGATAAAAATAAAAAGAGTTATGAAAGAAAAATGATTTATTATGTAAGATTAGTTAGGGAAAATATTTAAGAAAGATTCTTAGACCTCTTAGTTTTGTCATATATGTGCCCGACAACTTTAATTTAAGATATTACAACAATTATATTAGAAATATTAAACATTAAACAAGAAAAAAACTAACAAAAATCAGTCAATAAGTAATGAATAGAATGAATTAAAATAAAATTGGTATTAAATTTTATTGCCATTACTTTATATTTTAGAAAATATTATAATTTTGTTTTATTAAATCTTAAATATCTACTATAGCATCTGAATGTTATAATTGGGGAATTAAAATTAATATATAATTGGCTTGGTGATATATTATATTTTACCACTACTGATTTTATATTTATTTTAATTTTATAAACATAATATCATAAATAAGCTTTTTTTTAAATTTTATTAAAATTATTAGCCCTAATAAATGCTCAGACTTGTTATTACTTTCAAAATGTATTGATACCAATACAAATTCTAAAAAAAGTTCATCCAATCGACAATTTTATTTAATGTAAAATTTTATAGAAATAAATAAGGCAAAATTATTATATTTTTAAAAATAATGTGTGAATTTTTTGGGCATGATTAGCATGATAAAAATTTTGCCTTTCATATGTGGGCAGGTTGCTAAAAAATTGAATATCTGATGTAAATTGTGAGTGGGTAGAATTTGAATAAAAAATAGGCCATTGCTCACCTTTAATACAAATATATTTCCTCACATGTAATATTGAACACATTAAGAATCAATAAAAGTGTTGAATATTTTATAGAATATTTAATTTATTTTCATAGTCCTTAAAAGGGAAAAGAAGATTTTCCTTCTTACCTATCAATTTGACACTGAAAAAATTCTACAATTGTGGTAACGGATAATGTTTTATTTTTTAATTATACATCTAGTAAAAATGGTAAAATATTTAGTAGTATAACTTTTTAGACATTTCTAAATATTAATTAATAATATCATGATTGATGATACTTGTTAAATTTTAATTATATTTCATCCAATTAAAAAAAAATTCCTATAGCTTGACATTATTGTGATATTCAATTTTGTAAATTTAGACCTATTTAAAAAGGAAAATGAGCTATTCTTAATTAAACCAATCAAATAAGAATAGTAAAACCTGAATTTTTGTATGAATACAATATAGTAAATTATTCAGTTTGTTTAAAAGAATCGTATATTGAATATGAATAATTAATTATTCGATTAGTCTTTAAATAAGTTTACTGTAAACCTTATAATGGAAAGAAAACAAAGAAAATAATAAAAAAAATTTGTTGTTCACACAAGTAAAAAAATAAATAAGTTGATAATTAAAATAATTTTTTATAATTTTGTTATCAATCAATATAAATTTTCTTTAAATAAAAACGAGCAGAACAGTTTCAATTTTTTGGGAATATAATATTTAAAAGTATTAATAAATCATCGATTTCGAATGTTAGTCGTTATTTATTTTTTTCTATGAATGTAATCGTATATTGTTATTGTGTTTTTATAATATCGACGTCGGAGAATTAGGTTATTCCATCTCCACTTTTTGTAATTTTTATAGTTGAGAAATTTTGAAAATTAGGTTTTCTCTTATAGTATAACTTTATAATTGGCTATTTATTTAACTTATATCTTGGATTTTTTTAATATAAATAGAATTTATAAAAAATTAATTAAAAAGTCGTTTTTGATCAAAAGTTGATAAACAGTAATTTCTTTGTAACTTTAACAAAAGGAAGTGAAATCGACGGTCTTTTCCCAAAATATTTAAATATATATTAATTACATTTTTTTTAACTTAAACAAACGGATAAAATTTTGAATTGTTATTTTATGCTTTTACTTAAAGAATTTAGAAATCATGTTGTATGCTGTGCCTAACTAACTTATCGATAAATATTTTAAAAAAAATTTAACGCGTATCCTTATCTTCAAGGCTATAATATAATATAGAAATTCTTAGCTCAATTATTTAATTTTTTTCTATTAATTATACCAAGTTTAGTTAGTAAAAAAAATATAATTTTAAAAATTCGGGTAATTAGGTTAGTCTAAGATCACCCTTGAGAGGTTGGAGTTCGTATTTTTGCCCTTTATTTAATCATGGATCGATTTATCAACATTACTTGATAATTTTTTTATAACGCGTTAGAAAGCAACGCGTAAACCGCAAGGTCCGTTCGCTGATCAGCCCATTTACGGAGGGGTGGATCTACCTAAACCGGTAGTGAAATTACCCGAAGTTTCGGTCTCCAACGGCAAAACCTTCCAACAAATCAAGCAGCAATGTTTACAACGGGGAGTCCTCTGGGAGGACCCTGATTTTCCCGCTAACGATTCCTCCTTGTTCTTTAGCAAGGCAGCGCCTAGGAGATTTCAATGGAAACGACCTAAGGTTTTGAAAAAAATAGGGTTATATAAGGTGACTAGGCGCCTAACTAAGGGGGTGGGAGGATCCCCCATCGCAAAATTGCATGTTCTCGTAAATATCATTTTAATTGAGTAAAATCCCCCTCTACACAACCCCTAACCACCCTCTTCTCCCAAAATGTGTATAATATATGAATCAGCCTGCAAGCTTGGTCCTAAATTCCCTAACCGAATATTTTAAATCGCCATTATTATCTATAAAAATTAAAAATAAATGAATTAAATTCTGGTGGGATTTGAAAATATAAAACTCGGGCCGGGCCGTAAATTTTAAAAAAAAATCCTGGTCAGGCCATGCAGATGATACCTCTGCAGGTCTCTAATTAGTTAAATTTAATGACTTTTTAAAATAACAATTATAATTCAAAATTTTTTAGGAAAATTTATTTATAACGTATTTAAATTATCCGATTTTTTTTACTTAGCCAAGTTTTTTTTTTTTTAAATCGCATTATTTTGTGGATCGGTAGGCGGCCTTGATTTGGTACCTCATGTTATGTATATATTTTTTAAACACAATATTTAGGAAATATGTCCTAATCCTAAATTAATTGTCCAGGGAGCTTCAAGATTCGACGTAATACAAGGAGAATTGGGTAATGTCATTCACATTCTCATTTGTATTTTGATGAATTTAATTTTTTTTTTGATATTATAGTGTGATAATAGCTCTACTGAAGGAAATTTTTTAATTGGATGAGAATATATTTGAACAAGTAGTAAGGAGAGTGAGATTAAAGAAAGATATCGGTTAGAGTTAAAATATATTTTAAACGGTTTTCAAATAAAAATTTAATTGTTTTATTAATTACCTGTCAAATATGACAGGTCAAGTGATTGTAAATAGACGAATAGAAATTTTAATAAATCAGCCGTTGTAGCAATCAAGAGTATAAGTGCCATTTATTTTAATATAAATCTGGGTTTGTATTTTTTTTATATTTATTAAATATTAAAAATATATTGATCGTTAAATTTTTTTCCTTTCTTGGCATTGATCGGTATTATAAATTATAATATGGTTTTTTACTTTTTTTTTAAAAAAAAATAAATATTTTTTGCTTAAATTTAATGAATAATAGAGACTTAATAAGTCGCCGAAGGCCACCAATTCTTAATATTTTTCAAAATTCAATTCCTAGTTCGGTTCCTGGAAATTTTTAATAAAATTTGCTTCCTGTTCCTATATTTGATCCAGTTGTGTTTCCTGTTTTAACTGCTTAATAATTGATGAATATTTTCAAGAAAAATAAAGCAGTATAATAAATATACCATCTTAAATGAATTATAAAATAAATTTTACTTCATCTCGTTTGCACTAATTTATTTTATTTGCGTTTGGGTATCATAAAAAATGTATTTTATTTTATATAAAATAATAGATATTCTACTCTATACATAATAATTGGCTTATAATATTAAAAAGTTATAATTAAGTAATATTTTATTTTAAATTTCGCGAGAAAACGAATTATAATTTTTATGATTTTTTTTTCCAAATTAGAACTTCTTCGGTTTTTTGTTTCTTCATTGGTATAATTTATTCTTAGAGAAAACAATCAAAGATAATAACTTCAAATATAGGCTTTTTTTTTAAATTAGCTACAATGAGTTAATTAGGTATACTATAATAATGCTCTATTTCTCTCTTGTATGGGAGTTGGGTTGGGTTCGGATAAAATGAGTGTTAAGTTTATCAAAATAGCTAGTAATTCTCCAAAACTCGCCTTTCCTAATTATTACATACGATATAGACAAGGTCATTTATATTCGAAAATAAATTTTGATGTCAAGCGTTAACAAAAAAATTTATGTAGTATAATGTCGTCGAATTATAATTATTCATACAATTTTAATAAAATACAAAGTAAAAATTTTATAACAGTTTTTGCAAATTTAACCGAATTTTTTTTTTTTTTTGCTTTTTGACAAAATATTTGGCCTATGGCTTATTTAATCAAAGATATCTATTTTTTAATGGGCAAATATTGCGAATATTTTATTTTTTGTATATTCCCTCCCCCCCCATCCTTTAATAAAATGAATCAGCTTTATTTTAATTTAATTACTCTGATCTTGGTAATTAGAACTAAATTTTAAAGTGCGTATATTTTTGTATTCGGTGATCAAATGCCCTTTTTAAAACAATCTTTTAACAAGTTGGGAAATTATCTGGAATAATGAGGATCTAAATGGAAGCTGATTTTAAGATTTCGATTCTCGAAGGAATAAAAAAAAAGAAACTAAGATACCTCTCCACAGGATAAGTTTTACATGGGCATCCAAATGGTATATGTCCCGGCATCCCGAACCCAGCCCCGCTAGGTCCGGAGCTTTCAGGTTGATGAAGGGAATTTGAAGAAAAATCGTTAAGAAACAATTCCCCAATGAATATTAAATAAATAAGTTAGTTTTGATTCCAGTGTCTGCTTGAATTCTTCCGTCTAAAAACTAGTTACGGGATTATGCCCTGATGTGGATAGATCATAATCTATACGAAATAGCTATGGACAGTTTAAGATTAATATTATATTATACCCGGAGTTTCATATGCTAAAAAGAAACATATTTTTGCTTGATTTTCCAAAACTATATATGGATTAATGCCTGATACAGGCTGGGTTTACTTTTTTTTAATGCGCATTGACTATTCTCCTACCTGCCTAATGTTGTTAAACGACTTGATTTTGAAAATAACATTCTAAAAAAAAATACTACGCAAGCTTGGAGATTTTGCTCTTAGATGGCAGAAAGATTTGGACATCTATTAACGATATCTCGAGGCTCGCATAATATTATTTTTGCTAAAACCTTTATTTAAAATTGGGTAAATCGAGCCGTTTAACAACACTACGTTCTTCTTTTTTATTAAATAAACACGAAATCATTTTTTTTTAAAAATATTATAAAATTAAAATATTACATTTTTGATGAATTCGAGTTGTAATGATCGGATCCTCATAAATTAGATGTTTTTTTTTTACCTTTATAAAAAAATCGTTCCTATAATAACGTCTAAGAGTCTAATATATATAATTCTATTTTCAGGTGAGTAGTATCATATATACGACACATCAAACATACATAAAATAATTTATTGTCGCAGGAGATTGTTGGTTGTTAGCGGCCGTCGCTTGCCTGTCTCTGAATACTAAGCTTATTCAACGAATCGTTCCTGCCGATCAAGGTTTCGCCCCAGGCGATTATGCTGGAATATTCCATTTCAGGATTTGGCAATACGGAAGATGGGTAAAAATTACATTATTTTTTTTCTTCACTTTACAATATGGCGACAAGTGGTTTAGATTCTGAGCCTTGTTTACTAGTAAAATATTCTTAGATTTTATGGTTGGGTTGGCAAAATATTTTTTTGAAAAAATCAAAAATATCGATTCACTAACATTTAATTAGTGAAATTATAGATTTAGATTGAAAAATATCATACATTATGAATTTTTTAACCTTTGTATAGTATTTCTTTGTAAGTAATGATTAATGAATTAATTCTTCAGGAGATCCGGTCAGGAAATTATTGAATATTTATATATTGATAAATCATAAGCTAATTTGATATTCTGTCAAATGAAAATCCGGCTTTCAATCAAAAAGTCAATAATTTTTGAAAACTGTCTAAAAAAAATTTAATTAGTCGATACCAGTGAGTTGGAAAGAATATCGTTCATTTTCTAAGACGAGTATTATTATGAATATCCTCAGATAAAACTGTTGAACCAAATTTAAAATTTTATTTTTTTGACTAATAAAATAATGATGGTTTTTATTTTAAATTTTAGCTACTGTTATTTCCCAATTAAGTGTCATGATGCATTGGTCAAATTTAAGATATTCATTAATATACCATTAATTTAAAATAATCTTGGTTATTAGTTTTGTGGTAATTGTTTAGTATGTCCAAAAAATGTTAAAACTCTGGTAAAGGCTAGTTCTTCAATTATATTATGTTAAATATGGTTTAATTAATCTATTTTCTAAGGATAAATCATTTGCTTATAACAAAATAAATAAATCAAATGAGCAATCTAAATTTTTAAAATGTTTTTTGTTATTTGACAAGATTAATTATTTTTAAATTAGATTAGTTTATTTTTATTTTATTATAGAGTTGTTTTTATAACTCACCACCTGAAAATCAACATTATTAAAATACTTTCACCGACATATTTCTTATTCTATCATCTAAATCCCAAATATGTTTTAAATTTATCAAACAGTGAAACCGAAATGGCAATGAAACATGGCTAATTTTATATCTTCAACCAATCTCTTATCTATCGATCATGGTAAAACTTCAAGATTCATCTGACTTGTTAAATAAAATTTTGTTTTCCATAATAAAAAATATGAATGATGATTAGCCGGATCATTTAATTTATAGTAAAACAAACATTTTCATCATATGGAGTGCATTCCAAACTTAGGAATTGTTTAGGAAAACGAGTTTTCTTACATCAAATTCAAATACCAATGTCTAGTACATGAAAAATTGTAATGCATTCTCAAAGTTAGGCATAAAAAATCGATCTTAACTAGATTTTGGAAGATATCATGATAATTCTCTTATAAAACTTAAAAGATAAATATAATATTTTTTAAATTGTATTATATTATTCTAATAGTAATAAACTGTTTGTAATTTTACTAAATATTATAATTTTTTATTTTTCTGACTACAAACCCTGAAATCGAACAAGATTCAGAGATATTTCACGGAACAAGAACCCCTTTTTTTTAGTTTTTTTACGATGCAAAAACAGCGAAAAAATTTTCTAAACCCACCTTAATTTTATTTTTGGGATCTAGTACCGGACCGCTATTTGAGGCCAATTGTAGTACTCTATCACAAGCTATCCACTTGCCTAATATGTCACGAACCAGTTTCTAATTTGCACTACAATTAAAAAAAAAATATTTTTGAAATTATATGACTACTTTATTTTTGCGTCTAATAGACAAAAGACACGTATTCAGTAAAATTGTATATGCAGTTACTACTCTTATAAAAAGTATTAATACTTAATTTTGAGAGAATATGATCACTTTATTTGTGTGTTTAAACCTTTCATTGAACAAGGTGTATTTATATACCAGTCTTATTAAAAGTATTCGTTTAAAATCCATTTGGACAAACTAAAATATGTATTTTTATTTAAAAAGGAAATTAATTTGATATTATATATTTTTATAATTCGATGTTTTATAAATTAATATAATATTATTATTATAATTCGATTTATAAATTGGTATAATATTATTATTATTTTACAAATAATACTAATGTTAACGAAAACTGTTATTTAAATATAAGAATCTTTTCATTAAAAAGTAGGACTTAACGTGAAGCGAATTAACATATACAAAATAAAAATTATCGATTTTAATTCTTAATTTTTTTTACAAAAATTAAAGTGATTTTATAAGTGTAATTATTATTCTACGAGGTATTTTTTTTTGTGAGATGATTCATTTATCATTTCTTAATATCTTGTTAAAAGACACAAATTTATATTAAAATATTGATTTGTATGTAAACAAATCAATCACATTTGTTACCAAAAATCGAAATATTTTTTATTTTTTATAATTCAAGTGTTCTTTTTATATTTGATTTCAAGTTGAAATCAAATTTTATTTTCGTAATTTTATGTTTAAAAAAAATACATTTTAAAATAAACTTTCCGAGTTTTAAATAATCATAATTTACTGATTAGCTTTTTTTTATTCGTTAGTGCAATGGTTTTCTTCTAAGGACAATAATGATTTGCTCTTTTAAGTTGTTATCATGGATTACATTATATAATTAAATTAAGCTTACCAAAAATGGACACGGATAAAATGATATTATGATTAATTTAATTCTTAGAAGAAATTTTGACAGAAAATACAAATTTTTTTTTTAGAAGAATAAATAATTTTTTTTAAAATCGATTTTTATAAAAAGAGAGAAGTAAATTAAGGCGTTTTTGAAAAAAATATTTGAATAATATTGTATTTTCACTATGAATTTTATACAACTTAAGATGAGGGACTATTAACTTATTTTTTTATAATAAAAGTAAGTTCTTAATTTAGTGTTTCTGATATAAAAGATTAAAATAATTTAGCTTTATTTCATTTTAAACATATGTATGATGTCATCGAATCGCATCTTAAAATTTTTGCCAACAAACATTTTATTATATAAAATACAATATTTATATATAGATTTTTTTAAAAAAAATCCAATTGTAAAACATTTAATACAGATCGATGTAATAGTCGATGATCGATTACCAACAGCTGACGGACGCTTAGTTTTCATGCACTCGGCAGACAACACCGAATTCTGGAGCGCCCTCCTGGAAAAAGCTTATGCCAAGTTACAAATCTTTTACATACAATGGAAGCTTATGAAAAAGCGAGGCTTGTGAATTGACCAGAGGCTCATAATAACTAAAAAATTACACTGAGCATAATAAAAGACAACTAAATTATAAATAATTATTGAATAGATTTATTTGAAATCTATTCAATAATTATATTCCATTTATAAATAAATTAGGAATTTAATATGTACCCATGATTAATATTTTAACAGCGGCATTGGGTTAATATTAGAATTCACAATTCGCATACTCATCTAATTGTATCGGAAATATCTGCTTTTTTGTTCTTTCACAGTAGCATAATGCCAAGGTGGCAAAGCGAAAGGTTCAGCAAATAGAAGGAGATCTTAAGAGTCTAAATGATATGAGTTTTGAGTTAGTTTAGGAAGGTTAGAATTTTTACGCCAACTTCATTATACGTAGGTGTCAGAAAATCATTTATGGATTTAATTAAGAGTATAATGAAATATGGAAACATATAGAAGAAATGGGAGAGTTTGTTTGATCGTTACATGAAAAATATGGACGCATAGCTGCATATTTGTTTAAATTTGAATTTCTGAAGGTCTTGTTGAGAAATAAATAAATAAGCTCGATTAAAGTTTTTATAGCTTAATGTAGTGCAAAGTTATGGAATTGAGAGGGGATCCTTATACCTATCTTTGAACTATTATAGATTAGAAAAGAAGTGAGATTCCAGTATAAAAACGGAGTGGTGATGTATTTATAATGTGAGTTCTGGCTGGGCTGCAGATTAAGTAGCTTGAAAGGGAAGAAAAAAAGAATCAGAATTATGGAAAATTGGATAGAAAATATATCTCCCACGACTACATTTTATAGCCGCTCTGTCCTAGATGATTTAAACGAAAACGCTACTAGATATTGTAATTATACGCCTAGTATTGTAGTGCATTCAAATTAAATATAGATAACTAGTTAATTTTATAATTACTGTTACCCAAAACAAAATATTTAAGGAAAATATGTTCCAGTGTTTAAAATGTATCTTGTAACTATTTTGGATAACAACTATAACTATTTACTTTTGGAATAGTTACGCATATTCGCTTATTTAAAAAAAATATATATAACAAGTATCTAGAAGCAGTTACCTTTTTGATCTAACCATATCTATACTTAACTTTTAAAAAACCATAGATAAATGGTTTTTATGAACAACAAAAATAGTTTAGCGCTTTATGACCGGCATAGTCCATCATACATCAGAGGCGTCACTTGCTTTTAAGATTTAGAGGCGCAAAAAAAAAATAAGTTTTGCACAAATAAATTTTAGGCGCGTTAAAATTAAATTTAGACATGTCGAACATGCCTCGCTTCCAGCACCCACTGTCATACTTTAGCCTGTATCTTGAGGAAAGATGCTATTGCAGCTAACTAAATTATATTTTCATAACTATCTAAATTAAACTTAGATTTAAATGAGAATATTTTAGCCAGAGAAATATTGCTTAAGCCTCGAGATTTTACGAATAGATGCCTAGACCAATGTGCCATCTATGCCTAAAATCTTCAAGCGTTCATATATTTTTTGTGGATAAAATAGTAAGTTTACCTTTTTTAAAAATCCGCCTAATAATTTTTATCTTTTAACCAGGGACACGGAGCAAGGGATTTTTGCGTTCCCGTTCCGGTTCGGTTACAGATTTTGGAACGTTCCTATAAAAATATCTAAATATATTTTTTAAAATCTACACATTTTGATTAATTTTTATTTAATCATTAAATGAATCAATTATTACACCGAAGCTATAATATATTTTCTAAAAGATTATCATTTATATTGGTTCTTTGTGGTGTTAGTATAAAATAAATTTAAGCGTCAAAAAACAACGTTCAGCACTTACCTGGCTACATGGAGTTGCTAATGCAAATTTAATTAAAATGTTTCCCCTCTACGACTTGTTTGCAAATTGTTATTACCTTGCTAGCATTGTATAGTTTTAATATGATTAATGATTATTTTTAAAAAAAAATTATTAAAGAAAATAAAAAGTAAAAATTTTTTTTAATTTATAGAAATAAACAAGAAATTTATATATATTTTTAGGAACGTTTCGGGAAGGTTCGGGAATACATATACCGTTCTCGTTTCATAAATTTACTCAATGTTCCGTTCCACCTGCCTAGCCCTAATAATTAATACAAAAAATTTTTTTAAATAATTGTAATAGATTTTTATAGTTATTATATTTCCGATTTTTTGGAGTTATAAATGACTTATATTATAATTAACTTAGTTATATCTTTTTTAGATGATATATAATGTAATTATATTAAATTATATCATTAAATGGTCAGTTTAATATAATATAAAAGCTTTTAAAAACGAATAAAGGACAATGAGAAGATATAATCTTTAAAAAAAAATACATTGTTTTAAAAAATCATAATATATTTTATGTTAAAATGATTTATTTTTTTAAAAACACGACGATTTATTTTTCAGAGTAAATGGCTCTTACGAGGCCCTGAAAGGTGGGAGTACTACAGAAGCTATGGAAGATTTTACAGGAGGTATAACGGAGTATTACGATTTAAAGGAAGTTCCCAAGAATATATTCTCTATCCTTTACAAGGCTAATCAGAGGTCTTCTCTTATGGCGTGTTCTATAGAAGTAATCACCATTCATCACATCTATCCCATTATTTATGATTATATAAATAGTAAGATTTTTGAAAGAAAGCATATTTATTTATTTTTACAAATTTTTTTCGTATATTCTTAATTAAAATCTGTCATGTTGTAAGAACGAGTTTTAAAAAAAAAATGCATACGATTCAAATCGAAAATAAGTTTATCTAATCTTTCAATGAGATCAATTTTTTGTCGCTTCTCGTTTCTGGAAATTTAGCCGAAAACGTTAAATATATGTTTATTTTTTTGATCGTAAATTATTTTTATAAAATTTTGCAAAAAAAAAACAAGTTTTTAATGTCAGCTTCATTGGGAATAAAATTATAGGTGTTCACATTCTGTAATAAAGTTTTTTATAAGAGGTGTTAAAATTATATAATAATCTTCAATTTCAAAATGGTGATATTCCAAAGGCAATAGTGAGTTGGAAAATTCTTAAATATTAGAGAAATTTGACATATTTATAACTTGTAGTTCCCTTTCATCGCTGATGATTAGGAATCTCCCTTATATCTCTTAGAAAATCAGGAACATGATATTTCCTCCATTTTTATCGGTTTTTAAAAAAATTAATTTAAATCTCCTAGCATATTTTAAATATATACTTAAAATTAGGAGATATAAGCGAGATTCCCAATTTTTGGCTATTTTTGTTTTAGCATTATAAAACCTTTTTTTAAATCCTATTTTTAGCCCGATCCGCGTATCATGGAAGCTAAATTACCAAATGGATTGATAAAGGGACATGCCTACAGTATCACCGATGTTAAAATGGTATTTTTAATTTTTAATATACAAATATTTATTTATCTATTATTTTATAATTATCAAATATCGGATAAAATTTTTTTTGAAAATAATAATCAATATATTGTGCGGTATAAAAATTAGATAAATATAATTTAATTACAAGTATTTTATACCAAAAGTAATTGTTAATCTTTAATTATCTCGATAATTATACTTCCTTTTTTAAAGATTTATTACTATTTTACTATATTATTAACAAGAATCAGAGCTCTGCATCAGACTTATTTTGTTAAGTGTGACATGACCCGATTTTCTTTATTATTAATTTATCTTATCGGATCCCAAATCCTATTATAACAAAGTCCTTATAAACTGAGTCTTGGACAGACCCATACAGGACTCTAGCCAGAGTCTGTAAATTTTTTTGTTTGTTTGTTGTAGGTCGAAACCAAGCAAGGTAAAGTATGCTTGATAAGGATGAGAAATCCTTGGGGCAACGAGGCTGAATGGAATGGACCATGGAGCGACAAGTTAATACATATTAATATTTTCTTATTTTTTTTAAAATTATATTCAAAAAGATATTTAAAAATTGCATATTATGATGTTTATTTATTTTTTTTAGAATTTTGTTTGAGATCACCACTTATAATACTTAATAACTTTATAAAAGCATTAAATAAAGGGGGGGGGGCGTTGTGTGAAAATTATTAAAAACTCTTCACGAAGAAATCTGGCACTTAAATTTTGGCTAACTTTCAATACGATTTAGTCGAACTTGTAGCCTAAAAAAATCGACTTAAACAGCGTAATTGAGTAGGGCAGAAAGAACCGTTTTAGAGTTGACCAGCAATAAACCGTATAAACGGGCCCTATTTTTTGTATTTTTGAGTTGGCCAGAGAGTTAGATGATTTTACTAATTGCATTATTTATAAAAAAGCCCGATGCAGGGTTTTATAACCTTCTTTCTTTCAAAATTCAACAATTTTTTTCTTAAATATTATTTTGGACTTATTTTTTTTAAAACAAATAATTATTATTTAAAATAGATCTTCAGAATGGCAATATACGTCGGCTGAAGAGAGGCAACGACTTGGCTTAGTTTTCAAGGCCGACGGTGAATTTTGGTAATTTTTGATGCAACCGTTTTATATATATTTCAATATTAATGTACCTTATTATAAAATGGTTTAAATTTTGCGCATCCTTATATTTATAAGATATCTCATAATTTACAATTCCAATGATAATTGACTTATAACCCTGCATTCATAGTTAGTCCGAATTCTCGGGTAAATATACAACAATTAATGTAAAATTATTATGTCAATATCATATATGATGATTAATAATGATTTAGATAGTTTTTTTTTTTACAAATTGCTAATAAACAAAATTTACGATATTGTTACAAATAAAGGATGTCCTTGAAAGACTTTATGAGTAATTTCCAAAAGATAGAAATTTGTCATTTAACTCCCGAAGCTTGTGAGGCAATTTGGTGCGAAACCGCTAATCCTAACACTGCTGCGTATAAAAAGTGGGAAGTAAATCTTCATAACGATTCTTGGGTCAAAGGAGCCAACGCGGGGGGCTGTAGAAATTTTATAGGTAAATTTTTACTAACATTTCGATTTTTGTTTATATGATTTTTTTAAAAATATTTATGAGCTGGGGGACTATAAGTTAGTATAATCCCAAATAAGAGATTTACCTATGACTCAGGGTATTGTAGTCAGATGGTCTTATATATATCATCTAGTGCTGTAGACCATCTAAAAAAATCAATCACCTTCAACGTTCATTGGCACGATTAAATTCTTTTTAAAAAATTTAATTAATATTTAATTAAATATAAATAAATACTGTAAAATTCGAAGTTTTGAATGAAAGAAATTCAACCCCAATTTAATATCTCATTATTTTTACTAACTTTTAACACCAAAATTTACATATAAATCTAACAACATTTCTTTTTTTTTATCTTTTACAATTCAATTCTAATAATTAAAATTTACATACTATGAAAATCCTTCAAATATATTATAATAAATTAAAATTTTTATCAAGCAATCACGACAAATATCTTATATTTTTTATTTAACTATAATAATATAAAACCCTTGATAAAAACTTAAAAATAATAGCAAATTTCAAATAATCACACTAAAATAAATAAATTCCTAAAGATATTAACTATTTATTTAATATATAATGATTTTTACTTTATTTATCTATTTTAATCATCATAATAATTTAAATACAACAATCTAATATAAATTATTAACAGGATACTTAAAATAATAAATATTACAATCAAATATTAGAACCTGAAGATTTTAAAACTGATATACTTTTCGGACACATTTTACACCTGGTAAGGATAGAATTAAGTTATTGAATATATGATGTTACTATAGCATTTATTATATTTGGCCATAATGATCTTAACAGAAGTAGTTGCTGGTAAAAAATTTAAATATGATAAAGTAAATAGTTGATTAAGAATAACCCTTTTTTCTTAAAAAATTTGGAGTAATATGAATATTTTTTATTTTCAAATGAATAAAATAAGAATATTTTCTAAAATTAAACGAAGGTAAAGAACGCGTTCGTCAAAAAAGGAACGCGTTCACTTTCAAAGTTCATCAAAAATGAAAGGAACGTCATTCATCATTTTTTTTCATAAAGAACGAACTTCGCGTTTACAACTAGCATCATCTGTTGAAAGATTGCAAGGTTCAAGAATATAAGGTATTGATAATTTATTTATCTAAGGGTGTCGATGCCGACCTTGGCCTTTAATTCAATTAAGGTCATGTCTTGCCAGGCATTTACTAGGAGATTCTATTTTCATATCTAAACGATAATATTTACTAGATCAAGTTTTATAATGTGGCAAAACAACGCCTCTCCTGAAACATCTTTCCTCACAATAGTGACACACAAAAATATTTTTGCACCTTTAATATCAAAAACTTTTACGAATTTATCTTCCTTTTCATCTCTTGAAGACATTCAACTCTTTTAAAACCAAAATAAAAAGGCCACAAGTGGCTGTTAGACTTGCCAAGTAAAATCCTGGTGATTTTAACTAATGAATAATTAACATTTACCTTAAGATATAGACTCAGTAACGAGATAGTTCAGCCTCATGATTGCATGAACTGCAATTAGTAAATTTTAAGGGAAAACATGGCCTTAATTGCATTAAAACCAAGGCTGGCATCAACGACACTCTTCGATAAATAAATTGTTACAAGGCTCGTATGCTTAATATTTTAGAACCTTGCTAAAATGATGTTGGTCCAAGACCTGCCTGTCCTATATCCTCTGAACCATTGGCAAATTTTTTATTTCGGATTATACATGTGTCTTATCCTTTCCAACAAATATAAATGGCAACCTCCATACTTTAGAAGAGACTAAAAAGATCAACAAATATAATATAAACCTCAGCAATTTTTAATTCTAGCCATTTGCAACTTCTAACAACCAATAGTTTGCTCCTATCACCTTCGGATTTTAAAAAATTTAGCTAACAAAATTAAATTATAAACACTTGAACCTAGTGATTTTTTATTTCTTAGGCAGAACATACAATTAAATATTTTTAAATTTATCATTCTTTTTTAAGAACACTTTCTTAAAATTATTTTGGCTCGTTACTTTTTTATAAATAGTCTTATTTAATACTTTGGTATATACAAATACAGCATATATTTCTTATATAAAAACAGATAAATTATATAAAAAAAAATTTAATTTGTTTTTGTAAAAATAAATTTTTATTTTTAAAATATAAAATTTTATTTAAAGCATAACTATTCATTATTTTCATAATTCTTATATTCTTACAATATTTTCTTGTAAGGCAATTCTTTACTTTTTAATTACATTCCTTGAAATATAAAAGTTTGACGCTTTAACAAAAGCTCAATGCATGAAATATCCATTTGCATAATTTAATCTCATCATATTAAAAAAAATTAAATTGGGCGAATTTTTATCTTACACCGGTTTGGTACCAGTTTTTATGTCCTACATACCTTTAATTTTTATGATTTCTGACTAAATGTTAGTAATTAATTAGGTGTTATACCAATTATATATGTCCTAATTATGTCTTTTTGTAATATATCTTTAGACACATATTGGCTCAATCCTCAATATGGCGTGACTCTCAAGATAGTTGATGATGGGGAAGGCGAAAATTTGTGCACTTGCATAGTCGGACTCATGCAGAAAAACCGAAGGCAACAACGCAAAATAGGGGCCGATCTTTTAACCATAGGATTCGCAATATATAATGTATGTTATTATATCTATTTACATTAGAAGGTACAAGATTATCGGTTGGGGATTGGATAGTTAGTTATCGTTAGATAGATTAAAATTGAAATTTATTTAAAAATGTTATTAAAATTTTAAAATTGTGTCCACATTAATAATACAGGTTAAATCTTCTCTGGACACCGTAGAACCCCTTCCAAAACAGTTTTTCGTGTACAATCAGAGCGTTGCTCGCTCGCCAACTTTTATTAACCTCCGGGAAATAACCGGAAGATACAAATTGCCGGCCGGCTCATATGTTATAATTCCATCCACTTTCGAACCGAATCAGGCTGGGGAATTCATTCTGAGAGTCTTTAGCGAAAAACCCTTCGACGGAAAGTATATTTGAAATATAGTAATATATATATGACGAAGCTAAAACAGTTTATCGGTTTGCATATTATTCACTCACTTTTCCACCATGTATTAGTGTTTAGGATTAGGAAATGTTATAGACGATAAAATGACATTTTAATATTAATTAAAATAAAATCATATATTAATTAATAAAATAAAAATATTAATTAATTAAAAAAAAAATTATTATAATAATTATAAAAATATAATATAAAATTAATTAAAATAAATAATAATAATTTTAATATTCGTATGACCTTTTATAAAATATATCTCGATTTTTTCTAACTTATTTCATTTCATTTTATTTTTTATTCAAATTTATATTTTAAAATAATACTATATAAAGTTTAAATTTTAGATATTTAACATAGTGTAATAAAATTATTTTCTTAATCATAGCTAGCCATCAGGTGTTTCCATCAGGAAATGATTAATTATAAGATTAAAATTTGTCAATCTCAAAAGTTATCTAATTCTCTATAATGACTTTTATAAAATTATAAATTTTTTTTGTATATATATAGTGGATTGGACGAAGAAACTGGTGTTGATCCGCTGATGTCCGAAAAGGTGAAAATAATAATAAATCATCATTTAAATTCTCTCATTATTGCCGGATACGAATAAACTAAAATTCGATTATAATGATCGATTCAGAATTATAATTTTTAAATAAATAATATATAAGATACCGGAACAAGTGGTCCAAACTGAGCAAGATCAGGAAAAAATGATGAAAGATTATTTCGATAAGATAGCTGGAGAAGATTTGGAAATTACTCCTTATGAGCTGCAAGATATTCTTAACTTTGCCATGAAAAAAGGTAAATTATTATATAAAGTTAACTAATCATTCAACACGTGATATTGTGATGCGATTTAAACTTTGTTTGGATAAACCTTGATGAATAATTATTCTTTATCCCTTATATCCCGCCAAGTTCATCCCAAATAGATATATCAGACACCTGCAGAGGTATTATTTGCACGGCCCGACGCTGATTTTTTTAAAATTTTTTATAGGCCCGGCCCGGGTTCTATAGTTTTAGACCCGGCCCTGCTCGGATTTTTTTTAAAAAAAAAATTTTCGGCCCAGCCCGGATTTTTTAAAAATATATTGCATATATTTATTTTTAATATTTTTAACATATAATAGCGATTTAAGATATGGCCTAGCCCGGGTATTTTTAAAAAATTTTTAGGCCGGAACCGGGTATAGTTAAAAAAAATAAAATACAGCCCATGTACCCGGGCTGGGCCTGCAAGTCTCTGATATATATAGTTTTTATAATTATTAAATTTGTATATATATTTGCGATAACTTAAAACAATAATTTTAGATTCGAATGAGGGCTTTTCTCTCGAGACAACCAGAAGTATGGTCGCTATGATGGACTACGACAAATCTGGCCAATTGGGTTTATCAGAATTTATGGATTTATGGAAATCTATCAAATTATGGAAAGTTTGCCTTTTGATTTTCTTTATTTAATAAAAAAAATTTAAAACTTGGCTATATCATTTAGATCAGATTTATAATTTAGGATTCATTTCATTTAAAATACAATTACTAAATCAAATTAAAGAACATAAATTATAATCACGCTATTTCTTCGTTATCTTGTTGCTAACCTATATAGTTAAACTGTTATAATTAAGGCTATTTTCAAACAATTCGATCGCGACAATTCGGGAACCCTTAATTCTTACGAACTTAAGGACGCTTTCCATTCCGTGGGTTACAAACTAAATTCTAACGTATTTAAATCCATGGTTTTGAGATACAGAAACAAGGAAAATCAAGTTTCCTTCAACGATTTTATAATGTGTGCCATCAAGCTTAAAGGCATGATCGAAAAGTTTAGAGCTTATTGCACGGAAGATGGGCTAGCAGAATGCGATTTAGATGAAGTTTAGTATTTTATTTGTGCAGTTTATGGATCATTTCGTTCTCGGGGAAATATTAAGTATTCGTAAGAAATTTTAGATAATGATTGCAAGATAAAAGAAATGATGAGCTAAGAAAAAAAGAGAAAATTATAGAGTTAGGTGATTATAAATTAATTATATACTATACATTTTTAAAATATTCATCATCATTTTAAAATTTTTTAAATAATAATTTCTATTATTTTTTTTGAAATTTAAAAAAAAATGTTTTAGTGGTGCCATACTACACTGTACGCTTAAACAATCTAATAATGGATGCAAATCCGAGCAGATATTCTCCTGTATAAAAAATTTTTTTATTGCAATATATATATTTGTTAAATAATACCTTATGAACATTTAGATCCATATATACAATCTCCAAATAGTGACAAATACAACTTTATTACTAGTCGCATATTTATATTATAATATATTATACATTATTTTATTCGTATTTAATTGTGCCAATCATGAATAAATATATTGCTTGTTTTTGTACCATATCTTTCAACCATGTTATTTAATATTTATTAAATTATTTATAATAACATCATAAATTTTTTAATTTTAAAATAAATATTTAGAAATTGTACTAAGCTTCTTACAGAAAAAATAAATAAACTATGGAACTTAATTTTGTGTAGGTAAGTTGGTTTATTTTTTTAATTTTTCTGCTAGGTAATCAAGCCGATTGTACTTCTTTCTTTCTTCTTTTTTTACCTCATGGAGGCAGGGTTGTTAGTTACTCAATTTTCTTGATGTCGAGACAATCGATTTCTGTTGTTTTAGTAAGAATATTACTCCAAATCGATTTCTTTTTGAAGAAAATAACAGAATTAGGAATTGTTAGTTAAATGTCACTTCCTTTAAAGGACATGGTGGGCAGAGCCCATTCCACTGACTTGAGGACGGAATCTGATTGTTTCTTCATAATTTGCTAAATTAAATATGCCGATAATGTATCTTAACACTGAAATATTTTGAGCATTACCACCTTGTAAAATGCCTAATTCTTGTATTCACTGCTAGTAAGACGCTTCCCTTGATATTGGGACCCGTTAAATAAGCGACATTTCTTGATATTTGGGACCCGTTGAATAAGCGGCATTGTGATCACATGTATTTATATTGGTTTTTCTTTTTTTCAAACATATTTTTAGATTTATCTTCTTCAAATTTTATAAAGTATTTTACAAAAATACTCCTCTTAACTGATCAATTGGCCGACATGTCCACCCTGCATGGAGGTAAATACGTAAGGAATAATTTTGACTGGTTAAAACTTAAAATTGTCATAAGACAAATAAACTTTGCATGATATAAAATATTATAAGCGGGATTAATTAGAAAAATATTAACGAGTGATAAAATGCCAATTTTTCACTGTTTAATTTTTATTTTCAAGTTTATTTTTAAAAAATAGTCAAGTAAACTACTTCGCTTATAAAACAATTTATAAATAAAAATTTAATGGGAAAAGACCAAAATTTATAAGCTTCTTACAAAATAAAAATTGTCAGAAATTAAAGTCTAAAATATTTTTTTAACAAGATAATTTAAATTCAACACCAAATACTGATAAAATCATTGAAAAATTAGCTTAGTTACAGAAGATTACATATATTTTTTCCTCCTAAATTATTACCTTTCTTTCATTTCTTTCTTTCTATTAGCTAATGCAATTTTAAAAATTTTGATTCTATCTTTTTTAACTGTTAATAAAATTGATTAATAATTGAAAAATATTATGATATAACATTACATTATAATATTTAAAGTAAAATAAAGTATAAAAACAATGGCAAAATATTTATTATATTAAATAATGTATAATATAAGAGGTGGAGTAGTTTTGCCATGTGAGTTAAAGAAACTAAGAGGGATAAGGGAGTACTTCAAAAAACACTTGAATTCCTCCCTTTTAGGATTTTAATTTGAGTTTTTTGTTTAAGCAAAACACTCGTTTTTATCTCTAGTTTTTATTGAAATTTTCTTACCCTATTGATTAAATTTTTTTAATGGATTAGAGACCGGAGTTCCCCCAAAAAAAAGAATTTAAGAGGGACCTAATTTTATTGCATTTTTCAATTTATTGGAGTTTCAAGAGATCAGCGTTTCTATTAGCAAGAAATTAGGTAGCACATGACACATCCCAGATAGGTCTTTTACCGCCGAAAGATGCTAAAGACATGCCTGCCATCTAGGCGCTTATCCAAAAAACATAAAGGCTCCAAACTATCGGGGAAACCGGCGGGAATCAAAGATTTGCCTATCAACTTATTTAAATTGTCATGCTGCAAAAGACGCTGATTTTAAGACAAGAGAAACAATGACTAGAAAACGGATCAATTTGTTTATTGCAGGCAGTTTAGATGTCAACAGACGGTATAAGAAAACTTAGCATATAATTTGAAACTCATCGTTTGTAAGTAACGTTTCCTTTTTCCTACTCGAGAGAGCGTATAGCCATTCATGCCTGTTAGAATTATTTTGCTTTTCTAAATAGTTGAGGGTTAGTTAGATTCATACAAACAAGGTTTTTCAAATGCATATATAACATGGGAACTAGGAAGCTCTTTAAATGGCTGGAAACAGGGTGAACGGACCCTTGGTAGAATGAGCCAAGATTGTTTGGCCGTATCTAGAAATGGATCGTTCAACTCAATCACTCAGATGGTACGACCTCTTATCTCATATTTGTTTTTCACTTCTTTTGACAAGGTTTCTATATGTTGACCTTTGACCTTAGATTACCGAATGAATGAATATTTTAACTATCCTTCCTTTCTTCTCCACCAAGACTTGATAATAATAATCTTGGAATAGGTCTTTGCTTATAACTTCCCAAACCTTACATTATAAATCTTTTATTAATAGTTGCTTGGAATCTTGAGTCCTCTATCCAAGACTCATAAATAAATTCTCTAAACTATAAGAATGAGTGTAATTGATACAAATCCAATACAAATACCAATCAGGGGATCCTTGATTTTTAGTTAAGCCCACCAAGCCTTACTCTGTTTGCAGCTTTCTAAAAAAAATGCCAACTATATCACTATCAGAAATTAATTAATCAAATATGGTATTTAAATTACAGAAATATTCTTGCCTTCCCACGGTTGAAATGTTTCCGTTAAATTTTCAGCATTAGAAATGATAATGAATATCATAGTTTAGTTAAATCAGTTTAAAGTTTGAACCTTAAGTTTTATCTTTTCACAAAATAATAACAGACAAAAATAGACTAGCTAGAACATTCTTATGACCTTATTACCCCAAATCCTTTTGCCCCGCGTGAACGAAATACGATCTATTAATAGTTAAATATCATATATTTTTAGCCAAAATGTAAAATTCAGTTAATCACACTTATATCATAGCTATTTATCTCTACACTCAACAATTATCAAACAACATCATTATAAACAAATATAAGATACCAAATCTTGTTTTAATAGGTAAAATTACTGGTTTCATTAAAATAACATTTTCTCTAATTGCATTGTTCTCTAGAATTGGCTAACTGGCAAGTTACTAATTAAGCCCTTTAATATAATGAAATGAAAAACAAATTGGCGATTGCATCTAATAAATAAAAAAATACAAGAGTTTATTACCAAATTCGTGCCCATTTCTGATATATACAGTTTACTTATCTTGAATGCAAAGCACAGAACTATAATAGTATCTACGCGCCACCCAATAGAAGAGAAAGATTATTCTTCATAGACATCATGATCAAAGTAATTCACTCACCACCGATTAGTCATAATATAATAATTTACGGAGAACTGACCATCAGATTGGAAAAGATGCCGAATATGTAAGTAGTAATATCACTAGGTATGCATACCCTACAACGACCTAATGGTTAGTACAACAAGTAACTTCTTGATTTCTACAAAACAAGAACTTCAGGTAAACATTATTTTAGACACCCGAGATATAAACATATACACTTTTATGAGGGCTCACTAGATCCTAAATCGATTTTTTTATTTACAATAGCCACCATTAGTTTGACGACGTTAAGGCATCAAATACAAATCTATAAAATTACAAGATTCTTATAGCTAAGTTAACCACAATATATTTATGGGGGTTTTACAACACAAATAGCCAAAACATTACTAAACCAAGCACAAATCAATTGAAAAGTAAATTTACACTCAAGCTCAGAAATTTGGAAAGCCCGAAGGAAGACAAATATCTTTTTGATCAAACTTTAAAAAAAAAGACTACTGGAAACTTTTTAAAGCTGACCTAGCAGAATTATATAATTGTCTGCCTAACGTAAGCTGTTTTTCAAAAAAAATGCACGTATAGCAAGAAGTTAGAGAAATTAATAATGGCTTAAAAACGACTTCTGGAAAAACATATAAAGATTACTAGGAGCTATTGACTGATTTACAACTCAAAGAAAGCATTCGATATAATAAGGACATGAAAGAAACAGAATCTACGACACCTATAAAAAAATTTAAATATTTTTGTAAACCTTACAGCTTTAAGAAGATCCCCTCTATAGTATTAGGAAAAGGTAAAGTAATCATAGATCAAGATGACGGCCTTCAACTCAAAGAAGGCATTTCTGCCCACAATATGAACATAAACCCTGCCCCAACCCTGTCTGGTTTCCCTAATGATGGGATATCCAAAGTCGTCAAAAAACTGCAGATAAACAAGACCCCGAGTCTTGAGAACGATTAGCTTTGTTTAATAAAATATGGGAACGGTAGAACTCCCGAAACGGAATACATCTTTCCTATGAACCTCTCCACCAACGATCCAAAAAAATTTTTAGATTAGGCCGTACACCTTACATCCTGTTTTTCAACAATGTTAATCATGAAGTTCTATGAGAAACACTGTTAGAATGTGTTATAGAAACAACAAATTTTATTTACATTTTGAAAGGATTTAAAAAGAAATGTAAAATTAGGCTGCAGTTTATCGCTACTTTTGTTTAACATTATTATAACTAAAGTTGTTAAAGATGCACCTGGAGCGGTCTAATGGATAAAGGATCAAACTATCATATGCAGATGTAGTGTTGTTAATCGGCTTAGCCGAGTCGGCTCGAACAGAGAGCTGACCCAAATTTTGGGTCGTTTTTTTCGACCTAGACCTGAGTTCAAGCCGAAAAAAACGACCTCGACCTAAAATATGGGTCGTTTTTTCAACCTTGACCCGAGTCCAAGCCGAAAAAAACGACCTCGACCCAAAATATGGGTCGTATTTTTCGACTCAGACTTAAAGTTTGGGTCGTTTTTTTTGACTCAGACTTGAAGCTTGGTTGTTATTTTCGACTCAGACTTGTAGCTTGGTTGTTTTTTTCGACTCAGACTTGAAGTTTATTTTTTTAAAACCAATGTGTAAAAATATATTTTGCAAACATGTAAATTAAAATTCCAGTGAAGATATACCATAGGAAAGTGACAATTGTCATAATCGTCATTTTTCAACTTTTTTGAATTTTTTTTAGACAAATGGGTAAAAATATATTTTGTAAACATGTTAAATTTAAATTTCAGTGAAGATGTACCATAGGAAAGTGACAATTGTCATAATCGTCATTTTTGAACTTTTTGGAATTTTTTTAAGGCAAATGGGTAAAAATATATTTTATAAACATGTAAATTTAAATTTCAGTGAATGTGTTTGTACCATAGGAAAGTGACAATTGTCATAATCGTCATTTTTGAACTTTTTTGAATTTTTTTAGACAAATGGGTAAAAATATATTTTGTAAACATGTTAAATTAAAATTTCATTAAGGATGTACCATAGGAAAGTGACAATCGTCATAATCTTCATTTTTGAGCTTTTTTGAATTTTTTTTAGACAAATGGGTAAAAATATATTTTGTAAACATGTTAGGTTTAAATTTCAGTGAAGATGTACCATAGGAAAGTGACAATTGTCATAATCTTCATTTTTGAACTTTTTTCAATTTTTTTAAGGCAAATGGGTAAAATTGGAAAAAGTTCAAAAATGACGATTATGACAATTGTCACTTTCCTATGGTACATCTTCACTGAAATTTAAACTTAACATGTTTACAAAATATATTTTTACCCATTTGTCTAAAATAAATTCCAAAAAGTTCAAAAATGACGATTATGACAATTGTCACTTTCCTAAGGTACATCTTCACTGAAATTTAAACTTAACATGTTTACAAAATATATTTTTACCCATTTGTCTAAAAAAAATTCAAAAAAGTTCAAAAATGACGATTATGACAATTGTCACTTTCCTAAGGTACATCTTCACTGAAATTTAAACTTAACATGTTTACAAAATATATTTTTACCCATTTGTCTAAAAAAATTCAAAAAAGTTCAAAAATGACGATTATGACGATTATGACAATTGTCACTTTCCTATGCTACATCTTCAATGAAATTTTAATTTAATATGTTTGCCAAAATATATTTTAACATATTTGCTTAAAAAATAAACTTCAAGTCTTAGTCGAAAAAAACGACCAAACTTCAAGTCTCAGTCGTAAAAAACGACCTAAACTTCAAGTCTGAGTCGAAAATAACGACCTCGACCCAAAATATGGGTCGTTTTTTTCGGCTTGGACTCGGGTCGAGGTCGAAAAAGACGACCCATATTTTGGGTCGAGGTCCGGCTTGAACTCGGGTCGAGGTCGAAAAAAACGACCCGAACTTTGGGTTGGGGTCGCGACTCGCGGCGTTTTAACAACACTATGCAGATGATTTAGAAATAATATCCAAAAGCATCAATCTACCTCCTAGAAAACTTAAGTTATAGGGTTGGACTAGAGATGAATTTCAACAAAACGGTTATCCTTCCCGCTCCATGAGCCGACAGCTTCCAAATTTTACAATTGGAGCCAACGCAAAGAAAATAGTAGTCAAAAAAGTTGGATTACTCCTGGTACAGTTGCAAAGTGGAACTAAAAAGAATATAAAAGGGAAGAGGTGCTTTCTACAAGTACATAAAATTATTAAAAACAATAGAAATCTTGTTAATCACTAGAGTACACATCATTAACTTGACTAACTCCCATATTTATCTATTGAGGCGACAAATTGGAAATGAACAAAACAGGAAACAGAAAACTTCAATTCTTTATCAATAATTGCCTCCGAATCATAAATGGCATTTTTCATCCAAAAATCATCACAAATACTAATCTCTGGAAAACCTATAATAATAAGCGTCTACATGGCAAAATATTCGCAGGATGCAAACTCCTCTCGAAAACATATACCTACCGCTCTAAAAAATTTTCGCTGCCTTCGGCGCGATGTTCTTACATTTTGAATTTTCTAGTTATAATGGCACTCCCTTCATGTATTTAAAATTTTTCATTACTCTATTAACAACCATGAATAAATGTTATAGAATTATTATTTAGATCGTGAATTATTTACAATGAACGCAATGCATTATTATAGTAATTGTTTTTTAGCATAAATATTAATTTGCAGAATGTCTAATCCTATATAATTACATTTGAAAAGATAGATTTATCCATAAATAAGTTTTATTTGAAAAATAATGACTATAATTGTATACAATAGATGAATTTTGTCATTGTTTAGCAATATAATTATATTATTGTAAAATAGCTATAATAAAAATATTAAAAATATTTTACAACTATAAATTTTGCCGTATTTTATATAAATAAATTGAATACCCCCCAATAAATCTAGCTTACCTCTAACCGCCCTTAAATGCCTACCCCCTACACCACTTCAAATAAATTGGAAGTAAACCGTTCCTACTTATACTTACCCTGCTCACATTAACTGCGCCAATAAATATAACACTAAAAAACGCTGTAATTAATTCGTAGCCTACATAATAAGAAATTCAGACCACAATCTGGTGTACGATGCCATCTGCTCATATTGACTCGCTAATAAATATAACACTAAAAAACCCAGCCCACATAATAAGAATTCAAACTACAATCTGGTACACGATGCTATTACATCGCTTTACACATATAAAGTTAAACCATGGGTGTCACTAGCCTTTACAATCTCGGAAGCAAAAAATCTATCGAGCTCTTCAATCAGGGAGCTCGGGCCCCTGCCCCCCCCCCTCATATGACGGACAAATTATAAATCGCTTACTTCACAGCCATTAAAGATATTATGGGATTAAATATTAATATATTTTTTAATTAAAATAACTAAGAGATCTTAAAAAATTATATCGTATGAAAGAGCGATACCTCAAATAAATTAAGGCTCATTATTCAAAATTCTCTAAATCAATACCATGTACAAATGACAATATTCATATCAAATACATCTCCAGAAAATATTGCGGACAAAATAAGTCCTTCAAATAAATATAGAATTTAATAGATAAGACACATTAAATATAAATTTCTTAATACTGACATTAATCAAGTATATTAAATCCAATGATACATTGATTAAATCTCTCAAAATTGATAGAAATCTATTGACACACTAAAGAGAATTTAAACTTAAAATCACCCACTTCCCACCCTTAAAATAATTAAATTATACTGTAGTTCTCGGGTATAGACATTTTTTGGGAACTCCCTTTGTTTTTAACCTATATACGTTTAAGTAGTAGTTTTCGGGCTGTTGCGCGTACAAGTACATGCGGCTTGCCCACAAACGTGTACAGGGCCCTTTATTTTTTTATTTCTAACATTAATTTATTATCAGCTAGATGAAAATAATACCTAGCGTAGCTCTGTTGAACCATCGACGTCAGAATGGATAAGCGCTATAAATCACATCACATAAATTAAGGATAATAGATTTTATGAAAGATATGGTTAAAAATGGGACCAAAGAATGTGGTGCATCAGATTTTCTTGGTGATATGGCATCAGAATTTATTCAAAAAGCAACTGTTGCGAGTGAGCAATATGAAAATACTGAACCCTTTCAATTGTTTAAATCTAATGAAGGCATATATTCCACGACTACTACTCTCTTAGATGATTCTGGCATCGATATTAGATCTATGGCTGGAGAAACTACTAATAAATTGCTAGGAGGAGAATCTCTAGGTGATCTTACATCTGGAATTATTAAATATGCACTTAGAAGAGTATTAAAGGTATTTTAAAATATTTATACAATATATATTTTATCACTTTAAGTTGATATAGGTAAAAAGCATTTTTAAGCACTAATTATGAGAGAGAGAAATGATTTATTGTGTAAGATAAGGGAAATATTTAAGAAAGCTTCAACTTTTTGATCTTTAAATGATTGGAAAATATATATAATATGTCATATTAGTACCTACAACTCTAATTCAATAACCCACTAATGACCCTTAATTTATTTCTGGATTTAGAAGATTCGGTTTAGTAATAATGAATTAATTCATTTAATACTCAACCACCCAAATATTACAACACTTATATTGGAAATATTAAAACAACAAGAAAAACATACAAAGCCAGTCAGGAAGTTAAAAATTGATGAATTAATTTAGAATTGGTGTTTTAGCACCATTGCTTATGAATTCAATTTTAAAACATATATTAATTTTGTTTTTTTAATCATAAATATATACTATAACACCTGAATGATTTGTAAAATGAAAATTAATTTATAATTGGCTTGGTATTATATTATATTTTACCACTGCCTTTTATATATTTTTAAATTTTATCAAATTATTAGCATAAATGCTAGTTATTACTTTTAAACATGGCAATACCAGTACAAATTCTAAAAAAGGAAGTTCATCAATAGACGATTACATTTAATGTAAAATTATGGAAATAAATATAGCAAAATTATAATATTTTTAAAAATAATGTGTGAATTTTTTAGACATGATTAGCATGATAAAAATGCTTTTCATGAGTGGGCAAGTTTTAAAAAAATTGAACATCAGATGTCAATGGATGTAAATTTTATAAATGTGAATAGTTAGGTCATAAATAAAAAATAGGCCAATACCCATCTCTAATGCACATATATTTCTTTGCATGTAATATTGACATATTAAAAATCAATTAAATTTTATGTTTGGATATCAAAGTCTTTAGGAAGAACAGGATTTCCTTTCCTATCAATAAAAACTGTTTTTAATGACTCTGAATTAGAGATGTAAAGGTATAAGAAATTTTCAGAGAGATAATGGTTCATATTTTCCAAGAAATTTCCTAAATTTTCCTTTAATATAAATATAATATTTTATTGCAAAAATTATGAATTATATTTTATTTCAAAAATTATGATTTATAATTTAATTTATTATATCATAATTTTTATTTTCCTCATGAGTCTTTAAACTTTTTTTTATTAGTGCAACCATTGAGTGCAACTCTTCAAATCTATAATTTTAAAAGTATAAAAATATATGTGTTTACATAATATTAATATGATATATTATAGAATTATTAATAATTAATAATATATTTAGATTTGATGTATAAGGATCATTATATTTTAATCATACTATATAACTGGTATAATAATTTATTGATGTTTAATTTAAATTAACATCAATATTTTATAGATGCCTTGGAAAACTTCCAACATCTGGAAACATTTTATTGAAGATACAACTAATAACAAGAAAGAGTATATATCAATAATATTGTCAATTGACATATAATTTTCCAAACTCAACAAAGATGTCTCAGCATATCAAAAAATGTCAAAGGTATATTAACAGTTTACAATTTAATGAAGTTGTTAATAATAATTCTACTGAAGAGGATATTGTAGTATGTTTACCAGATCCAATAATCCTAATAAAATAATATCCCCAAAAAACATAAACTGAATGATTCTAAATATTTTTAAAGAAAATATAAATAATTTTAATAATGTATATAACACCTTTTTATTACACTGTAACTGAACAAAATTATACACAACTTGACTTTGGCATTAGCTATTTTTATGCAAATTGCCCTTTTATTGTCAATTTTTTAAAATTATTCCCCCTAGCAAAATTCCATCTAGATATACAATTAGTAAAACATTAGATTTTGAATATAATAAAGTGACAAAATTATTACTGACAAGCGAGGAAGGTCTTGCCCTGAGAATTGTTATGGACTCACTAGTAGTCTGTCTTGTCGTCGGTAGTATGATAATGTTTTAGAGAATATAGTCTTTTATTGTTAACTATTGAAATAAAAATTTAATAATGAATATCTGTGTTTTTCTCTCAAATAATATGTATACATATCATATAAATAACGTTTAATATGTTCAATTCACATAATATCAAAGTTTAATTTAATATATCACATGATCGCCTTAAACGTCATAATTTAAATGGACAAGTATATTAACTTTTAACACAATAATAAATAAATAACTTTGTTACGAATATGTAACAATTATCAACAAAAAATTTGATACTTTGAAAAATTTTACTCTCATTAGCCATGGCTGGACTCACATTCATGGAGAGTCCATGATTAAATTCATAATTATGACTCGAGAACCAATTTTTTTAAATTTATTGACACAAGATCTAGTCTCCCATGCTGATTATATCGCATCTGAGCTGATCAAGATAATTGAAGAAATTGGTATCACTAGTAACTGTTAATGCAATGAATATGAAAAAGGCTTGGAGTCTTGTTAAGGAAAAATATAATTATTGAATGCTTTGGATGTGTCGCACATGGCTTGAATCTGCTTATTAAAGATTTATGCCAAATACGTTTTATTGAAAAGATCATCAAAAAACAAACCAATAATTAAATATATAAAATTTAAATGTATTTTATTGGCAACTTTTTAAGAAAGGCAAATGAAAGGTTATAAATCTTCCATAAAAATTCCAAGTCCGACAAGATGGGGAAGTTTTGTTATAAAGTTGCAAAATCTTATGAAAAATAAGGAAGTTTTGCAAGAAATTGCAATTTCAAGTTTATTTATAGACAAACAAAGAAGGCGTATTTTATTGGACGACTTTTTTGTAATTTATTTATAACAATTATAATTGTAGAATCTGATATAGCGGTATTATCTGACATATCAGAAATATTCTGGGATATAAATAATAACTCATTTCATCAACTTTTATTTTTAATGAAAATGATTTGAAAAGTGTTAAGATGCATATTAATAAACGAAAGAAATTTTGTAGACTAGAAGTTATTCAAAAACGATGAAATGTTTACAGTGTATTTTGTCTTTATTATTTTATTTTCCCTTAGTTCCCAAATTTAATAAAGTTATTCAATAAAAAAATTGAAAAGTTTAAAGTGTATTTTATGGTTATTCTTTAATTTTCCGTTATTTCTCCTAATTTTCCCGGAGAAATTTTCCTTGAATCAATTTTCCCGAGAAATTTACATCTCTACACTTAATAAATGCTACAAGTATGGTAGGAGATTATGTTTTATTTTTTAAATATGCATTTAATAAAGATGGTAAAATCTTTAGTAATTTAATTTATCAAAATATTCAATATAGTATAAATTTTTAAATATTCATTAATAATATCATGCTTGATGATACTTGTAAAATTTTAAATATATTTCATCCAATTAAAAAATCTATAGTTAAACATTCCTCGAGTTAAACCATTATCATATCAGTATCGTCAACTTTGTAAAATTAGGCTTATTCAAAAATGAAAATGAACTATTATTAATAAATAATCGATTTCGAATTTGTTAGTCTTTTTTTTGCTTTTAAGGCAATGAATTTAATCGCATAATGTTATTATGCTTTATGATATCATCGCTTGAAAATTAGATTATTTCATCTCCACTTTTTGTAATTTTTAGAACAGAGTGTTTCATGAAATTAAATTTTCTATTATTTTCAATATGATAGTTAGTGATCTGCATCGGGCCTAATTTTTCAAGCCCGGCCCGAAATTTTTTTTAAAAAAGTTTTGCCGGCCCGGCCCGAACCCAAATTTTTTTAAAAAGTTCTACCGGCCCGAACCCGAAATTTATTTTAAAAAAATTTACCGGCCAGGCCCGAATTTATTTGAATATAGAAATTAATTTTTATAATTACTTAAAATAAAAGACATATGTTATATAGCGTAGTTTCAATATATTAAATCAAAAATTTTTATTTTACATAAAAAATTTAATATAAAATTGATAAATTTAGATATATTTAATAAAATTTCCAAAATCCGACCCGACCCAGCCCAAAATTTTTTTAAAAATATTAGGCCCGGCCCGAACCTGATTATTTTAAATAGAATTAGGCCCGGCCCGAATAACTTTGCAGATATCTAATGATAGTATAACCTTATAATTGAATATTTATTTAACTTATTTTATAAATATTTTGGATTTTTTTTTGTAAAAAAGGTCATTTCAATAAACAGTGGATATGGAATAACCTAATTTTCACATGATGATATATATTTTAAAAAAAAACAGTAATTACTTTGTAATTTTAATAAAAGAAAGTGAAATTAACTGTTTTTTCTCGAAATATTTAAGTATATATATTAATTACATTTTTTTAAACAGATGGATAATTTTTTTATTGTTATATGTTTTTACCAGTTTTTACTTAAAGAATTTAGAAATTACATTTTATGCTAGGCCTAAACCAATCTATCGAAAAATAATTTAACGCGTTTCCCTATCTTTAAGGCTATAATATGATATAGAAATTATTATTGTCCAATTTAATTAATTTTTTGTTAATTATACCGAGTTTGGTTAGTAAAAAAAAATAATTTAAAAAATTCAGGTAATTGAGTCAGCCTAAGGCCAACCTTGAGATGCAAGTTTATATTTTTTTGCTGCTTAAAACTTGAGGCTGAACCTATTTCTTTCGATTAAGTCATGAAATGATTGATTTATTTACATTATTTTTTTTATAACGCGTTAGAAAGCAACACGTCAACTGCAGGGTTTGTTCCCTGATCAGCCCAATTACGGAGGGGTAGATCTACCTAGGCCGTTAGTGAAACTACCAATAGTTTCGGCCTCCAACGACCAAACCTTTCAACAAATCAAGCAACAATGTTTAGAAAGGGGAGTCCTCTGGGAGGACCCTGATTTTTCCGCTAACGATTCCTCCATGTTCTTTAGCGAGGCAACATCCAACTTGTTCTTCAGCAAGATAGCACCTGACAGCTTTCAATGGAAACGACCTAAGGTTTATAAAAAATAGTTGGGGTTATTTATATAAGGTAACCAGGAGCGTAACCAGGGGCCTATCACAATCCTCATGTTCTCGTAAATACCATTTTAAGTGAATTAAATCCCCCTATACACCATCCCCCCTCTCCCAAAAATGGTATGCATGGCACTATAAAGAAGAATATGAAAGAAAAATTAGTAAAAGTTGATGGCTTTTTAAAATAACAATAATTCGAATTTTTTTAAAGTAAGAACCAAAAATTATTTTTATAAAAATATAATTAACCAACGGCCTAAAATAAAGGGAACTAAAGACCTGGAGCCAATAAAATTTATGGCGGAAAACCCAGCCTAATAATGCCCCCCCCTCATATGAAAATTCTGGATACGCCTATCCGGGTGACTTTAATTTATAAGTATGCAAAGTATAAATTGGTCTATGCGATTTTTTTTACTCGCAACCCAGCCAAGATTTTTTTTAGAATCACGTTATTTTATGTATTGGGTGGTGGCCGCGATTTGGTACCTCATGTTATGTATATATTTTTTTAAACACAATATTTAGGATATATGTCCTAATCCTAAATTGATTGTCCAAGGAGCTTCAAGATTCGACGTAATACAAGGAGAATTGGGTAATGTCATTCTCATTTGTATTCTGATGAAATTAATTTTTTTTTTCAACTGAATGAAATTTTTTAATTGGATGAGAATATATTTAAAATTAAATAAGTATTTGAGGTAAGAAGTAGGATTAAAGATCAGAAAGATATGGGTTTGGAACTTGATAGATATTGGCTAGGGTTAAGAAAATTTAAAACGGGTTTTAATAAAAATTAAATTTTTTTAACTTATTTTAAAAAAAATAAATATTTTATGCATAAATTTTTTAATTTAATAAATGAGATTGGAGAAGATCGCCGAAGTTATTTTAGTAATCTAGATATTGTTAAACTGCCCTGGCCAAAATAATATGGTACAAACCTTGAGATTTGGCAAATAGAAGTCTAATTCGTTCAGCTATTTATGAGCTATATCTCCAGGCGCTTATATTATTTTGGCTAAAATCTAATCGGGTCGTTTTTAAAAATTGACCAAATCGGACCGCTTTAAAACAACATTAAATCTAGAATAAAAAAAATATTTTTAATAAGTTGATTTTTTAAAAAAAAATCTGTTACCGGATCTTAATATTTTTCAAAATTCATTTCCAAGTTCAGTTCCTGTAAATTTAAAAAACTTCTTCCTGTGCCTTGATTTGATCCATTTGTGTTTCCGCTACTTCTTATTAATAATCGATGAATTTGAGTTTATACAAGTATTTTGATATTCCTGGATTGCATTAATATATTACATTTTACACTAGGATAAAATATTTTTTATTATATACAAATTGAGATTCTACTTAAATATATAAATAGGATTCCATTACCTGGATTATTCCAGTATACTACATTACGACATAAATACAAATTAATCGTACTTTTATTTTCCAACCAAGTCCTAAAAGTTTTAAAATGGGATTCGGTTTCTAGCTGTTTTTAATGTTTTGGATTGGATATTATTTCAAGGATTTCTTTCAGATTTTGTTGGATTTGGTATATACCTAATAATTGACTTATAATATAAAAATTATTTTAAATGTCACGAGAAAGGGAATTATAATATGGCAGAAGGATGACATTTATAAACGAAAGCTTGAGACTTGCATAATATTATTTTTGCTAAAATCTTATAAAATAGATTTTCGATGGATTAGAGTTGAAATTATCGGGTCCTCGTAAATAAGATAACTTTGGATTTCTATAAAAATAATTCCTGTAATAACATCTAAGAGTCTAATATATTATAATTCTATATAAATGATTTTTTTGCAGGTGAGTAGTATCAATATATACGACACACAAAACATTCGTAAAATTATTTATTATCGCAGGAAATTGTTGGTTGTTAGCGGCCGTCGCTTGCCTGTCCCTGAATCCTAAGTTGATTCAACTAATCGTTCCTACCGATCAAGACTTTGCCCCGGGCGATTATGCTGGAATATTCCATTTCAGGATTTGGCAGTACGGAAGATGGGTAAAAATTATATTTTTTTCACGTTTCAATATGGCGACAAGTGGTTTATTCTGAGACTTATTTCACTATTTTTCTTTACCAGCCGGAATTTTGAATAGTAAAAGTATAAATAATCACCTGATTTCAGTGATAAATTATTCTCCCAACTAAATTTTATTTTTGCGGCCGAGTCCTGAATCGCTATTTGAGACCAATTACAGTGCTCTATCACAAGCTATCCACTTCACTGTAATTTTTTTATTTATTATTTAGGCACCATTTTTTTAAAATAATTTCAAGTACGACCTTTTTTTTAGCGCGCCTGTAGGTCGCCGATTGTTATCCGCCAAGGTAAGGTTGATTATTTGTTTTTACTTTTTATTTGATAGATAAAAAAGAAGATTTTAAGAGATAGGCCTTTTAAATTTAATATAAAATTTATTAATAATTATATTATATTTATTAGTTTATTTTTCACCAATATTAGTGAAAGCAAAATCGTTCCATTTGAGCCGATTATTAAAAATGGCGAATTCAATATTTTTGCCAGAAAAATACTGCCTAAGCCTAAGAGTGTAAATAAAAAATGAGGATATGGGGTAGGTCCCTTTTTTGAAATTCAAATGTATAAACATAGGCCAATGATTTTTCAAGTAAATTATTATTAAGGATATCCGATAAAAAATATATTTAATTTAATTTTAAAAACCCTACGGTCAAAAAGATTATCGGTTCAACCTTATGAGTAAATCAGGTTTACCATATTTTAATACAATAGTCATAGCTTCATGATAACGTTCTTGCATATTCCTAGGAGAGTCTTGCAACGAAGTAGTTAAGATAATTGGGCGTCTTATTGGTGATCGACATTATCAGAAAAACCATATATTAAATAATCCATTAATCCTGAATTTTCTTCTACATGTCGCTTAGTCTGATTATATTTTTTAAAATTTAGGTTATTAGCCTTAACCTGTAAATATGAATCAGCTATATAGTTGCCCTAGACGGCCCGCACTAAGAAGAGGGTTAAAAATATTGTCGCACGGCTCTATCTTAAATTGTAACATAGATATCTTCCACCATCACCTAAAAACAAATGTCAATATACTTATTATTTGTGAAAATTGTTCCCAAACCCAGCCCCTGCCAAACTGAATATCCAAAAATTTATAAATATAAAATATTTTTATCTTTCTTTCATAGGAGCTCATATGTTACCATTTTAAATTAATGAAGTACCTAAAAATAAATAAAGTTAAATTTATTTTAATTTACCTATTTTTTTTCATTTTGGGATTACAATAATAATTAAAGTTAAGCAAAATCAGTGTTTTAAATAATGGATCAAATAAAAATGAAAGAAAATAAAAATAATCCAATATTATAGGAAAAAGGTAAGCCAATAAAAAGGAATTAATAAATAAATATTGAATATTTTAAATATTATTCATATATAAGAAAAATATTACAACTATAAGGTGGAGAGGGTTGCATAGGTAGAGCTCTTGCCTCGAGACAGGAAGTCGCAAGTTCGTATCTGGGCGATGCAAAAATATTTTATGGGGTAAAATTTTACCCTTAAACTTGGTCGGCGGGGCTGGAACAAAAATTTAAAGTCTCCTTAAATTTTATAACATTAAGATGTTAGGAAAACGATCACTTCTTTCTTGATTATCGGAATTATATTTCAACTTTTTTTATTTATAAGTTTTGAAAAAATTAAAATATAATTTAGCATTATTTCATTTATAACATATCTATGAATGTCGAATCGCATCAAATTTTACAATTTTTTCCAACTTTTTTATTTATATATTTTTTTTAGGAAATCCAATATTTATATATAAAATTTTTTTAAAAAAAAATTCAATTATATATATAGATTGATGTAATAGTCGATGATCGACTACCAACAGCTGACGGACGCTTAGTTTTTATGCACTCGGCAGACAACACCGAATTCTGGAGCGCCCTCCTGGAAAAAGCTTATGCCAAGTTACAAATTTTTTACATACAATTGTGAATTGACCAAGGGCTCATACAAAAAATATACTGCCCTCTCGTTTACATTAGATTTAGAGCATAATAAAAGAAATATCTCCACTAAATATATATAAAAATAAATATAATTTATATGAAATCTATTCAATAATTATATCTATTCATAAGTACAAATTTAATTCTTAATTTGTACTTATTGTTTTATATGTTGACTACTTTAATCTTTTAACTATAAATTATTTATTATTCTAATTTCCTGGGTTCGATTTTCTATTAATTAATTTAATCTTTTAAATACAAAATTATTTATTATACCAAATATAAATATATTTATTATTGTTCTCTTACTTGATATATTTATTCTTATTCTTTTACTTGATCCCCTTTTACTTTTTCTTTTTTTCAAAATCAATTGACAACGAAAAAAAAAATGAATGAATACTTTATTTTTCTTTTTCTTCGATTATTTATATTTTTTAAAAAAAACAATATAATTTTTCCGCTTTTATAATTAAATCTAATATAATTTTCTCTACTACAATTAAATATACACAATATTTTCTCTCGAATCTTCTTCCGACTATGATACGCCCTCCCTCAAGCTAGCATTCCTCCGCCCCCTCCGGATCGGGACCCAATTCCTCATTGCTCACATGGCACTGTAGCCAATCCAAGAAGGGGTCAGGTATTCCTCCAATCTTCTCGTTTCCTCTTGATTTGCCTCTGCCTCCTCTGCTGCACCCTCCCCCTTGACTTCGCTCTCCCAGCTCTTCATAGACTTGATTGATCTCTCCATCATTCCAGTCCCCCACAGTGCTATCGTCTTTCTGCCACTCGATCTCGCCCACGCGCACAGCGGTCTCCCCCAACGATGTCAAGTTGTCCTCCGCTATCTCATTATCGAAGGATTGCTCCCACATCAATCCCAAGCCAGCCAAATTAGGGTACTGGTTAGCTAGGTGTTTCCTCCTGCGGCAGCAATAACATCTTCATCCTTCTATTCGAACCGGTGCTCCCGAGCCCAAACACACCCATTCTCACCCAACAATCCGGTCTTCTGTTGAGCCTCACCGTGTTATATACTTCAACCCTGAACACCCAGAGATATTGCATGCCCTATTCCTTAATTATGGGTAAGTGGATATATATATATTACATTTCTGTCCCGGTCCCCCTATTTTCCCTGCCCTGTAACACGGTCCGCCCTCATACAAAATAAACCTAATTCCCACCCTACTTTATTTGACAGGAATCTTCCAAAATTATTTCTAAACTAGCTCACTTATGTAATAAATTACTTAATACATATGACCCCAATATACTCACATATTTCCCCCAAATCTCTTACTTTTCTTATTTTCGCCTATTAAACAAAGATATACAACTCATTACATTTAATTATTTCAATAAAAATTTCCTTTACTTTCACAAAAAAATATATAACGCAGATATTTAATTCAACAAAAATTCCCTTCAATTTCATTTAACCATTTCAATAAAAACTTCCTTTAATTTCCATGTCACGGTGAGGCCCAACAGAAGACCGGATTGTTGGGCGAGAATGGGTGTGTTTGGGCTCGGGAGCACCGGTTCTAGTAGAAAGACGAAGATGTTATTGCTGCCGCAGGAGGGGACACCTAGCTAACCAGTGCCCTCATTTGGCTGGCTTGGGACTGACGTGGTAGCAATCCTTCTGGGATAATGTGATAGCGGAGGACAACTTGACATCGTTGGGAGAGACCGCTGTGCGTGTGGGCGAGATCGAGTGGCAGAAAGACGATAACACCGTGGGGGACTGGAATGATGGGGAGATCAATCAAGTCTATGAAGAGGTGGGAGAGAGAAGTCGGAGCAACGAGCCGGGAGTAGAAGAGGAGGATGCAGCAGAGGAGGCAGAGGCAGATCAAGAGGAAGCGAGAAGATTGGAGGAATACTTCACCCCGGAGTTCTTGGATTGGCTACAGTGCCATGTGAGCAATAAGGAATTGGGTCCCGATTCGGATGGGGCGGAGGAATGCTAGCTTGAGGGAGGGCGTATCATAGTCGGGAGAAGATTCGAGAGAAAATATTGTGTATATTTAATTGTAGTAGAGAAAATTATATTAAATTTAATTATAAAAGCGGAAAAATTATAATATTTGAAAAAAAAATGATAATTTTTTTTTTATATATTTGTTTTTTTTAAAAAATATAAATAATCGAAGAAAAAGAAAAATAAAGTATTCATTCATTTTTTTTTTCGTTGTCAATTGATTTTGAAAAAAAGAAAAAGTAAAAGGGGATCAAGTAAAAGAATAAGAATAAATATATCAAGTAAGAGAACAATAATAAATATATTTATATTTGGTATAATAAATAATTTTGTATTTAAAAGATTAAATTAATTAATAGAAAATCGAACCCAGGAAATAAGAATAATAAATAAATTATAGTTAAAAGATTAAAGTAGTCACATATAAAACAATAAGTACAAATTAAGAATTAAATTTGTACTTAATTATTTAAAAATATAAAATAAAATATTTTATAGTTAATATTAGAATTTGCAGTTCACACTCATCTAATTGCATGGAAAATAGGTGTCTTTTTTTTATTCTGTCAGAGTAGCACAATGCTTAGGTGGCAAAGTGAAAGGTCCAGAGTTGTAAGGAGGTCTAAAGAATAATTAGGAGTTTTGAGTTAGTTGAGGAAGGTTGGATTGCGCGAACTTCATTATACTTAGGTGTCAGTTATTTATGAAGTTAATTGAGAGTATAATGAAGATATGGATATATAAAAGAAACGGGGTTTGTTTGATTGTTACACCAGAGATTCGGGAGGAGCTTAGCTGCATATTTTTTTAAATTTGAATTTTTGGAAGCTTTGGTGAAAAAGAAAGAAATAATTTCATGGGTATAGGCTGTCAATATTTAAGAGTAGGAAACCTGCTCCTAAGAGCAAAAGGAAAGAATCAGAATCCTAGAAAATTGGATAGAAAAGATGTTTTCCACGACCTCATTTTATAGCTGCTATAATCAAGATAATTTGAAAAAATACGCGGCTAGATATTGAAATTATGCGCATTGTAGTGTAGTTAAATTAAATACTATCAGATAACTAGTTATTTTTATAACTACCATTACTCAAAACACGTTCTAGTTAAGTTCAAAGGTTTAAAATGTATCCTGTAACTATTTAAGATAGCAGTTACTTTTGGAAGAGTTACACATATTCGCTTATATTAATAAATATATATAACAAGTAACTAGAAACAGTTACATCTCTTTGATATAACTATAATTATACTTTATTTAACAAAACAGTAGATTAATGGTTTTTATAAACAACAAAAATATTATATCCAGCTTAGTCCATCATACGTCAGAGACGCCACTTGTTTTTAAGATTTAAAAACGTTAAAAAAAAATTTGCCCAAATATATTTTAAGTGCGTTAAAATTTAATTTAGACTTGCCGAGCATTCCTCGCTTCCAGGACCACTGTCATACTTTAGTCGGTATCTTAAGGAAAGATGCTATTGCAGCTAATTAAATTATGTTTTCTTAACTTACATCTAAATTAGACTTTAACTTGTTTACAATGTGTATGATAATATAAATAATGCTGTAAAATTAGTATTCTTAAACGCCTCGATTTATGCCGATTTTTTAAAACGGCTAACTCGATATTTTAGCCAGAATAATATTGCCTAAGCCTCGAGATTTCCTTTATCGATGTCCAAACCTTTGTGCCATCTATGCCCAAAATCTTCAGGCTTGCGTAATATTTTTCTGGATAAAATATTGAGTTAGTTTTTTTTAAAAATCAGTTCAAATCAAGCCGTTTAACAAACTACCAAAAAAAATTTATTTCTTTAATACAAAAATATTTTTAAAATAATTATAATAGATTTTTAAGATATGATTGTCCGATTTTAGAGTTATAAATGACTTATATTATAATTATCTTAATTGTATCTTTTTTAGAATATAATGTAATTATATTCAAATTAAATCGTTTCATGTTCAATTTAATATAATATAAAAGCTTTAAAAATGATAAAGGACAATGAGAAGATAATGCAAGTAATAACAGAATTAAATCCATTAATTTAATAATAGATTCTTCAGTAATCTTTAAAAAAATATGTTTTAGAAATCATAATATTATAGTTTATGTATAAACTATTTATTTTTTTAAAAAAAATACCACGATTTATTTTTCAGAGTATATGGCTCGTACGAGGCTTTGGAAGGTGGGAGTACTGCAGAAGCTATGGAAGATTTTACAGGCGGTATAGCGGAACATTACGATTTAAAAGAAGTTCCCAAGAATATATTCTCCATCCTGTATAAAGCTAATCAGAGGTCTTCTCTTATGGCTTGTTTTATTCAAGTAATCACCAGTCATCACACCTACATTAATTTATGATTTTATAATTAATAGTAAGATTTTTGAAAGTAGACATATTTATTTATTTTTATAAAAAAATTTGGTAACATCTTTATAAAAATCTGTCTATTTTAAGAATGAGTTTTTAAAAAAATGTCTACGATTTAAATTGAAGATAAAATAAAATTACAGTAAAACTAATCTTTATAAAAGTTGATCTAGTTTATTAAATCCTTCAATGAGATCAATTTTTTGTCTTGTCGCTGGAATTTAGCCGAAGGCGGTAAATATAAATTTTAACCATTAGTTAATTTTTTAAAATTTGGCCATAAATAATAAAGATGGTTTTACAGGCTAATTTTTGGAATAAAATGTATTCTTTTAATAAAAGGTGTGAAAATTATGTAATATTCTTCAATTAAAAATGGTGATAGTCTCAAGGCGATAGTGAGTTGGGATTAAATATTGAAGAAATTTAATTTACTTATAACATGTACGTTTCTTTTCCAGGGTTGTAAATCCTCTTATAAAAAGGGTTCAGGCTCGGTTTCTGGTTTAATGAAATATTTCTGAAATTAGGTTCGAGTTCATGGTTTGTGGCAGAAAAATAAAGACTTATAAAATTTAGTAAAAATAATAACAGAAACCTCAGTTTTTATAAACTTTATTTTACCATATTTAGACTTTTACCATGAAATAAATTTATCATATTATTAAAATATATATTATTATTTATTATTTAAAAAAAAATTCTAAATATGCTGGTAAAATTTAAAAATAAAATGGAGTACGCTAAAATATAATAAAAATTATGTTTTATGTTTTAAATAATTTGCATGTTTTTTTATAGTTAATTTTATAATATTTTTTAAAATAAATAAAAATTTAATATTTGAAAAAAAAAGTTCTTGAACCCTAGATTTTAAAAAAGGGTTCAGGTTTGGGTTCAGTAAAATATTGAGTTCCGGTTTTGGTCCACAGCCCTGGTCTTTTCCATAAGAATACTTTTTTTTAATTATCTTTTCATATACTATTTTAGCCCGATCCGCATATCAAGTTCGCTGAATTATCAAATGGATTGATAAAGGGGCACGCATACAGTATCACCGATGTTAAAAGGGTATCTTCAGATTTTATAATTCATACAAATATTTATTTCCTTAAAAATAATTTATCAAATAAATAATAAATAAACGGAAATTGTTTTTTTTTGAAAATAATAATTAATATATTGTGCGTTATAAAAATTATCGGTAAATATAATTTAATTACCAGTATTTTATACCAAATAATCAGTAATGTAAATACTGGTAATTTAAATTTATCGCGATAAAAATTATACTTTATTTTTTTAAAGATTTATTATTGTTATATTATTATTTTTTATCAGTAAGAATCGGGTCCTACATCAGACTTATTTTGCTAAGTCTGTTGTGACACGACCTCCGAATACCTATTATATCAAATTCCGAGAAACTATGCAACCGATCCGATGGACCAATCTTAGGGAGGTTCATTAGGACTCTAGTAAGAGTTTAAATTAATATGTTTATTATTTTTTTATTTGTTGTAGATCGTAACCAAGCAAGGTAAAGTGTGCTTGTTAAGGATGAGAAATCCTTGGGGCAATGAGGCTGAATGGAATGGACCTTGGAGCGACAAGTTATACTTATTAATAATTTCTTATAAGTATTTAAAAATTGCATATTATGATGCTTACTTTTTTTTTAGAATTTTGTTTGAGATCGCCCCTTATAATACTTAATAACTTTATAAAAGCATTAAATAAAGAGGGGTGAAAATGTTAAAAACTCTTCACCAAGAAACCTGGCACTTAACTTTGCGCCAACTTTCAATACGACCTTAGCCAAACTTGTAGCTTAAAAAAATCGACTTATTCATCTGGTTGAGTAGGTCAGAGTTAGGTGTTACAAATTTTATAAACCTGTCGTATTTTGAGAATTAGATGAACTGTTTTGGAGTTGACCAGAATTACGCGATTCGACAAACCGTTATAAACGAGTCCTTTTCTTAGCGTTTCTGAGAGGGCCAGATTTCGATGATTATATAAATTCCATTATTTATAAACTGGCCCGATGTAGGACTTTATATCTTTCTTTCTCTCAAAATTCAACAATTTTTTGTTAAATTATGTTGGACTCATTTTTTTTAAAAAAATATTATTATTTGAAATAGATCTTCAGAATGGCATTATACTTCGGCTGAAGAGAGGCAACGACTTGGTTTAGTGTTCAAGGCCGACGGGGAATTTTGGTAATTTTTGGTGAAACCCTTTTATTTATATATCAATATTATTGTGCCTTATTATAGAACTATAGCCCGTCAAAAATGACGGGGAATGAGAATTTTCTTCTTACTTTTATGATAGTTGTTAACTGTTATTTGAAAATAATGTCTAATTTTTATTCTTTTTACCCCCCCCCCCTTCAGGTCAGGTTTAATCCATTAAAACTAATAGTAAATACTATGGTTTGAGTAAAAATAAATTTAAAGCTTTTACTTGAAAATACCAATATTATTTGTTAAATATCACTGATCACTTATTATACCTAATATTTAATATTAAAAAAAATTCCCAGGCAAAGTACAAAGCCATAATAATTTTGAAAAATTCCAAGCCCTATGAAAGTTCATAATAATTTTGGTAATTGAGAACTAAAATAAAATATTTAAACAATCATAATGAATTTAAAAATACAATCAAAATCAGATTTTAATGGGCCTAAAATTAAAAAATTTTCAGGAATCTAAGACTATATTAATTTTAAAAAATGTTTCCCACTTACGTCCATATTAATTGTGAAAAATATTTCCCAAGCCAAGGAAAACCTAGAATAATTTATTTTTTCCTTGGATCCAGAAAAATCTGATGTAAGGTGTTTATAAGAATTAAATCGGTCTAATATGAACATATTTTTATGCCATTTTATATTATTGGGAATATTTTTTAAAATTATCATAAAATGAAGGGGAAATGTCAATTTACCTTACTGGTTAGCTTTTAGTATTTATATGATATTCATGAATACAATTAAAGTAACATGCTAAAAATATGTTCATCCTAAGTTAAATTTTAAACAAACTACCACCCTTCCAAATGATTTATTATTTAGTTACAAAATATAAATTTAAATTAAAACTGTTGTTTCCTGGAAGTTCAATATAATATTCATTAGGTTGATTTTATCAAAGAATCTCATGATATATTTTAATAAATTCATGAACCAAGTTTATTTTATTAAAGAATTAAATTTATTTTTCACTGAAAATAAAAAAAAAATCGATTTTTATAAAATAATTAATTTAAATTATTACCGAAGGTAACAGAATGACCTTTGGAAAATTGTAACTTGAATAATGTCATTAACAATTAGAACTTGTATGGTTCAATGTGATTAACAAAAAAAGAAAAATAATTAAAAATTTGAATGTCATTACCAAAAAAAACAAATAGTTTAAAGGAGAATAAAAAAAACAATTACAACGACTTAACAAATACATTGTTGTTAAATTACAATAGAAAAAATAAAGATATTCTAAGTTAACAAATAATAGGAGGTTAATTTTATCATAGTCAAATTATATATAAAACAAAAAGGTTATACATTTAATCAAAAATATTATGAGTTATGAAAACATACATTCTACAATTAAATTATGAAGTTATGAGAAAATATGCAAAACTATGGAATACATGTAGAAAAGCCAAATTTTTAGAAAATATAAGAGAGATGTAAATATTTACTTATGCTTAAAAATTACCTAATTAAAAGATATATAGTTTTATAAAAATCAATGTGGAATGGATCCTTCTTAAGGGTTTTAACACATAACTCTCATCTAGTAAGAATAAATTTTTAGATTATAAATTACGAATACAAATGATTAAAAATTTAGTTTAAAATATTTTTAAATTGTGCACATAAATTAAAACTACTAAATATATACTTCATCAACATATTTTATAAAAATAATGGAAAATTTTAGAATAACATCAAATAAATATAAATTTTTAAATAACACCTAAGATAGGAAAATTTTTGATTCATTCCTCATCAAATAAAAGAAAAAATTTTGATTCCTCAATATAATGGTATAAAATTTTAAATTATACATAAATTCAAGAATTTAAATAGTATTTATTAAATAAATCTTTTATTCCTCTTAAATTGGTACTTGATGCATTTAAAGTTCTAATGATCCCTAAATATTCAGGAATAGGTATAATATTAGGTTTGTATTCGATTCATTTAATTATCTTTTGCAGGAATCTAAAAATATAATAAAATAATAATTAAATTAATAACTACCATTGCCTATAAAATATTTAAAATCCGAAAAAAAACTTATTTAATATATATATATATTAATTATGTAAAATTGTATAGTGTAATATTAATATAAGATTGTTTAAGAATATCTATAATATATCAGTTAGTTCTAGTATATATATAATGATGTATAAGATGGTAATGGAAGATGAATGAATCTTTGATATGATATGATTCTATGGTGATTTTTATTGGACGAATATTTTTTAAAAGAATATTAAAAATTTAAAAATATAAGAATACCTATTTAATAGTTTGAATTTTAAAGTAGCTACAAACTTTGAATCGTATCTTCTATTTCATTAATTTTGTTAGATTAAGAAAAAATAAATCTTTGATGGGATTCGAACCTAAGTCTATCAGATTTATAAGCGACGCTCTTGCCGATTGGGCCACAGACACTTTTCAAAATTAACCCTTTTTTAAATATATATTATAAATAATGAAAGTGTGACTGTCACAGTGTGACAAGGCTTTTATATATATTATAGATGGTTTACATTTTGCGTATCTATATTTATAAGATATCTCATAATTTTACAATTCCAATGATATTTAATTTATAACCCTGCATTCACAGTTAGTGCTATGATGATTTAAATTATTGATTTTTTTACAAATTATTAATAAATGAATAAAAATTTACGATATTGTTACAAATAAAGGATATCCTTGAAAGACTTTATGAGTAATTTCGAAAAGATAGAAATTTGTCATTTATCGCCCGAAGCTTATGAGGCAATTTGGTCTGACACCCCTAATTCTAACGTCAATGCTGCATATAAAAAGTGGGAAGTTAATCTTCATAACGATTCTTGGGTCAAAGGAGCTAACGCGGGGGGCTGTAGAAATTTCTTAGGTAATTTTATTAACATTTCGGTTTTTATTTATATAATTTTTGATTTATATTAGTTTTGTTGAAAGATTGCAAGATTCTAGAATATAAGGTATATGAATCTTTTTTAAAAAAACTTAATTAATTTATCGCAAAGAAGCTCCTCTCCTAAACTTTTCCCACAATAGTAACACACAAAAAAATATTTTCACCTTTAATATCAAAAACTTTTACCAATTTATCTTCATCTCTTGAAAACAAAAACGAAAATAAAATCGAAGGCCACGAATGGCTGGAAGCCTTACCTCTTAACCCACGAACAATCATGAATAACTTTAAGATATGGACTCGGGTAATACCTAGTTCAGTTCATGATTGCATGAACAGAAATATCCTAGTAAATGCCAAGGCTTAATTATATTAAAATCAAGACCGGCATCAATGCCACTTTCTGATAATTAAATTAATAAGCCTTAATATTTTAGAAATCTTGCGACTTTCAATCGATGTTAACCTAAGACCTGCCTGACCACTATCTCCTGAGCCATTGGCAAATTCTTTATTTCGGATTATACATCTGTCTTATCCTTCCCCACAAATATAAATGACAACTTTCATACTTTAGCAAAAGCTATAAAAAGATCCACAAATAAAAAACCTTAGTAATTTTATTCTCGCAATTTGCAACTTCTAACTACCGACAGTTTCTCCTATCACCGTTGCAAAATAAAATTATAAAAACTTGAACCTAAATTCTTATTTCTTAGGCAGAGCATACAATTAAATATTTTTAAATTTTTTGTTCCTTTTTAGGAACACAATTATGTTTTTCTTAAAATTATTATGGCTCGTTAATTTTTTTTAAAAAATAGTTTTATTTAATGCTTTTTAGGTTTATACAAATATAACATATATTTCTTATATATTAGAAACAAATAAATTTTTAATTATAAAAAAAAAATTTGGTTTTTTTTTATAAAATTGAATTTTTATTTAAAATATGAAATTTTAATTGAAGCATAACTATTTTTTACTTTATTTTCATAGTTCTTAATTTTAAACGAACGGGTTCAAGTGAACGAAGTTCGTTTTTTTGAAAAAATGATGAACGGCGTTCCTTTTATTTTTGACGAACTTTGAACGAGAATGCGTTCGATTTCAATGTTCGTTCAATTTTAAAATACTTTATTTTTATTTATTTGAAAAATTTAATATTAATCCAAATTTTTTAAGAAAAAAGTTTTATATTTTTTAATCAGCTGTTTTCCTATTTTTTTTAACACGCCATTTATTAATTTGAATATTATTGTTTATATTTCTGAAATTCTAAATCAGATGAATTAACATTACCATTGCAATATGATAAATATTTTACAGTAACATCCTATTGAAGTTATATATTTAAAGATTTGAACTTATACTATATGAAGATCAATATGTTCTTTCTGATTATACATTCAGTATTCAAGCTTCAATTACCATGAATAAAACTTCCCCTTAGAACAAACCTATTATTATTGAAAGTAAACATTTAAAACTTTAGAAATGATAATGCAAGAACTGTTAATTTCTAGATATCCTTTTTTTGACGAAGAAGTAGAGGTTGGATTGGAGGAGGATAACTTATCTCAATTTTTTGAATCAAAATATTTTTAATAAATTTCCCGCGTTAAAAGAAATTTCAGAATATATAAATAGTGTTATAAACGTTACTTCACCAAAGAGCGTTACCCGTTACTTCTGAAAAAGGGAACGCGTACCACTACTCGTTACCTTTTAAAAAAGGAACGCACGTTACTGGCTATTCAAAAAATTAACGGGTTACTTCTACTTAAAAAAAATATTATATACATAAAAATTTTCCCCTATAATATATAATACAAATAAAAGTATGCAAAATTAATACATTATAAGATAAGATATTTTTTAATAATTTTTTATTGATTTTTAAAATTTTGACCAGATAATGCTTAGGGATAAACACACTGTCGCAGAGGATGAGAGGGTTGTGTTATATTGGATAAAGAAAAATTTTAATTGGGGGAGAATTTATTAAAAATTAAAGAATAATCTTTATATTGAAAAAATGCTTAGTTCATCGTCAAAAGAATCTTCATTAGATCCTCATCCAATTTTTTAAAATCTTTATTATAAAATAATATTTACGTGTATTGTTTATTAAAGGAATCAAGTCTGCCTTTTCTTTGTCGAGATCTTTTCTCAAACAAGGAATAAATTCAAACCTCCTCCCTTTGCTGACAATTCGGTTTACCTAGTGATAATATATATTCATTAGAAATAAAATATTATCAAAATATAAATTGTGAACAATGCATCAACTGTATACCTTATATCTTTGTCTTGCAGAATTGCATTAATAAGTGGCTTACAAAATGTAATTATTTAAAGTCATTTTTTTATATTATAATTGTTATCGTGAGAGTTAGATTCCCAAATGCTTTTTTATTCTCTCTAAAATCCGTAGGAACATGTTTCATAACCTATAAAATCATATATATAGCCATATAATATTTATCTCTAATCTCTGTAATTTGGATTTATCACAAGATTCACTAAATTCGTGGTCATTCCCCCTAATAAAACTATATTAATTTTACAGTTATAGAAAGAGCGCCATATTGTTATAACCAGTTTAATCAGATATCTAATTTTTTCCTTAAAGTTAGCTGCTCAGTTTGGAGGATACCCATGTTTATTCCACAATCGAGGTTAAAATATTTGAGTTGAGACAAATTTGCATTTACAAAATGTAAACTTTGTACCCTTAGTTTTCTTCATTAGTAAAATGTTTATTAAAGCCAAGGCACACCGTACTCATCTTCTGATTAAAATATAGAATTGACATAATATTCAAATTATAACATTAATTAGATTAACAATCTTGACTGAAAATAACAACGAAGTTTTAAAATAAAAATGAAGGAATCTGGTGGTTGATGTGAATTAATAACTCGGCTTAAAATTTAAAAAATTAATAAAAGTAATTTTTTTAAGAAAAATTTGAAGTAACGTTATACGTTACCATTACTCTTTACCTCTAGGAGAAGGTAACGAATGGCAGTTCCCTTTCTTCACAAAAGGTAACGCTGTTAGTAACTATTTTACTTTTTGACGTTACAGCACTAATTATTACGCATTATATTAATTATGTATTTCCTATTTATGTCTTTTTGCAATATATCTTTAGACACATATTGGCTCAATCCTCAATACGGCCTGACTCTCAAGATAGCTGATGATGGGGAAGATGAAAATTTGTGCACTTGCATAGTCGGGCTCATGCAGAAAAACCGAAGGCAACAACGCAAAATAGGGGCCGACTTTTTAAGGATAGGATTCGCAATATATAGGGTATGTTATTATATCTATTTACATTAGAATGTAGACGATTTTCGATAATGGAATTGGATAGCTAATTATCTCTTTAGATAATGGCTACTGATATCTATTAAAATTGAAATTTAAAAATAAAATGTTAAGATTTTGGGATAATTTTAAATGTGTCCACATTAATAATATAGGTTAAATCTCCTCAAGACACCGTAGAACCCCTTCCAGAACAGTTTTTCGTGTTCAATCAGAGCGTTGCTCGCCCGCCAACTTTTATTAACCTGCGGGAAATAACCGGAAGATACAAATTGCCGGCCGGCTCATACGTTATAATTCCATCCACCTTCGAGCCGAACCAGGCTGCCGAATTTATTCTGAGAATCTTTAGCGAAAAACCCTTCGACGGAAAGTATATTTAAAAAATAGTATTATATTATATGACGAAGCTGAAACACAGTTTATTGGTTTGTTTTATAATATTATCACTCGCACTATTGTATTATTATCTAGGATTAGGAAATATGATTAATTGTAAGATTTAAAATTATCTATTCAAAAGTTTTCTAATTTTTTTAAACCACTCTTGTAAAATTATAATTTATATCTATGTATATATAGTGAATTGGATGAAGAAACTAGCTTTGATCCGCTGATGTCTGAAAAGGTGAGAATAATGATATATCAAATTCTCTCATTATTGCTGGACGAATAAATTAAAATTCGATCATAATAATCGATTATAATTTTTAAATAAATAATATATAAGATTCCAGAACAAGAGGTCCAAATTGAGCAAGATCAAGATAAAATAATGAAAGATTATTTCGATAAGATAGCTGGAGAAGATTTGGAAATTACTCCCTATGAGCTGCAAGATATTCTTAATTTTGCCATGAAAAATGGTAAATTATTATAGAAAATATTTTTATCTAAAATTATCTAATCATTCAACACGTGATATTGTAGTTGATAACTTTTTTGATAAACTTTGATAAAGAATTATTCTTTATCCCTTATATCCCTCCAAATTCATCCCAAATATATATCAGAGACCTACAAAGGTACCGTTCATGGCACTACCCGGCCCAGATTTTTTAAAAATATACTACATTTATATTTAATTTTTATAACACTAATAATGGCGATTTAAAATATTCGGTTTTACGGACCAGCTCAGATATTTTTTAGAAAATAATTAAATTACTGCCTATGTATATATATATATTTTTTTAAATTTTTTAATCTATATATATATTTGCGATAACTTTAAAAAACAATAATTTTAGATTCAAATGAGGGCTTTTCTCTCGAGACAACCAGAAGCATGGTCGCTATGATGGACTACGACAAATCTGGCCAATTGGGTTTATCAGAATTTATGGATTTATGGGAATCTATCAAATTATGGAAAGTTTGCCTTTTGATTTTCTTATTTAATAATTTTTTTTTAAGCTTGGCAAAATTGAGTCAGATCATTTTAACTTAGGATCCACTTCATTTAAAAAACAATAACTAAATAAAATTAAAAAAATATAAGTTATAATCACGGGCTATATTCTTCGATATCCTTTTATTTGCTACCCTTAAAATAAATTGTTATAATTAAGGCTATTTTCAAACAATTCGATCGCGACAATTTGGGAATCCTTAACTCTTACGAACTTAAGGGCGCCTTTCATTCCGCCGGTTACAAATTAAATTCTAACGTGTTTAAATCGATGGTTTTGAGGTACAGAAACAAGGAAAATCAAATCTCCTTCAATGATTTTATCGTTTGTGCTATCAAGCTTAAAGGCATGATCGAAAAGTTTAGAGCTTATGGCACGAAAGATGGATTGGCAGAATTCGATTTAGATGAAGTTTAGGATTATATTTGTTCAGTTAGTGCTTCATTTTGTTCTTACGGAAATGTTAAGCATACGTAAGAAATTTTAGATAAAAAAAGCAAGATAAAAGAAATGATGAGCTATAAAAAAACAGAATTTAAAGTGTTAGACGATTATTATAAATTAATTATTTAATATTTATTTTTAAAATGATTATCAGCATTTTGAATTTGTTACGAATATTTTTTAATAATAATTACTATTATTATTTTTTTACATTAAAAAAAATTTGTTTTAGTGGTGCCATACTACTTTGTACTCTTAAAGAATCTAATGAAAGACACAAACCACAACAAATATTCTCCTATATAAGAAAAATTTTCTTGCATTATTTCTATTTGTTAATGAATATGTTATGAAACCTTACATTAGATTCATATATACTATCTCCTAATCGCGAATAATACAACTAATTAATAAATACTAGTCGCATATTTATATTATAGTATATTATACATTATTTTATTCTTATTTAATTGTGCCAATCATGAATAAGACTTTGTAACATATCTTTCAACCATGTTATTTAATATTTATTAAATTATTTATATCAATGTCATATACTTTACTAAATTTTTAAATAAATATTTAGAAATTGTAATAAATTTGTTTTGGAAAAAATTAGTAAACGAAATCTTATGTTGTGTTTATTTTTTAAAGCTTTTTGTTATTTATAATCAAGCTGATTGTAGGCTTCTTTCTTTTTTTTTACCTCATGGAGGTAGATATTAAAGGGATAAGATATTGAAACTTTTGGAATAAAGAAATTTCCTATTTATATTTCTAAAATCAATAATTTTAGATTTGACTCGAATAATTTTGAACTTTTATAAAATTGTTATAAGATATATATAAACTTTGCATGATATAAAATACTTAGGCTTTGAATAATTAGAAAAAATATTAACCAGTGATGAACACTGTTTTGCCCCTACTACTATGCCCTCTTTAATTTTTATTTTTGATGCTATTTTTTCAAAAAAAAAAATGGACGAGAAGTCGCGTAAAAAAACCTATCATAAAAAAAATATATAATGGAAAAATTAGGATCAATATTTAAAAGGTTTCCACAAAATAAAGATTATCAGAAATTATAGTCTAATAAATTTATACTTTTTAATAGGATATTTTAAAATTTTAAATCATAATTATTGATTTGATTTTAAGATTAATAAGTTCGAGATTGTTTTATATTATGTATATTAGAGGTCTGCAAAGGTAGGCCCGGCGCAAACTAGTTTCGGGCCGGGTTCGGGCTTACTTCTATTTAAAATAATCAGGTTCGGGTCTGGCCTAATATTTTTAAAAAAAATTCGGGTTATCAATTTTAAGAATTTTTTATGTAAAATAAAAATATTTGATTTTATATATTAAAACTAAACGACATATAATATATGTCTTTTATTTTGAGTAATTATAAAAATTAATTTCTATTTTTAAATAAATTCGGGCCGGGCCGGCAAAACTTTTTTAAATAAAATTTCGGGCCGGGCCGGGCTTGAAAAATTAGACCCGATGCAGATCACTAATGTATAGCTTAACAATACACATATGGCTGTTACTTTTGATTATTTATTCTAGACTTATATTCTAAAAAAACTTATAGAATACGTTTCTAAAACAAAATATTTAATTTTTAAATTGAATTACTATAATATTATAAATAAACCCAAATTAGAACTTAATTTAATAAAATAGTAAATCTCCCTTATTTTAAAAATTTTTAACTCTATTTTTTTTATGGATATAAAATTAAAAATGGGATTCTATTTGTATTAATACGCTGTTCCATTCTATAAAAACAAATATTTAAAATATAGAATTGTATGTCAAAATCACTTTTATAATTTCCTTAAAAATATATTTTTAAAAAAATATTATCCTATATATATATATATTTAAATTAAAAGAAAAAATTTTATACATTAAAAAAGATTAACAATTATTATATGATATAGTTTTTCGTCATATTTTACTTTTATATAACCTTTCACTGGGAAGGCCCATTAAAAAAAAGTAATTACATTGATTATTTATATAAATAAAATGATATTTCTAAATTTTTGCTCAATATAAAAACTTATATAAATATTGTATATTTACAATAAAATGTTGTTTTAAATTATACTTGGGTAAGCAAATAATTTCGTATTTACGTTTTTTTTATCCGCGTATCATTTTGTTGGATATTATACAAATAAATCGTATTTCCTTTTAAAATATCATTTTTAATTATCGTATTTATAAATTTAAAAAAAAATTAATTAGAGTTTTATATATAATATATGAATGTAAAAAAAAACTTTTTGATTCTTTAAACACTTACAGGTTTTATATATAAATATATCACACGAATCATAATGCCACAGGCAACGATTGATATTAATAATAATTATGGACATAGTCATTCAAACATATGCGAAGAATTTGGGAACTTGACTCTTATACACAACGGCCAAGAAACTTATGATGCAGCCTCAACTAATCTTTCCCATGGCACCGTTGATTATCAAGATAGGAATGGTTGTTACATCGACCACATACAGATAGATGGCATTCGTCAAAATGGGGCCTCCCTAGACTCAAATGTAACGAATGGGAAATTATATACTAGCGGATATTCAGACGAAAACTACGGGGTTCTCCCTATCGATGACTCTTCGGATAATTGTTTCATAGCGGAAACGGATGAAACCATATATTACCCCGATGAGCAGCAACTCGACAAAGATGGCAGCGATTCTATGATTAAACTATTGCAGCGCACGGGCTATACTATGATTCAAGAGAATGGGCAGAGGAAATACGGAGGCCCACCTCCCAATTGGCAGGGCGATCCTCCCAGCCGGGGCTGTGAAATTTTTGTGGGAAAAATCCCTAGGGATCTTTACGAAGATAAACTCGTTCCTTTATTCGAAACTGTTGGACCACTTTATGAACTCAGGTTTAAATATTTTAATATCCTTGTAATTATTGTTTTGAATTATTTACGAATCAATGGGTGGCAGGAACTTGATTGGTTCCTACCAGTTTGGAGCACTTAAAAGCTGACATTTTTACTTTTAAAACGCTATCAATTTAATTACGTTAATTTGCACTATTTTTTTCTTCTCTTAAATATATTTAGACCCACATATACTTGATAAGAATATATTAAGATATTTGATATTGATTATAAAAATCTAAGTGTTTATCCGAACAAAAAAATGTTAAAAGTTTCAATACATTAGCATTATCTGTCGAAACTGAATTATGTAAACTGATAATATAAGATATAGATACATTTATCTATTTTTTTTAGTTTTAGTTTACCTTATCCAATAACTTTATTATGTTATAATAATGTTTTATTATAAAAATATTTAAATTAATAAAATTTTAATGTGATTTTAAATACGTAAATCCATTTTATCAACACTTAGGAATTTTTTCCATTAAGTGCTAAGAATGATTGCATGATAAAATAATTAGGAAAATATCTTTGAGCAAATATTATTTAGCATTGTTAATATTTATTCTCGTAATAATATCTTCACTTAGACCCTGATACATTTTTTGAAAGTTTGCACTGAAATCGGTGTTACCATTACAATACAGATAAATTTCTGAAATAATGAAATACCTTAGGCCTATTCTGCTATAAGAATAATTTAGACAATATTTTAAGATTGACATTGTCAGCCACCATTTTATTTGCTTTAATAAGTAATTTTTTATCTTTATATTTGGTTTTTATGTTTGCTCATTTCATTTTAATTAACATATTTTACTGACCAATGAGTCTCCTTTTTTTTTTAAATTTAAAAAAAAAATTACTTACAAATCTAAAGTTTTATACGTGCACTATACAAATAATATAAGGTTTTAATTGTAAATATAAAATAATTCTTCAAATTTAGAATTTTATAGGGGGGATGCTCTAGAGTTTACATATTCGCTTCTCTCTTCTGATTCTGACAACTACTTTGCAATCCCCCGCCCCTCACTTTGAATCTGAATATCACTCCTTTCTGAGTATTAGTGCTACTTTGCTCTTTCTTCTGACTATCATGAATGATTATAATATATATTTAAATTTATTTATCGAAACCTAAGGTTCGTTCGTATTCACACGTAATTTAAAAAAATAATTATATAATCATACCAATAATTTGTCAAATTGTCATCGAATTCAGACTCATGATGGATTTTAGTGGTACAAATCGAGGTTACGCGTTTGTCATGTACACAAATAAGGATGATGCTCGCCAGGCCATAAAGTGCTTCAACAATTATGAAATTCGCAAAGGTAAAACGCTGGGCGTGTGTCCTAGCGTGGATAACTGTCGACTTTTTATAGGTGGCCTTCCACGAGACAAGACCGAATACGATATTAAGGAAAATGTGTCTCAGCTCACTGAGGGGGTCATAAATGTCATACTCTATCCAAGCGCCGAGGAGAAAACCAAAAATAGGGGCTACGCCTTCATAGAGTACGATTGCCATAAATCCGCCGCTATGGCCAGGCGTAAATTAGTTCCCGGAAAGATTCAGTTGTGGGGAAAACCAATCATAGTAGATTGGGCCGAACCTGAAGTAGATGTGGACGAAGAGATCCTTGAAAATGTATGATTTTATTTATTTATTTTTATACATATTTTAATAATTGAAAATGCATGAAAAATCCTCTTTTACTCGCCTATTTCAATATAATATGATTTTGAATAATTGTAATATAGTTTTATATGTCATTGTTTAAACAAAACCATGTTGAAAACTCATTTTTTTACAAACCGATTTTTATTTCTCAGGATATTTTGTTTTAAACTTATACATAAAATTTATAAGCATACTTATTTATTTAATACCTGCTTTACGCTTACAAATATTTTTTTCGCGCGGGCTTGATGGGATATATTTTTCAAAAATTTAAATTGCTCACAAATTTCAATTTAACAGAACTTTTTTAAATTATTGCTAAATTTTAACTTTTCTTTGCATGATTAGCCTTTTATATTTATGCATTATTAAAAACGCTTATGCAACCTTCTGGGGCTTTAGGCTTTTCCGACAAACTTTTTCAAAAAGTATCAAACCTATAGGAAACAGGTTTGTTTAATTTTTACATACGTATATTTATATAGTAATTTTGAGTTATAATTTAGTTATACCAGTTATATTCAGAGATGAACTTGCGCTATTTTTTTTTATTAAAAAACTTATAGCTCAATTTTATTTATTTTTTTATCTAAGCCGATTATTTAAAGTTTTTTATGAGGATTGATCAAAATTTAAATGAGTGAGGTTCATCTCTGGTTTTTTTTATTTTAATGGAGTTACAAAACTATATCCCCAACGAAATTTAGTTGTTATTTTTCCATAAATAATGGCCAATTACATGACAAATCAACAAAAATAACACCATATTTTAACTTATAATTTTTACAAGATTTTATATATATGTTAGCGGCAATATGTTTTTTTCTGGCAATGTGTTATTTTTTCAACTTTAAAACAATTTTTTAGCGCGTTTTTTTAAATTTAAAAATCTGATTTTACCAAAAATGAATTCCAGCATGTTTAGAATACCCATCTTATGAATTGTAGATAATTTTACCTTTAAATTTAGAGTTATTTATAATTTATATGAAAAACTTATGGAAGAAATAATAATAAATTATATTAGGTTCAAATGTTCATGATAAAATTATCTGAATTTTTTGGGGTAGGTATTCCAAGCATGATAGAATACATTTTCGAAAATCCTATTTTTAAATTTAAAAAAAGCGCCCTTGAAATATCATTTAAAGTTGAAAAAATAATACATTGCCGGAAAAAACACATTGCCGCTAACATATACAATAAATAAGAAGAAAAATTTTTTTAGCTCTCAACTTCAAAAGCGGGTTAGATTTAGACTTTTGAATGTCAAAAAAATGGGGCATTTGGGCAAAATGTACTCCCTTTAATTTAGATATCTTTGGATATAACTAAGGTAGAAGTTTCTTTTAAATTTTTTTATATAACTTAATGGTCGATTTTTACCAGACATTATATGACTCTTTTAATCGGAATTATTAAATTTTTCAATAATATAATATAGATAGTCTTATAATATTATAAAATACCCTTTTCCTTGACCAATATTATTTATGCCATAAAGTCATTCGTAGAAATTTCTTCTTGTTTATAGGGTCCAAGAATTGGATAAACCTATCAATTATCTAAAAAATTTTATTTCGAGAATGTGTTGTTGTTTCAAATCAAATTTATTTTTCAATTGCTTAACGATTTCACACTCTTCCTTAATATTTTAATTACTTTCTGGAAAAATTTTAAAATATCTTTCTTAATTTTTTTTCTTAGATTTTCAATTTTTTTATAACTGAGGATCTTTTTTTGTTTAAGCATTTCTTCTTGATTGATGTCTTGCCCATTATTGATTATGAATCATTTAGATGTTAGGGCGGCATCATTAATATATTCATTGTGAAATATAGATCAAGGAATTTTATTTAGGTCTTCGCAACGGTTATGTTTATTTAAACTGAATTGTAATCTACTGTTTAAAAAAAATAAAAAATTGCGAATTTTAGGAGCGAAGTAATATATTACATAAATTAACAATAGACCCCCCTCCCCCTCCCCCCATACCTTTAATCTATTTTAAATGTTACAATAAATGATTAATCAAATAATACAATTTTTATAATTAATGATTAAAATGTCATATCCCCTAAACATGTGCTCGGTCCAACTTGAAATTTTGCATATTTATTATATATTCTTATTATAAATATAAAAAAAATTTTTTTAAAAATACCGGTTTGATTTAACGATCATTTCCGGTTTTTGATATTTAAATTATTTTTTTTTACATTATATTACTTTATGGGCCTAACATTAGGCTATATAAAGAAATTTAAATGAAATTGTATCCAAAGATATCTAAAATTAAAGGGAGTTCATTTTGCCCAAAACACCTCATTTTTAACCTTTAGAGGCTTGTATCTCAGCTGATGTTTGGAGTTATAGGCTAATTTTTTTTTAGTTTGTATATATACACAAATTAGTTAAAATTTTAGAAAAATTTGAGTCAGGTTGAAACTCATGTTGATTTGTCATTCACCATATATTTTTTAGCGTCAACGTGTTTTTTCAGTCAATGTGTTATTTTTTCAACTTAAGTCATTTTTTGAGCATTTTTTTTTTAAATTTGAAAATATGATTTTACCGGAAATATATTTTCGCATATTTAAAATATCTACTTTATGACTTTTGGAAAATTTTGCCAATTTAGAACTTATTATAATTTTTCCACAGATTCTTTTAAATGATATATGCTCTTAAAAATGATTTATAATTGAAAAAATATGTGCACTAAGGAAAAATCCCATAAAGCTAGATGGGTATTGGGTTTTTTTTTAATTTAAATTTTAACTTAAAAATAATTTTTATTGTAACTTTTGGCTTGCAACATTTTATTATTGAAGAAAAATTTGTTCCTCCACATTTTTTTTTAACGGAAAGAGTTTCTCTCATTAATTTGACAAATTAATTATAATTTGGAAGGTGAAAATTCTGTATGTCCGAAATTTAATGCTAAATACCACCGAAGAGGTTATCAAGGAACACTTCCAAAAAGCTTGCAATGGTAGCGAGGGTTCCATAGACAGGGTCAAAAAAATTAAGGATTATGCCTTCGTACATTTTCTTAGGAGAGAAGATGCTTTGTGCGCCTTAGAAGCTATGAACGGTAAGAATTCATTGTTTGATACATAATAGTCTTTCAAATATCAATTGAATTGAGTGACAAGACAAGCGAATAGTCTTAAAGTTATTGTATAAAAGAGTTATACATAGTAGATGTATTATACTAAATTAAATTATTTTATGCACCCGCTAGAGTCATTAAATTAACCAAATCAAACTTTAGGGCAGCATATCGAAGGTAGTTTAATTGAAGTCAGCTTGGCCAAGCCAATCGATCAAAGCTATTACAATCAATATTCCCCCAAGCCTAGAATCATTTTGAATAGCAGTCTTGAGAGGAGAACATGTCCTAAAATGAATAACGGAATTGAATATAATAACGGAATATTAGATTCGGATAATCCGAAAATGGCTAACATAAGGTACATCATATTTTCTTAAAATTGAATGATTTTCGTTATTTATTTGTTATTAATTTTAGGGCAATGAGAGGAGCTGGAGGTCTAAGAGGTAATCCATTGCGCTTGAGGGGATACCGCCCTCAAAGAGAGGTTAAATATTCAAATGTGTTACCATTTCTATTTTCATATTATTAATAGAAAAAACTTTACGAAGCACGAGAAAAGACTAATATGGTTTTCGGATTTTCTAAACAAGGCGATTTTATTTACGAAAAGAATTTTCAAGTTTTAATATATATTTTATATCCTCCAAAAAAATTATAATATAAATCATTTATACTTGCTAATAAGATTCTGGAAGAATTTTGCAATAACCTAGGTTGGAAATTACCAGAATACAGAATCGATATCATAAAAAAAAGCGATAGCTGCAACAAAGAAATACGGTTGTTTGTTGGAAAGGTTTTCATATTTGGTTTGGAACAACTGTAATTTATTTTTGTTTGTGAAAAATAATTTAGGTGCGTATTAACGAATTGAGTCAAAATTATTTTCAGGCTACTCAAATGGGGTTAACAGGGCAAGAGGCTAAGCTTTACGCTGCGGATTATATGCTCAATTTTTTGAGAGCAAATTTTAATCCTCAAAGTATATAATATATATTTAATTTGTTAAATACAATTTTGAAAATAAAAAGATATACCATTAGATTCGAAAAATTATGAAGGCGACCCATTAGTTAAAATGAACGAAAAATTTTCAAGTATTATATTAATAATTTTGGTCAATATATATACATAAGGGCTTTCCACGGATCCGATCCATTATAAGTCGGGCCCTGGACTCCGACCTTATATTTTACAAATTGCAGAATTCATTCTGCTAACAATAAAAACCTTTTTTTTATATGAAGGGCTGACCGCCAAAATTATTCGATGCGGGACTTTAATTTATGCTGAATATTTTATTTTAATACAGGAAATAAAGTTGGTTCTCCAAATGATTTATCAAAGTTTCCAATGAACGATCAATATTTTACTCCGATGATTTCCCCAATGATCCCTCATTTGTCTCACCAAATTTATAATTCTCACCCGAACAATAATACTTATCAAATATCTTTACCTCAATTTGTGAATGGTTCTAATAATAATGAGATGTCTGGTGAGCAAATTAACTCCGTTATTCAGTCAGGTTATAAACACCCCTATTTGTTTAACAATCACTGGATTAGCACTATGGACCAAGAATTTATTAATAGTGGAACTATGAACTATGCTCAACTTAATTAAAATAAGTCTAGTTATATTTTTTTTTGGCTTATAAATTTATATATTTTTTGAAAAAAAAATCATTTTACTATAAAGCATAAAAAAATTTTTTTGGATGTGATATGTTAAATTTTTTCCATTTTATTTAAAAAGTTATAATTACTAAAAAAAATTATAGATTCTATATATTTATTCATGTAAATTAAATTTTTTATTGATAGACTTCAATTATGAGTATGAAGGAAATTTTTTTTGACATCTATGAATGAATTATGACATTTGTATTGTATCAACTATTTAATATTTATTTAAAAATTATGACTTTTATTTAATATATATTTTTGTACTTATTATTACAGTTGCTAAAATGGCAAGAATTGACTAATTAATTAAATCTGTTTTCAAATATTTTTAATAATTTTTTTACCATCTTTTTATTACTAATATACAATTAATATATACATATATTAAATTACGTTTCACGATATTTAATAAATTAAATTGAAAATTTTAGTAAAATTTAATGTATAGATCATTTACTATCTGATCGCACTTATTTCATTTTTTTATATATTACATTTAGATAGGCTACTTATTATTTCCTTGCATTTATTATTTTTATGAGAATTAATTGACTAGCTTATTTATCTAAATTACAAAGCTTAAATCATTTTTAATAACTATCAGGGACATGAAACAAAACTTGTGGGAAATTAGGGGCGGAAACATTCCCCGACCAGTTTGGAACTTCTGAAAAATAATTAAAATTTAATTTATTACATAATTATAATTATATATAGTGGTTCATTCATAAATATTCGTTTTTTTATTTTCTTAATTACAATTTGCTTCAGATAAAAATATGATTAAATATTATTGTGTGATTTCAAGAATTAAGATTATAAACAAAAATTTATAAATAATGTTTGAAATAATTTTAACTGCTGAATTATAAAATTAATATTGTATAATAAAAGTTTTAATTTCAATGTATAATCATAGTTATTAAGTTAGTGTTGGTTGAGAGGCGTTTTTCGATACTCAAATTTATATTAGCGCCTTAAAATATGATATTTTTTTTAGAAATATTTTAATTTATGTGTGGTATAATGTATGATAAAATAAATTAGATATTTTTAGGAACGCGTTCCGAAACATAGAACGGCGATAGAACTTATTTTTATTAGCGGAAACAAAATAGAAACGCCAAAATATCTAGGTTTTGGGCCCTTGATTAAATCTATATATTTAAAAGTTAGGATGTAAATTATTAAAAAATCACATATATAATAGCAAATTTTAATAATAGATCTAAATATATTGTTACGAATATTAGTAATATCCCATGTTCCATTGTAATATGAATTCTCCAAATATAATTATGGAAATTTACTTAATTAAATTATCACATATTTTAATTTAAGAGTATCGCCTCTGAGGACGATAAGTCATATTACATGCCTATCAAGGCATCGGAAAGGTGAAACAATGGGCCCACGAATATATTTATGGTGGCCATATGAATACCGAAAATGAAAGGATAGAAAGAAATGCATATTTTGTAATACTTGTGCCACCATGTCACATAAAGATGTAGGCGGTAGCTGGCCCAAAACAAGTCAACTGTGGATATACGTCAATTCTTTTAAAAAAAGTCATACTTCTTACTCGTGGATACATATTCAAAATGGATTTAATATGAAGAGGTCCATGGCTTAACAACTAATGTAGTAATTACAAAATTTATGGTCTTCGGTATTCTCAAAGCCATAGTGTCTGAATTCGAGCTAGCTTTTATTAGCGAGAAATTTAAACAATTCTGTGACACAAATTAAACAAATTTTGGCAGCACCATATCATCCTAGCTCGCAGACTAAGTGGATGGTGGCCATTGTTAAAAATTGGTTAAAAAAAGGCCATATATGAAAAGGGCGAAGTATGAATTCCCCAATTATATTATAATAATGTCAAGAACAACGGGGATGGGGGGGGGGGGGTTGATCCCGATTGAAAAATTCTTGGGTAGAAAAGCTAATGTCCTTTTAAATCTTTTAAAACTGTTGTAATTAATAATTTTTAAAAGATATATTTGTGTAATTAATGTTTTTAAAAGATATATCAATTTTGTAAAATATATATATATCTGTCGTGGGCCATGTATTTTATTTAAAAGATCCCCATTCAATTATTACTTTTTTTGCAACTAGATAGAAAAATTTTAAAATATATTATATGGAAATAACATTCATTGGACCGAAAATTTGAAAATCAAAGTGATATAATAAGGATAGAAATTCCTAAATAATAAAATAAGGTAAAAACATATATTTGTATAATATAAATAAACTTAGGGTCAATAATACACTTTGTTAATAATAAGAGTTTGTTTTTGTAATACATATAACTTTTATAATATAAGTTTTATAATAATAAGAATAAATAGTTCTTTCGATACATCTGTTAAAAAAATTAATTACATTGAATAGAACACGCTCACCATTACCCAGTATTTCGTCCAGAAAAATATTACGCAAGCCTCAAGATTTTGCTCATAGAAGGAACAAAGGTCTAGGCATACATTATCGAAATCTCGAGGCTTAGGCAATATTTTCCTGACTAAAATATTGAGTTAGCCGTTTTAAAAAATCGGCTCAAAATGAGCCGTTTAACAACACTAATACTGATTAATAAATTTTAGTCTAAATCTTTCATGTCTTCTGAAAGGAAATTCCAATAAATCATAATTTTTCGGATCACCTTACTCCGAAGAATTGAGAAATTCGGCCTTCTGTCCGTTGGAGGACGCCGTGGTTCATCTTTGTTACCCCCATAAGAAAAAGAAGCCATTTTATTCATCACGAATTATCATATTTCGGAAAACGAATTTATACACTCGAATCATTTCCTCTATGATTTTAAATTCCAAATTATATTTTTTTGGATTATATAGCATATTTTGGAATACGAATTTATACAATCCAATCATTTCCTTTATGATTTTAATTTATTCCAAATTATATATTTTTTGTAATATAGCAGGATCGCGTTATGCCTCTGAAAAACTATTTCGAATAATTTGATGAATATAATCTATTCCGCGATTACTTTAATAATAATATCCCTAATAAAACAAATATCGAATAATTCCTCTATGAAACTTATTTTCTTGCAAAAAAATATATTATAATATTCTAAATTTTCGAATATTTATTATTTTATTTTACTCTGATAATATATTAATTCCCAATTTTGGAATATTTATTATTTTATAGTAATTCCGATTTCCCAATAGAATATTTGCATAGTAGTGACCTCTTTTCCGTCCTTTTGATCGTGAAGGGGAGTATACTGCACCTTAAACAGTGATCATTTCGCCGCATTGATATTATAAGTGATAATAAAATTGCCATATTTTTACATGACCCCAAAATATTCGATCCGTTGTTGGGGCAACACTTTCATAAGTTGAATATTAATAATACCCCATGTTCATTGTAATATTAATATTCCAGATATAATTATCAAAATTTTACTTAATTCAAATTATCATACATTTCAATTTAAAAGTATCGTCTCTGGCGATACTCTACTATAAGTTATCCTACACTACCTAATATGCACATGAGTAATTAATTAATTATTTTTTGATCATATTCTTTTCAAATTTGTTTAGCCATTGTTTATGGCACGTCTTGAATCCTGAATATATTTTTTTATACCCGCTCTATATTAATAAATTTAACCTAAAATATTATTACAAAAATTTAATTGAGTGTCGCTTTTTATAATTACTCAGCATAAAGGTTAATCTATATATTATTAAAGCTCCCATATAAAGGAAATTCTTTTTTTCTTTTTCTCAATACAGTTACTTTATTCATCTATATTTATCTATACTATACAAAGTAATCCTGAATGACGTTCTAAATCAATAAACAGGAATATGAACCCACAAGATTTTGATCAATATTACGAGAGAAGGGTGCAGAGCTCATTAAACTTCTTGTGCTATGTAGACGATGTGCCTAGCTAATTCCAAAACTATACTTAGAATCATCCTGTAACTATTTATGAATAATTTTTATGAATATGGATTAAGAGTAATCTACACTAAGAGCAAATTAATCGCCTCTAATACATCCATAACAAAGTTCTCCTTCAACATGATAGAAATAGTGACATAGTTTAAATACCTATAGACCACAATAAATTCATTGGATTTAACTAAGTCAGATACAAAATCTAGAAAAAACAAGATTAAGTTATGATATACTACCAGCTTACGAAAGTATAGTCTTCCAGCTAAATCGACTTACCAAAAAATAAAACTTAATAAATTCTTGATTATCCCCATATAAACATTTTGACTAAAAAAATGGCAAGACACCAAAAATAATAAATCAGACATTTATAAAGTCTTACTATCCATATAATACCTCTGCTAGGCCTTTAGCTGTGTTATATTTTAAAAATATTTTGGTATTTCACTTTTTCTTAAAAATTTTGAATAAGTCGTTATTTTAAAAAATTATTAATTTTACTAAATTTTCTTTCAAATTCTTGCTATAGTGTGATATATTGAATATAGGGAAAGAGGTTAGTGTGTAGGGGGGGGGGATTTTTATTAGCCTAAAATGATATTTGCGAGACCACAAATTCCTGAGGGGGAATCTTCCTCTCCGTTTATGCATATTCACAGAAATTAATATGAATTTTAACTCTAACTCGTCATTTAATGTGAATGACACTCAATGATATATAATGATGGAATAGAAATTGTAACCTTAAATATTAAATTTGCCAAACTTCAAAAAGATTTTGGATTTCATATATAGAAGGCTGGTAGTACAGGCAATCTCCTATGTAGTGTTGTTAAACAGCTTGATTTGGCTCTATTTTTAAAAAGTGCAAGATTAAGATTTTAGCCAATGTAAGCCTGGAGATTTTTCCCATAGATGATATAAAGGTTTGGACCACTATTTGTTAAATCTCGAGGCTTGCATAATATTATTAAAATCTCAATAGGGTCATTTTTAAAATCACTACTATGCTTTCCAAAATATTATATTTCAGCATCTATGTCACCCACAGCCTAGCTATGGCAAGGCATCTATTTAAGATTATTTTCACATAACTTGTTCTGTGTACAAAATTTCAGTTAGATGTATATTTAACAAGAAAACGCCAGCAAGATCCTTTTAGAGAATGAAATCTGTGGAATTTGCAAAATAAATCTGAGCCATCTGAACTAATTAAAAATAAATTAAATTATTACTTTTTATTAAATAAAATCTTGTTCTTACACTAAATGCTCCCGAAGTAACGTTTGTTCAGTTTAGGGAAGTTTATTCTTGAAGAGAACCAAGCGCTTCCTATAGTCGGAAATTTTTAAAATAGTTTATTGATAGGCTATTAAAAATTAACTAAGCCCGAATTTTTATAAAAATAATAAGTGCATAGATACTCTGATTTAAGAAAATAAAAATCAATTTATAACCAGATCCTATATTGAAAAGATTTTAAATTGAAGAAATTCTATTCGCAGTTCTATTGGATTCCCTTGTTTTCTGTTAAATATTAAAATCAGACTATTTTAGCGTTTAATTTATATTTATATAAAATAATTTTATATTAAAACAATCATAGTGTTGTTAAACGGCAACTTATTATTTTATCCAGAAAAATATTACGCAAGCCTGAAAATATTGTTCATGGAAGGAGCAAAGGTCTATACATATCATATAGTATCTCGAAATTTTTTTTAAAGGTAACAAAGAACAAACGTCACTTGCTACACATACATATAATGGTTACAGAATCGAGATTTATTGGCTTAAAATTATAGAAAATTAGTTTAATTCATTATTTAAATTCTACTTGGAGAACTATATTTGCAATATGACCGATTTTATAAGTAAACAATAAGTTTTATACTCGGTGATATATGATGTGTTGTTTGTATATTTTATAATAAAATAAGTAATAATTTTATATATGCAATTAATATTATTTTATATGTGCAATATATATTTGATTAAATGCACAATTGCGATAAATATGTTTTTATATGTTCTATTAGTATGATTTTATATGTAAAATTCTTAAAATTAAATATGGGAATCATTTCATATTAGTCTTTTTTAAATAAAAATGTGATAACTATAATATTGTGTTTAATTTAGACATTTTTATCCGAATAAGAAATGAAATAAAACATGTATACTATGAACAGCCTTTAAATAAATCCCGGCGTCCTCATAAAAATGTGGCCGCTAGGAAACATTTTGGGGGGAAGTGAAATATGCTCAATCTAATTGATTAATTTAATATCTATATTTTAATTTTACGATGTCCTCGGCTAGCTATGTCATGTCATTGGTACGCATTTATTATTATTTTTTAAATTTTTTTTTAACGTAAATAAATACATTCACTTTTTTTCATAAAAACAAAAATAACTAACATTAAAACACAAAAAAATATACATAGTATACATTAATATTATTATTTAAATAAATTTATATATCTATTCTTAATGATCTACCTTTTTTGAAACTTGCCATTTCTTTGCATCCACCATTATTCCCTTATTCCGGATTCTTTTGTAAAAAAGATATTCAATAGAAAATTATACATGATTCACTATTTTTATCGTTTCGAAAGAATAATACCTGGTAATGGTATGATATTTTTATAACTTGAATAAATTTTTATATTTCTATTTTTAAGGATCCTAATTTTTTAAAGCTAATCATTTTGTCATTCCCAACATATCCCTGATGATTATTCTTAAAGATACATATTTTTTTAAAACTTTCCATTTCGTCACATATGCTATTATTCTCTTTTATTCCAGTGGTCAGGAATAATTTAACAGTTGCACCTACATTCTGAGCTATGGCAGCAGAATTAACCTTACCCGAAAAAAAAAATTAATCATTTTTTGACACCCTTTTGGCAGTACACGCGGTATTAGGAATGATTAATAAATATTTATATAAAATAGATAAATTAGGGAAAGTATAAAATTTTAAAGCAAACGTTAAGGTAAAATAAACAAACTAAAATTTCCAGTCTTTATAAGTCTCGAGTCAGTATCAACAAGAAGAAGCTAAATAATGTATTAATATAAATATTTAAATAAAATAAATTCACAGTTATCAGAATCTGTTAAATCTTTAGATTCTTTAACCTCCAGATCATGTGTAATAATTACAAAATATAAATATTTTAAAACTTAGACATTTTATAAAAATTTGCCTTGAATTTAAATGATAAAATTTGCAGATATCCTCAATATCATCCTTATAGAAAATCTTTTAAGCCATTCTCTTTCGTGTAAAAAATGATGTTTGATTTAAAAACAGTATTATTATCTATTAAGATTTTAAAAAAATATAAGACAATAGTTGAAATTATAGTTTTTAAATTAATCAGGCAATCTTTTGCCCAATGATATATATAACTATAGATTGACGATTCATTCATTCAATGCATTATAAAAGTGTCCACACATTGTAATCAGCTGTAGCGCCATTTTGTAGTTTGGTTATCCATTATTTGTCAGCAAGAAATAATGTATTTCCTCAACATTTAAATATGAAATCACAACCTTTTAAAGCAAATAGGGGCCTCAAACAAGGATGCATCCTCTCACCGATTATTTTTAATGTAATAATGAATGATATCCTAAATAAATCCCTTAAACAGGAATATGCACTCAACATATTACAGTGATTAACAGCACCTCAATGATACGCATAACTCTCTAAACTTTCTATGTTATGCCGACGACGTATGTATTCTAGCCAACTCAGAATACAAATTAAGTATTTTAACATTATTTGTCAATAACTGTGATGGATATGGTTTAAGAGTTAACTACACAAAAACCAAGCTGATCACCTCAAATACCGATGCGAGTAACTTAAACCCCTTTAACTTTGAGGGTAATACGATAGAATTAGTGTCAGATTTTAAATACCTAGGAACCAGGATAAAATCATTAGGCCTCACTTTTTTAGATACGAAATCGAGAACGAATAATGCTAGACTCCGCTATCATCAACTGTCGAAATTTGGTCATCCTACCAAATATCAACTAATTTAAAAATAAGACTCTTCAAGTCCCTTGTACCCATTTTTACCTACGGCCTAGAGACTTGGCAGGACTCAAAAAGTAACATAAACACAATTCAGACATTTATAAACAAATGTCTTAGAAGAATCACCAAAACGTATTACCCATACAACACATCAAATACAACGCTCTGGAATAGATGCGACATCCTACCAATCAATCGTCTCATACCCTTGAGGAGACTAGAATTACTCTTAAGACACTTGCAGGAAAATATGATATTCTCGTCCTTGAAATGGTGCCCTGACGGTAGGAAGAAAACTCCTAAATACTATTGGTTGGCGAAATGTTTGAAAGATATGGACCTGATTAACCTCTCGTTTGCAGATTTCATGGCGCTCAGCAAAAACAAGAAACACCTAAAAGAACATTTACAATACATGTTAAAATATGGCCTAAATTAATATTGAAACCGTTATTCAGAAAGAAAGAAAGAAAGAAAGAAGAGAAGAGAAGAGAAGAGAAGAGAAGAGAGAGAGAGATATAATAAATAGAATAAAGTATGTTTGATAATGATAATAACCTGAACAACAACAACATAACTTAACTTCCTTTATTAACCCACGACTTTTCTTTTCTGGACACACGATATCGGCGATGATAACGATAACAATTACGAGACTATTAGTTGTATAATGGACAAAGAAGGTACACTGGTTTAATAATAACGCAATAACTCGTCGAACCTAAATATCATTGGCACAGCACATACAATATCTACCTACAGGACATACGATATTTGGCACACCGAACAAACAAGGAAGAGACTCTTCATGCAAACTTAACATAAACTCTCAATACTTACCAAGATATAAGGGTTATTATTTTTTGTTGCCTCACTAAATACCACTTAAGGATGCAGGTACATTATTATATGACATTATTTTTTTTTCCTTAACACTATTCTGCCGGTAAAGGAACTAATACATCACCATTATTGTACTTCTTCCTTCTTCACTTTGCTAACTGGCTACATAGTGGTACCGTCCACTATAATAAAACGGGTAGACATCATGTATGGGATCTATATACTAGTGAAAATACATGATGCACGCTTCAACTCCTGGTGGGTGATGAAATTGTACTTCGTGTAATTTCTGGCGTGGTAATGAATGAATGAATGAAGTCTACTACGATAATTTAGTTTTAAAGGTTTCGATTTATGATATAATATTTTATAGTATCTTTTGTTCTTTATTTTCATAAGATTTTTTTTTATGAAGGTGGACTAGGTGATTATATTTAAAAAATGAATCTCAGACTAACCCACCTTTTAATTTTTCAAAATATAGTTTACCTAATCCTGCATGGACTAATAAATCTTATATTTATACATGTTAGGATACATACAAAACAGATCTTTTAATATCACTAGCATTTATTATTTTTTTTAGATAATGGGAGTGTGCTGTGTACATAATTTTAATAAAACAAATAAAATAGAATCTAATACACATATATCTTATCATAAGTATATATATATTATTTTTTATATGCAACATATTTATTACATAAAGCATTAATATGCTACAAACATTTTAAAAAATCCTTATTTAATAAAAATATAAAGTTTTCTCATTTTTATTGCTAGGACAAATAATGCTTCTTCCTCTTGAGTTGATAGATTTCTATTTTGAACTTTGCCTAAATATTTTAGCTAGCCATTTTTAAAATACATATTTACTCTGATACAGTTTCATTTTAAATATTTTTAAGAAATATGTAAACCATATATATAATAATAAAGGCTCTGCCAATCAACAAATTTTTACTTATCCAATACTATATTCAGGCTTGTTAACCGATCTTTTTTAAACGATCGAATCCCGATCACGATCTTTTCAAAAAAAGAGGATCGAAATCCAGGATCGACCTTTTTTTCTATTTATATTTCCGAAGGAAATTTCTTACCGATGCAAAATTAATTAATATATGTTATAAATTTATTGTAATTGAATAATAATATATTATAACCGATGCAAAATTAACTAATATAAAAATAAATTAAATATGGTAAAAATTTTTTGTAATTGAATAATAAATATAACAATTATAATATATTTATTTATAATTAAAATTAGCTTTTAATAATAAAATTTTTTCTAAATTATCATCATTTAAACATCCGCGTCTTTCATTTAGAACATGTTATGCTATTCATGGAAACATCATTTGAATAAAAAATTTTTTTTAACGGAACAAGCATTATGTACAGTATTTTTCCCCCAAAAAGCATCAATGTCATCCATACATTCATTTGAGGTATCCGCATATGGTTGTTCCTGCATATTTCCCAAATGGGCAACTAATCTTTCTTTTACCATCATATTTTGTGGCAGATTAATATAAGGCCAATTAAGTTTAAATTTAGGGTGAATCATGGCTGCCAAAATGTTACTGTCTTCATAGAGTGAAGGAAATCTATATTATGAAATGATAATTAATTTATTATTAAATAAGTGTTCATTTTATTCATATAAATCAAATCAAGTATCTGCAAAACTTAACCCTTTTAAATTTTACAGTCAAGTCTGGCACATCATATGTATGGTATTTATTTATATTTGGGTCATATCATAAATATTGATTAAATGTAAACTTAAAATTTAATATACAAAGAAATTAACATTGTAATTTATTTACAAAGAATATTAATCAAAATATTAGCTTAAAATTCAAATAATCTAATAAATTTTTAATGTCTTCAAAGGCCCATTAATATTTTACTAGATATCAGAGGTTTAATAGAACTGGCCTGTTAAAGATATTTTACTAAATTTGCCAGATCTTTGCAATTTTTTTAACATATTTTGCAGATATCTGATAATATAAAATAATTGTATAAAAAAATATTACCTTTTATCAATACCTCTAAGAACACTATCTACAAGGGGCTGACAATACCGCAGGCAGCTAAATTTCGTTAATTAATCTATCAATATCGATAGAACGGGAGTTAGATATACCAGCTCCATATTATCCTCCCGTTCCAAGATTTTAAACGAGATCGCCAAAGGTTCCATAACCTAAATTTATTAAGAGAATATCATTGTATTACTGTTACATACTCTTTAACAAAAAAACATTCCACTTGCCTAAACATTGCAAATCCAATTTGATCACATACTTGTTCTACTTCTGAAAACTTTTCAGAAAGCATCTTAACTATTAATTTCATGGATTGGTAATAAGAATTCCATCTTGTCTTGTTGGGAGCTATTAAATATCTTCCCAATTTCTCCAATAAAATATCCGCCATTTTTTACGACATATTTTGTTTATTAACTAAAGCAAAACATTTTGCAAAAGTGGATCTAGATATTAGTTTATAAGATCACTATCTGCCATCTCCGCATCTGTTGTTGCAAGGTTAAGATTATGGCAACAACAACGTTGATGTTTTGGTAGGCTGATAGTAGGAATAATTGGGTCATCAACGGATAATATGTCATCCAAATTTATCAATTCCATATCCTCACTACTATTCTTCATTTTCTCCAAAAACTAGAAAAAATAAATTAATTTAAATATTTTTTGCTAAATATAAATATTACTTAAATGCCTTGACAAAGTTGGTTCCATTGTCAGTCACCATCTTCACCGCCTTATTATAAATTTTATAGAACTGTGGATACCCATGATTTCGTTGGCCAAAACATCTGTTTGCCTCACAATTATCCTCCTCAGTGCCAAAGCGGCTGACCTTCTCTTGAGGGTTAATGGATCCAGCCAATGTGTAGTAAGTCCAATAAAAGCCCTAATAAAATAAACATTATGAAATTCATATATATATAATATACCTTCGATGACCACTCCAACAATCACCAGTGGTGCATACATAAGAAACTTCAGACAAATCTCTTATAAGATTTGTTGTCATATAAGAGAAGGAAGTAGATATCCTGTTGTAGAGTGTTTCGCGACAAGTTTAAATCATTTTTTCAAATGAAGGATCATCAACCAGAGACAGTGGTTGGAAGGTGTCAATAATAAAATCCATGATAACCTCGTCTGCTGTTTTTTGCGATACAGCTGGAATGTTTAGATTGTTAAAATTTAATTTAGATTGTCTGGATTTGCAACCGGAACCACTTTGGTTTTGCAGTGATATATTTTTTCGTGTAGAGAATTCGTTGAGGTGTTTGGTAATCTCATTTTTAAATTCACTGTGCTTTTTCTTTATAAAAGAAAAAAATAGTATGTATCAAAGTTGGATGAAAATAACTTCTCCTGAATCAAATTTCATTTTTAAAATTTTATATGGAAATTGAAAGTTAAAAAAAACAATGTACAGGCTGAATGTAAAACTTATATAAACAAAAAAATGATAAAGGGTTCAACAAAAATTTTGTTAAACATATTAAAGTATATTATTTAATTTATATATGGTTAAAAAAGGTTCATATAGGTTATTTTAAATTTTAAGTTTACAATATTGTCCTTGTCTATCATTATTAAAAGTTGCCCAAGATGATATGGGCTAAAGATTTTGATAAAATATTTTCCTATATATGAATATAATTAGCTTTTTTGGCATTTAAGAACTATGGATTAAGGGTTAAACAAATTTTGTTAAACATATTTAAGTATGTTTTATTGTGGTTAAAAGGGGGTAGGTTATCTTAAAAATGTAAGTTTACAATATTGTCTATCATTATTAAAAGTTGCCCAAGATGATATGGGCCAAAGATTTTGAATTTCCTATTATGAATATAATGGGTGGCATTTAAGAACTTATGGATTGAGTCAAATGATACAAAAAATACTTTCAATTCAAAATATATTATTAAAAGAAGCCCTAAAAATGTTGTCAAGAGGATTAAATCAAGCTCAAACTGACTATAATACTAATGATTAGATTTAACATATTATAATAAAGAAATAATAGAATAGATATTTATTTTTCTTTTGGTGAAACATTGCTAAGTTCAATACAAATAACATTGAACTGGATGTTTTAATTATATTAAAGAAAGTCAAAATACATTATAAAGGCTTAATTATTAGTTATTAGACTTCAATTTATTATAAATACTCTTCTTTTGAAAATTAAACTAATATAATAGTAATATTAAAAAATAAATGCCTAATTATTATATATAAATAACAAAACTAAGATTAACTCTTCATCAAATATTTTATTAATTATACTGTATCTAATAATTCATTTTTTTTATAAAGAATCTGTATCTAGATTCTATTTCTGTAGGACCTGCTCAACTCAGGAATGTAATAAATTAAATTTAAACATGTTGACATTAAGATTATCAAATAAAAAAGAATTACTTGTAAGTCTCTTTAAGTTCGAGGATGATATTTTGGAAGATGATATTATCTTCTACAAAGACGGCATTAAGATTCTCATTCTCACTTATATCTGCTGTTACATCAATAGTAGAAGCAATAGAATCTTCTAAATCTATAATGGACATTTACATTTACTTATTAAAATAAATATTAATATATTATTATAAATTTATATTAAATAACTTGTAAGAGCTCTAAATCTCGTAAAATTTAGGAAATGAATAAATATATCTATAAAATAAATGGTGGAATGGAAGTTGATAAACTATGAAGATAGATATTTTTTTAAAAAATAATATTTTAATTTATTTTCAAATTTTTTATTTTATTTATTGCTTTTTAAGTAAAAAATAATTTTTAAAAAGATCGGGATCGAATTTTAAACAAAATGATCTCGATCCTCAATTTAAGTCAGAATCATAAATCTCGTAAAATTGACAAATTTGCGATCGAATCCAGGATCGTCGATCTTTTGATTCGATCTTTTAACAACTCTGACTATATTACTAATAACTGATCTGATATTTATTTTTATGTACTATCTATCTTTGTATCAATGTCATAAATATATCTTATATTCTACTCATTATTATTCACCTATTTTTAAATATAGATTATTAAAATCCAAAGAATTATTGGAAAAATGGTTGCAAGCTATAAATATATATGCCTAATAAATATTGTATTATTTGTAGAAGGCATTTTAAAAATACTTGTTTCATTCATACTTTATCCGGAAAGATTTTATTGAAAGAATATTCAATTCCATCGATATTTAGTATATCTAAGCCGCTTCATGATTATGTTATTAAAACAATATTTTAAAATATATACTTTTTAGATAACGAATGTTTATTCAAATAACATACAAACACCATTAAAAAGTGATATATTATATGAAAATGATATTATACATATAACAAATGATCATAATTATTCCGCGACATATGAAACATTAAAAAGAAAAATTATTTACCAAGAGGCTATAATTAAACACTTAAAAAAGGGCACATGCTTATTATAGGATCTCAAAAAGAAGAAAAAATAAAATAATCAATTTACAAACAATAATCACTTCACTAAAAGATGAAAATTTGTTATCAGATGATGTCGAAAATATTATAGACAGGCACTTTACAGGGACATCTTCTATATTCCTTAAAACACATATACACAGTGGAGGCATCTCAAACCCACAAAATATACAGGTGAATTCCGTCAATTTGCATTGACTATGCATTTTTATTCACCTAAGGCTTACAGATATCTCAAATCACATTTTGTATGCCTTCGGAATCCACATTAAGGGCATGGAGTCGTAAGATTGAAATCATGCCAGGTTTATTATAATAATTTTTTAAAAAATAAATTAAATTAAATAAAGGTTTCCTTTCTATTTCATTTACCCAAAAAAAGCTACCAAAAAAAATCAGAAAAGCAGTTGGCGTACTTAGCCTTGATGAAATGCATATTAAAACACAAATAGATTATGATCCCCACAAAGCAGAATATCATGGTTATGTTGATTTAGGTGATGGGACAAAATCAACAAAGGAAGAAATATTATCCAGAACCAACAAAGGCACTGTTTCTTATGGCTACCTGTCTTAATAGCAGCTGGAAATGCCAATAGCCTATTTTCTAGTTTCACAAATGAATTCAGATATCCTTGCTAATTTAGTGAGAGATGCATTGTTCAATCGTATATGCTTCCAATCTAATAATATAAATACAAAATAAATAATTAATCAAATTTAATATAGCTAGCTACCTCTCCATTTGATTCATTTATTAAAATTTCCTCCTCCGCTAATAGATTTCTAAGTAATTTGAGCATATGACAAACATCTAGTAACATATATATTTTTTCCGAATCATAAAATTCCAGCTCAATATATGGAATGATATTATCAGGATCCATACTAACACCAAGCAGTTTGCTCATTTTTTTATTAACAGAATAACCATCGCATACTATGGCCTTACAGATAACTTCAGTTTCATTTAGATTGAACAATGCATCTCTCACTAAATTAGCTAGGATATCTGAATTCATTTGTGAAACTAGAAAATAGGCTATTGGCATTTTCCAGCTGCTATTAAGACAGGTAGCCATAAGAAACAGTGCCTTTGTTGCTTCTGGACAAGATTTATCTTCCTTTGTTGATTTTGTCCCATCACCTTATTCTGCTTTGTGGGGGTCATAATCTATTTGTGTTTTAATATGCATTTCATCAAGGCTAAGTACGCCAACTGCTTTTCTGATTTTTTTTGGTAGCTTTTTTTGGGTAAATGAAATAGAAAGGAAACCTTTATTTAATTTAATTTATTTTTTAAAAAATTATTATAATAAACCTGTCATGATTTCAATCTTACGACTCCATGCCCTTAATGTGGATTCCGAAGGCATACAAAATGTGATTTGAGATATCTGTAAGCCTTAGGTGAATAAAAATGCATAGTCAATGCAAATTGACGGAATTCACCTGTATATTTTGTGGGTTTGAGATGCCTCCACTGTGTATATGTGTTTTAAGGAATATAGAAGATGTCCCTGTAAAGTGCCTGTCTATAATATTTTCGACATCATCTGATAACAAATTTTCATCTTTTAGTGAAGTGATTATTGTTTGTAAATTGATTATTTTATTTTTTCTTCTTTTTGAGATCCTATAATAAGCATGTGCCCTTTTTTAAGTGTTTAATTATAGCCTCTTGGTAAATAATTTTTCTTTTTAATGTTTCATATGTCGCGGAATAATTATGATCATTTGTTATATGTATAATATCATTTTCATATAATATATCACTTTTTAATGGTGTTTGTATGTTATTTGAATAAACATTCGTTATCTAAAAAGTATATATTTTAAAATATTGTTTTAACTATGTAATGATATTGTTAACAACATAATCATGAAGTGGCTTAGATATACTAAATATCGATGGAATTGAATCTTCTTTCAATAAAATCTTTCAGAATAAAGTATGAATGAAACAAGTATTTTTAAAATGCCTTCTACAAATAATACTATATTTATTAGGCATAAAATTTTTTATATTTATAGCTTGCAACCATTTTTCCAATAATTCTTTGGATTTTAATAATCTATATTTAAAAATAGGTGAATAATAATGAGTAAAATATAAGATATATTTATGACATTGATACAAAGATAGATAGTACATAAAGATCAATATAAATATCAGATCAGTTATTAGTAATATATTATTGGATCAGTAAAAATTTGTTGATTGGCAGAGCCTTTATTATTATATATATGGTTTACATATTTCTAAAAAATATTTAAAATGAAACTGTATCAGAGTAAATATGTATTTTAAAAATGGCTAATTAAAATATTTAGGCAAAGTTCAAAATAGAAATCTTATCAACTCAAGAGGAAGAAGCATTATTTGTCCTAGCAATAAAAATGAGAAAACTTTATATTTTTACTAAATAAGGATTTTTTAAAATGTTTGTAGCATATTAATGCTTTATGTAATAAATATGTTGCATATAAAAAATAATATATATACTTGTGATAAGAAATATGTGTATTAGATTCTATTTTATTTGTTTTATTAAAATTATGAACAAAGCACACTCCCATTATCTAAATAAAATAATAAATGCTAGTGATATTAAAAGATCTGTTTTGCATGTATCCTAACATGTATTAACATAAGATTTATTAGTCCATGCAGGATTAGGTAAACTATATTTTAAAAAATTAAAAGGTGGGTTAGTCTGAGATTCATTTTTAAAATATCACCTAGTCCACCTTCATAAAAAAAATCTTATGAAAATAAAGAACAAAAGATACTATAAAATATTATATCATAAATCGAACCTTTAAAACTAAATAATCGTAGTAACTTGTTTTCTATATATTAATATTTCTTGCTGACAAATAATGGATAACCAAACTACAAAATGGCGCTACAGCTGATTACAATGTGTGGACACTTTTATAATGCATTGAATGAATGAATCGCCAATCTATAGTTATATATATCATTGCTTTTGCCAATTAAGTTTGATTTATTGACAACCCTATTTTCTTCGAAATGGTTTGCAATTTTGTACAAGCCAAGCTTGTTATTAACAATTCACCCAAAAAACAAAGTGATTAAAATAAATTTAAATGTTTCTATTCTAAAAACAATAACACTAGCCATAGTAGAAGCGGCAGAATCTTCACAATTTTTTAAAGCTGTCCTCAAAGTATTATAAATTGGAAATAATTTTAAAATAGCTTTGTATATATGATTAGCAAGCCTCTATAAATATAAAATAAACAATAAACTTTTAAAATCGAAACAAATAAGCTATTATTACCGAGTGATATTATTGTGGCGTAAAAATCATTGCGATTTTGTCAGTACACTTTAAGCTTTAATATTTAGAATATTTCTCTTTTTTAGAATATTTATATTATTATACGACTATAGATTCAATTATAATTTGGATTATAATCCCTTTTATTTTTTTTCCCTCTTCATTGTTTGAATATACAATTTGAGGGCAGTTTCCCCATCTGCAAGTTGTTTGATATTGTCTTTAAAAAAGGTACTATTTCAACGCTTTTCTTTATATTGTTAAAATTTTACCCTTCATGTTTTTTTCTATTATTGTCTGTTCATCGTGTGCAATTATTTTTTTAAGCATTTATATTTTTTGGTTAATATTTTTGGGCATATTTTGAAAAAATAATTTGACTAGACAAGAAATCTTTTGACTAGGGATGATTAAATACAAAATTAAAAAAATTTAAAAAAAAAATTCCCCCATTCAAATTTTAAGAAGCAGTAGCCTGGACCCCCCACCCTTACCATTGTAGGCGCAACTGAAATTTAATATCGTTTAGCTTTAATGTTTTTTATTTAACTACTAAACATTGGCATAAGATGACTTAGTTTGAACTCATTCATAATGTATTTACACATGTATAGAAAAAAAGTTTATGTAACTTGTGCTATAACATTTGGCTTTGCGCTTATTTTCTATATTCATTATATTTTATTATTTAATCGAAAGGAAGTAGCCTATATAAACTTAAAAGATCTTCTAATAATTTGTATAGCTGCATCCGAGAATGGAGGATCCTTAATTTATAAAGTTAGATCAGATAATAATTTAAATAAAACAAGTAAAGGTAAAACTAAAGAAGGTGCAAATGATCCCCTAACTAATGGAGATATATATTCAAATATAATAATGCAGAAAACAATTAAAACTTTATTTCCAGGAATAAAAGTTTTAAAATTTTATCACATCACTTAATGCCCTAAATGATAGATTGTTTCAGAAGAAAAAAACCAACTAAAAGATATTAAAATAACAAATCACATAAAGAGTATAACTAATATTCCTGATCAAATTTATAATCAAAATGATTTGCTAATATGGATTGATCCTTTAGATGCAACTCAAGAATTTACAGGTAATATATGATTACATATGTACTCAATTTTATTTTTTTTAATTAGAAAATCTCTTGGATTATGTTACCACAATGGTATGTGTAGTTGCTAATGGGGAACCAATCATTGGAGTGATTCATAAGCCATTTCAATCAAAAAATAACACATGTTAATAAGTTTTACAATGAATTGCTACCATTTAAATTTTTAGAATGCCCATGCAGATTGATTATAATTTGCATGTGATGCTGATTCAGTCACTGACATTTTTTTTATTTATGCATTTTTAAAAATATATATAATACTCTTAATTGATATAAAATTTTTATTAACCCCTCTCACAATATTTTTAATTCTCTAAATAAAATAGTTCTCCATCTGTTAAAAGCATACAACCAGGATATAAGATACAAATAATTGGGTTAAAATCCTAATCAATTTCTTTTGATATAAATATGTTATATATATTAAAACACTCGCTGTAATTCTTTTCCTATTTCTCAGTATGGCTTCTTTATAGATAATTAGGTCTATGATTTAACGAAGAAGTTATAATATAATATTATACCCATATTTTTTTTGACAAAGCAACTCAAGTTAAAAGCAAAATAAATTTGACTAGTTATTATAATTCTTATATTGATATCATATAATATGAAATGATATGCTATATACATTATATATTTTTATTCATCGTTGACAAAGGGGCTATTTTATTAATTAAGACTGAGGTAGGGATATTTTGACTACAATGAAGCCTCTAAAAATAATCATCTCTTTATAATGTCCACTTTATAGTGACGCCCTCTATATAATGACCATTGAATAAACCGCTAAAAGATTTTAATACTGTTAAATTATATATCTATAATTTTTTTTTAGATTGGGCTTGGGTTGGAAAAGGACATTCCCCCAACTTAGAGAGAACGACTTTTACAGATCAAAAAAATGTTATAATCTCACGCTCCCATCCTGGGGAAATAGACTCGAGTATTGCAGCAATCATTGGGCAAGATAATTTTACTGTTGTATCTGCTGGCGGAGCTGGTTTAAATGAATAAATATATTATATATACATATAAATTATTGTTTGGAGAGGATGGGTGTAGGAGGCTATTGATTCTAATGAAGGAACAGGACACATTGTGTGGCCCGCTAATGACTAATCATAAGCATCTGATTTTCTTAAGCGGTCTCTCCCTTTTATAATTTATGAGTATTTTAAGTCAGCTTTTTGTATGACTTTGGCGTGAACATGTTTTTTTATAAAATTTGGCTTTACACTATTATAAAGATTTAAATATTGTTTTTTTAAGAAAATGTTGTTTTATAATTGTTAGCGTCAATGAGCTTTTTCTGGCAATGTGTTATTTTTCCAAGTTAAAATCATTTTTTGAGCACGTTTTTTTAAATTTTGATTTACAGGAAATGTATTTTATCATGTTTGGAATATCTACCCTATAAATGTCAGACAATTTTGCCATAAACTTTTGAACTTAATATAATTTATATTAGTTTCTCCATAGATTTTTTTATATAAATTATAAATGACTCAAAGGTTAACGTCAAAATTATCTTCAATTCATATGATAGGTATTTTAAATATGCTAGAATACATTTCCCTTAATGTCCTATTTTTAAATTTAAAAAAACGCTCTCAAAAAATGATTTGAAGTTGAAAAAATAACATATGACGCTAACATAATGATATTTATTCACTTAAAACAGGTGGGATGGGAATAAAGGGGATTCAATTTAAAGATAACGAATGAGACATTTAATGATATTTAACCAATATCTCATTTCATTATGTAAAGATAATGAATGGGATATATATATATTAATATTTAACATACTATATAAAGTAACTTAAAATGTGATTGGTTGTTTTTGTCATTACTAAGGCCAGATAGTTTAACTTCTGTTGCACCTTGTTTTATAGGTAAATTCTTAATTTGGGACTTCACATGCTTATCTTCATTTCCAAAAAATGTAAATTCTTATCCGGTTTATATAGCCGAGATAAAAAATCTATAGGATCGCCTGTTGGAGGACACGAGGCAATAAGCACCTTTCTTCATTCCACACTTGACATACTCCTTAAACTGGAGGACATCTTTACACTTCTTCCATCACACAAGTCCTTTTTTTTGCTAAAAAATTTCTTTTTTATACCAAGGATTCTCTACGCACTTCGGTCAACACCAATTTTTAAATATCCTATTCCTCTCCAAACTTACGAAAAAGGAATAAAGGACTTAACCGAAAAAATAGTAAATATCAGATTCAACGAAACCGCTTGGGCCCAAGCAACTCTTCCAACCAAATTTGGTGGTCTCGGCATCAGATCTCCACTTGACTTAGCAACAACTACTTTCATATCGAGTAGTCTCTTGACAAAGCCAATAACCACCGCCCATAATTCTAAAGAAGACCTTTCCTTAATCGTGGCTATGGATATTTGGAAAACAAGGATCAATGCCGATTCTCATCCCCCCACAACCCATAAACAGAAAGACTGGGATGCACCATTGGTTGCTCGCTGCGTTGAAAATCTCTTATCTAGCATGCAATCTACCTACCGCACCCTATTCTCTTCCTTGCTCAATGGTACGGGACATGAGTTTCTTGAGGTCATCCCATCTACCAATCTTCAGCTTCAACTATCCAACAATGAATTTACCCATGCCATCGGCATTCGTCTAAATTGTTCCATCACTCACCCCCACATCTGCTCAGGGTGCAACTCGCCAGTTGACTCGAAGGGTAGACATAGTTTACATTGTCGCTCCTGCAATGGACGATTCATCAGACACAAGCAATGTAATACAATCATCCAACATGCTCTGAAATCCGCCCAAATTCCTTCCACGTTAGAACCACAGGGTCTTTTTAGATCTGACGGTAAACGTCCTGATGGGATCTCTCAAATCCCATGGAGGAGAGGCCAACTTTTGGTATGGGACTATTCCTGTATTGACCCCTTGGCCCCATCCAACCACGCCATCAACATCCTTGACCAGAAGGAACAACTTAAAATTTCTAAATACACAGAAATAATAAACGATCATTGCTTCATCCCAATCATATCAACCACTCTTGGCACCTTCGGCAAACTCGCCTTAGCATTTTTCAAAAACTTAGGATCACAAATCAGCAAACTCTCAGAAGAACCTCGAGAGGGTTTTTTTCTTCGTCAACGATTATCCATAGCGATTCACAAAGCTAATTATATCAGTTTCAATGGTAGCCTTCTAGCCAAAGAGCTATCATAGACAACGCTTACGTTCCTTTTTCATTTTTGTTTCCCTGCGTCACACCATCTCCGTTCTTTTTTTTTAATAGTATTATTATATATTTTTCAAACATTTTTTAAATATATTAAAATTTATTATTTTAATATATTCAAAAACAGATTTGTTTATTTAAAATACATAAATTAAAATTTATTTGAATACTAACATTAATAAAATCAACCAATTATATTTTTTTACCGATTGTTTTTGAACATATGTAAAGTGGAACTTTACAATTTTTTTAAAAAATAAGCCGCAAAATAAGAACCCTTACATTAGAACCCAAGGAATTTTATTTTTTATACCAAAAAATTTAAATACTAAAATATAATTTTATTCGTATTTTTTTGAGAACTTGTAGTTCCAATTCCGTTTTTATAAAATAAGCGTTTTTATTATATGATTTATAGTTGGGTAATTACTATATTTTAAGCCAATTTTTAGACAGCTTAAGAAAATCGGTTAACCGAGTATTTAGCCCACAATCACTTTAGCCTCTGGATTTTTCCTACAGTTTAAATTTGAAAAAAACTAATAAAAAATTAAAAGGCCTTATAACATAACGGATTTTCTCTAGCACCTTCCTGTAGCTAGAGCCAAATTCGCCAACATTTAGTTATTACCCAATTATAGTCATTACATTACATTCTAAAAAATACAAATAATTATAAATTACATCTTTTTAAAAGGAACCAGTTGTAGTTACAGTTTTACCAAAAATATAGTTATAATTTAAGAGCGCTAATAAATACTGTATTAACTTTAAAAAATATATAAAATTATAATGCCATCAAAAAAAATTAATTTTAATGATATATTTTTAATTTGATCTTTAATTTTTATTTCGTATTTGTGATTAAAAGTCAATCACAAATTTGACAGTAGCCAAACCATGTGAAATCATCTCTCTCGATAACTTGGACATTTATCAGAACCGAAACTTGAACTCTATTATTTTTATCTAACCTGAACCAAACCGAGATTTCTTATTATTCAGATCCCTAATTCAATCTTCCTTTGGACCCTCTTTTTTTCCATGTCTTAAAAGAAATTTTCGCTTATTTATTTTTGTAGATTAGTCATGCCAACGATTGTTCAATCGCAGCAAGGGAAGGCGAAGATAATATATAAATGTTTATCTAAAGTTTATTCTCAAATACTTGCCCCATTTCTTTTGTCGATCAACTATATGCAATGTCCAAATATGTTAAGCCCAAGTGTTCTTTACAATGGCCCAGATTTGTAAGATGCATATTTCAAATGCAATAAAAATTTCTTTAACTGCAACTGCATCCATCTAAATATAATCAATGGCTAAGTTTACAGTATTCTTTAAAAAATATATATGTATGGATTTTTAAAAAATAAAATATGATTAGAAAATACATGTGATTAGGCATGTGTAAAAAATTTTTGATCAGGTAGGTAAAATATGTTTTTTACTTTTATTTTATCTTATTAGTCTGATTGAACCGCTCGTTTCGGACCTGCAGATATCGGAATTATATTTTAATAATAACTCTTAATAGCTCCTTTTATGTTCTTAAAATATGAAATTACCTCTAAAAAGCACTATATACGAATTGGGAATTATAAAGCTATTAATAGGTACTTCAATTTTGTTAAATAACATATTAAGTTTTTTAAATCATTCATATTACATAGCATTAAAATAATGCGATAGTGATTACCGGGCGGGCGGGTGGGCTGGTTAAGAAAAATATTTAAACAATGGGCGACGGGTTAAAAGATTTACAACTGGTATTTATTATTTAAATCATTTAAGTAAACATTAAAAAAAATATGCTCACTGAAATTTCAACATTTTTAATACCAAAGTACCGATAACTAAGGATGTTGTCGTCGGAAGAAATTAATTAGGTAAAAAATATATCGAAAACATGTTGGATATGATTTGCAAGGAAGAATATAACATCAACATGAATGAAAATTACTTTTTTTAATATATATTATTAATGGTTTCACTTTTTATTTAAATATCTCACTTGAGTAGAGGATACACTTCAAACGGATATATACTTTGATGAAAACGGCAAGAAAAAGATTCATCAAAGCTATCAAAATTAGCTATAAAAATATTAACAATTCCAGCAACCAGTGCTTCTTCTGAACGAGGAATTAGCATTGCTGGAAGGTTTTTAGTATCAATAATTACTAATTTTTTTATGTTTGATATAGCAATTTCATAAATTATTAAATTTTATTGTAGGGATGTAGCGCTGAAATAAATCTTTTTTAATATTAGATGTTAAAAATTGAAAGTATAAATAATGATTGGGTGGTGGTCGGTTAGATAATTATACTGAAGAGCGGGCGGGTATATTTATTTAAAAACTGTTGGGGGCCGGTTTATTTATTAAAATATTGGACAGGCGATTGTGGAAACCTGCCCATTACATACTTCTAATAGTGATAATTGAGTATGTTTTTATTATATAATAAAATAATTTTATTATGTTGAATTGAGAAGTTATTTCATTATCTAATTTATATCTTAAAAGGTGAAAAATATATATTACAATTATACATTATTTAGTGTATAAATTTTCATTTCAATATTTTTTTTTTATATGAATTTTTATTTGGTTGGTAGCATTTCAAGGCAATCGTTTTACATAGGAAACCAAAAATTTTAATAAATTTATATATTTATCAAAAATAGGTTACAAAGTTTTAGAAGTAGTCAGTGGTAGGGCCGATATATACTTACACACAACCTATATCAAAAAATGGGATATTTGTGCCGGAAACGCCATCCTAAACGCTCTCGGGGGTTCAATGGTTGATTTGAAAGGTCGCGAAATACAATACGGTGATCAAAATGATTATATATTGAAAGATGGATTAAAAGCTACTCGATCTTAATTTTATTTTTTAAATGTAAACAAATCATATACTGCTTCGTGTTTCAGGGAAAATAGATTTGTATAAATAATAATTAGTATTATATATATATATAATTATGATTATATAATGTTGAAAAATAATATATATCGGGAATAAAATTGGGTAAAATTGTTGGATTGCTTTTAAAATATTTTTATTTTATGGGGCAAAAAAAATGGAGTTTACACGCTTATTAAACACATTTTAAATGTGTTTAACTTTTGCTCAAAAATAAAAGTCTTACTTAGTTGTGGTTAGCGTCAATGTGTTTTTTCCGGTAATGAATTATATCGAAAATATCTATCATGTTTGGAATACCTACTTTATAAATTTCAGACAATTGCCGTGAACTTTTGAACTTAATATAATTTATATTAGTTTTTTCATAGATTTTTTTATAAAAATTATAAATGACTCAAAGGTTAACGGCAAAATTGTCTACAATTTATAAGATAGGTATTCTAAACATGCTAAAATATATTTCCGGTAAAATTGTAATTCTAAATTTAAAAAAACGCGCTCAAAATAATGATTTAATAGTTGAAAAAAATAACACATTGCCGCTAACAAATATATTTAATTTATTTATTAAACTAAAAAAAAAATATTTTTTTAATAAAATTAATTCCATTAAAAAATTATTTATAAATGATGCCTTTTTTGATCTCTAAAGATTTTTTGGGGAATGCTCAAAGAGTATCTTTAAAATTCAGAATCTTTCTTGCAAAAAATATTCTATAAGAAAAATTTTCAATTTTATGATCTTTGAAAAATGTTTTTCTCAAAATGTTGGGAAAAAATTAATATCTTTAGAGATTTTTCAAACTCTGTTATATATATAAGAAATAATTATATAAACAACATTTATGTTGTTTTTTATTTGTAGAAAGCAGCCTTGTATCTAATATCAAAAAATGTCTTAATTTTTTTTTCTTTAATAATTTTGTAAGAAAAATAATTCAGTAAATAATGTTAAATTAAGCTAGAAAGAAAGAATATCTCATTAGCCAATTTGGCAGTTTTCGTAAATCTCACTTTAAATTTAAGCTAGGAAAAATATTTCCCCTTGCAACTTCTCCCACCCCATTCTCTTAAAAAATGAGTATAATATGTCATAAATAATTATTTTTAAAAAAAATGTATACCAACTTGCAAGATTCTACTTTCCATTCATAAAAATATAAGTAAAATAAAATGGGCTACGAAATTCCCAAAGTGTAATCACCTGGGGTTGAATGACTTGGAAACTTGTTTGGGGATGATGCTTTATTGATTGCATTTTAAAATATTGAAACTACTAATAAAGGATTAGCCCCGTACCATTTATCAAAATCCACAAAAAATAGTAAAGAATACCGGAATTAAAATGGTCATTATTATGCTTGGACCTTAATCAAATCTGATTATGATCCAACACTCTAGGAAATAATTTTTAATCATATGACCTGTCAAATTGGATAATTTATTAACAATCATTAAATTTTATTAAAAACTTAACCCCATAACTCTCAAATCTTTAGTTAACCCTAACCCATTTTCTTACCTAATCCTACTTACTTGTATAACTTTATATTTATTTCATCCAATTAAAAAAAATGGGTTATTATCATATCCAAACTATAGTAGAGCTAGAGATGTATAGAGGGAGGGTTATGAAATCGTTTGTATAAAGCGTATTTGAAAATATATATTTAAAAGATATCGCAACTTGCTAACAGTTAATTATATTCCAATTATAATAAATAACTCCTGCCGTTCAAGGATATTTTAACATAACTTAATTATAAACTATGAAAGTTTTTAAGTAAACGGCTTGAATCAGCCTAAATTACGATTTTAGGCAAAGTATTCCATAAGTCAATAGATATCCAAATCTTCTGCCATTCATGTGCAAAATATCTAGTATTGCGCAATTTTTTTTGGCTAAAATATTGAGTTAGACGTTTTCAAAAAATCGAGCTTCTTAACACTAGTTTTAACTTTATAAATTTATTTTGGAGTCTTCTTCGAGTGCCAAATTTCACTTTTTAATCTTGCTATAATTTAAACATGGCCATAGGAAAATAATGTTTTAAAGAAATACATGCATCCTCTTTGTCGGATTTATGTGGCATAATATGGAATGTGATATAGAAAATTTTAATTTCAGGAATATCATAAATAAAATCGTAGTACTTCAAAATGTAACCTAACATTAGTTTTATTACAAATAAAAAATTTAATTCCCATGTATTTGGTAAACTGTAACCATTTTTATTATAATTATTTGGTTTTTATAAAAAGGTGGATTCCTTTATTAGTCCAAGAAAATAATTTAAATTATGCAATAAAAATTTTGAAATGTTAAAATTTATATTATGGTTGGTAATTAGGCTCTGTGCAGATACTTATGATATAGTTGATTGTTTATTTAAGGTTGTATTTTTATTTCACTGTTCAGTATCTTTGTCCGACGTATACCTTATCATAGGCGTACATGATTTTTCTGGATGAGGGGTACTATTAGATGTGGTTTCCCCTATAAATTTTATTCAAGGTCTTTAGGTTCACTTGTTGCAAACTTTTGGCTTTATTAAATTTTTATAAAAATAATTTTAAGTCACTATTTTTTTATAAAAATGCTTTTTTCCTAAAAATTTTTAATTATCGTCCTTATTTTAAAAAGTTATAAACTTTTATACTTTTTTCTTATAATGATGATATATTATATATTTTTTTTAAGGGAGCTGGGGTTTGGAGATGTGTGAGGGGGAATTTTCTACTGGCTTAAAATGATATTTACTAGAACAGACAAATTTTTGAATGGGGGATTTACCTTCCCTCCCTGCTGCGCCTATGCTTTATACTATGAGTTACATGGTATAAGATATACCGATCGTTGAAGATAATTTTTTTTTGTCTAAGGTATTATGGAAGAAAAAATGCCGAATTTTTGTGTGGATATTAAAACTGTTTTTAAATAATTATTTTCCTAACTTATCAGTTATATATTTTACAATACGATTTTAGGTTCTTTTATAATTTACCATTAAAATTAGACATAGATTATGGTTTTTAAATTAATAAATTTTTCCATATAGTTTTACATTTTTATAGCAACTGATATTGATAAATCTCAGAGTCTGTTTAAGTATTTAGTTTAGTTTTAAAAAAATCATTATTTTAGCAAAATTTGACCTTTATGAAATAGCCCCCCCCCCATCCTTCCCCGGGTTTTTCTATTTCCAACCCTGGTTTTTTAAACAACTTTTTGTTCTGGCATGACACAGAAATAAAAAAAATTGTTTTTAAAACCCTTACTCACAGTGTTAGCATGTCTCTAAATTATAAATTTTCATTAGATAACATATTTTTTGAAGGTCATTTTTTATCCACGTCATTAAAAACTCAATGCGATAACGATAACAGTTATGAAGGTATTTATTTTATGTCATTATATAAAACGTTATTTTCTTCTATATTTTAACACAAGAGAAAAATAATTATCACGATCATATATTATTTTTAGTATTATATTTTCTAAAGAGAGAAAAGGGGGGGGGGGGGGGGTTTGGCTCTGGTGTTCATCATTATCATTTTTATTATCAATATAATTTTTTATAAAACATTTTTTTAATTTTAATCTATATTAATGTATTTTTTATATATAATCATTAATTATTAAAGCATTTAGGTTGGTGGCATTTAAAACTGTAAGAAAGTAGTTTATAAAGAAATCTGCCAAAAATTATGTATGAGTGTTTATAATAAAGTATGTTATTTAAAAAAACTATTACCAAAGAAATTTACAGAATTTTAAATGTGTCGGAGAGGCCTATATGTATGTCAGGGACCTAAGCCGTGGTCTATAGGATACAGTCTCTGTTCAGGGGCGAAAAATTATATAAGTTCGGTTACGTTTCAACTGCTTAAAATTTAAAAGGTTCCGTTTTAGGTTGGTTATGGTTTTAGAACAAATGTAAAGTTATTTGGGGGATTTTGATAAAATTGATTTTATCGAGAAAATATACCATATACTAGAGTTGTTACTTGTATCTACATAAAAAAATGTGGTATCGGTATCTAGATACTATTTTAAAGGTATCTATCTATTTGTTAGTTAATTTTTATATATAATTTAATTTAATTTTTATAATATTAGAAATAATAACATTTGAATTAAATTCATTAAATGTTATGTCCGAGTTTATTTTATTATAAAAACAAACCAGACAAATTTTATTTTTAATCGATGATGACAATATGTTAAATTTAAAAATTAATCGTACCTAAGAATTTTCTACGGAGAAAAGGGGGGTGTGGGAGGGGGGTAATTTTTTTTATATTGAAATAGCTTTTTTTTGGAGCATTAAAAATTTATTAAAACTAATTATCATATAAAATTTAGGGCCTATTTTTTAATAATTAGATTAGATCTCGGTGAGTAAAGCTAAGTCATTTAATCAATTTTAAGATGTCGTACTTATGATATAGGTTGAAGAAAAGGTCCTCTCGTTTGTATTTGTACTAATTGGATCATTGCCAAAATATACAGTAAATTTAATATACTTGGAAAACTAAAAAAATATATTATAAAGTATGCAATGCTTCCATTATATTTCTTGGACGATTATCTATAAAAAATGAACCTTTCATACCATTTAAATTCTGAAATTAATTGGCATTCAGTAACATTATTATCCTATAAAATATAAATTAGCTAAATATTTAATTTTTAAACATTAAAATATGATATATTCTCAGATTAGAGGAAGTTATAAGATATAGTATGTTTATATTAAATAGAGCCATTTGTTAAATTACAAATTAAAGTCAAAATTAAATCCAAAAGTGGAATATAATAGGCTATTTTATAGTAATCCTCATTTTTTATCTGTGAAAGTCGGGGCTTATAATCTCAAATCATAAAATTTGGCGTTCACCTCAATAATCACATAAATCATGATAAATTCTTTCTTAGTCAATATTATTTCTTCGTTTATAAGTTGTAATTTGTAATATAATATCGCGATTCTGATAACTTCGGCCAAATCTATTTTATTGCACAAAATCGTGTTGTACAAATAATTTATCAATACATTCCAGTCAAAAAAAATAGACAGTCTTATTAAATCTAATAATGCATTAACTTCAGGCGAATCTGTTATCAAGGGGATACCAATTAGGTTCTTCTCGATCCAAAATATGCTGTAACCGCTTGATGTCGAAGGCTTCATCTTGTTTTGCAGGCTTTTTGCAGTTTATTTTTTCCTGTAGTACGAGAAGTCTCAGAAATAATTATATTATTTCATAGACTCTATAAATTTTATTATATTCATTAGAATAGATAAATTAAATAGAATATTTATTTGGTTGATAAAACTTTTTATTCATTAATTTAAGGTTTAAAAAATGTAATAAGTGAGATAAAATATTAATACTAGTATACAAGAAATATATATTTAAATTAATTTTAACTTTTTGTTAATATTTAGAATAGAATATAACCTAAAAATAGAATACTTCACAATTCATGAGGATCTTTATATCTTTTCAAAGGGGAAAGGGGGATTTCTTCCCCACTCCCACTGGCTACGAGCCTGATCTATTAAAGTTTCCAACTGATTGTAAACAAATATCCTGTGAAAAATAATCAAATCATTTTTGTATCAAGATTTTTTTCAGAACTACTTAGGGAATATGAATACATCAAATTTTGAATAATTTTTTTTTTAAATCAACGGGATTTTACTTTATTAAAAAATTATCCCAAAATAAAATTCCACTCTATCAACAAGTGCCCTTTTGAATGACTTTTTAGTGTGTCTAAAAATGTATACTTGAACGTAGGTGCTTTAATGACAAAAATCTTGAGAAAGTTTTATTATTAAAATCTATCAATCATTACTAAATCATAGAATTATATATCAAACTTAATATCAATATGAATATTTATATTCATATGTTAAAATGTAACAATTATTGTTTACGAGTAGAAAGCCCACCAAGAATGACGGGTAAATCAAAATTATTCCTTTATTTGATGGAGGAAGAATTAAAAATAAATTTCCCCTTCTTATAATTATCATTTATACGTAAGAAGACTTGACAGATATCGATTTAACACACTCGTATTTGTAGTCATATATAAAGGGGAAAAAATATTAAAAATTTTACCAAAAAAGTATATGCATCAGTCCCAAACTGAGAAAGATGTAGAATTTTCAAACACTAGTCTGTTATATCTATATTCTGAGATAATTTCTTTAATAATAATTTTAAAAAGTATAAAATTTTCATGATAGAATAATTTAATTTGCACTACCCGGCCCGGCCCGAATTTAAAATTTTTTTTAGCCTTGCCCGTCTCGGATTTTTTTAGGGCCCGCCAAGGGTTTTATGTTTTCAATCCTGACCCAACTCAGATTTTTTTTTAAATAAAGGTTTTCAGGCATGACCCGTATTTTTTTAAAATATTATCATAGATAATGACAATTTAAAATATTTGGCGGTCCGGGTATATTTAAAAATTAAAATAAGGCCAGATACCTGTATCCGGGCAGGGCTTAGGGCCGGGCTTGCAGGTCTTTAATATATAGCTACATATTTTATTTTCAGTTTGTTGACTAAAATATACATTAATCCCATACAAGTATCAAATCTTATATAATTATATATATATTATAACTTTGTTATAGTGTATATTATAAACTCAATAAAATAAATTCCTGTTTTTATCTAAGGACTAATTCGATATAAATATCACAAAAATTTTAAAACCCGAAAAAAACGATTATAAAATTTTTTAAAACCATAACCTAGCCAGAACCAGCGGAACCTTACCTTCTTATTTTTTTCTCTCCTGAACCCTAACTTATAGAAAACGTTTGGGTTCCCTGATTTATGGGGTAAAAACATAAATATTTGTTTGAAGTTCTTTTAAAAAGCCCAATCCGGGTTTATTTTTAAAAAAGGGCCGATTAGAGATTTTAACCAAAATAATATTATGTAAGCCTCGAGATTTGGCTAATAGATGTCCAAATCTTTCATCCATCTATGAGCGAAATCTCCAAGCTGACATAATACTATTTTGGTTAGCATCTATGGGGTCATTTTTTCAAAATCAACACGAATCGGGCTTTTTAGCAACACCACTTGTTTGCCTAAAAATGCAATTTACAAGATGATTTTTCGAACTTTATAGAGTTTCTAATTAGAAATATTATTATGCTAAATTAAGCTACTTGGTAGTAAACCTAGAGTTGTAAACAAAAAAATAATTGTTAAGTAATAGTAAATTTAATTTTATATCAACTTTTTTTATTGGCTAAATTAATTTATGAGCTTTTTTCTTCCTTATATATATATTTTTTTTTCCAAGGAGTAGGTCGAGTTTAGCCAGGCATAATACTTTCGGAAAACCAATAAAAACTGAGATTTCATAATAAATATTTTATCTTGCATTTAAATCTATTTAGCGGAAATTCTTATAACAGGAACTTGATCGAAACCTATTTTCCAAAAGGAGTCTGAACCCGAACCTGGTTCATAGTTTACCGAGTTTGAGGGGTTGTTCGTAAACCAGTCTCTGTTTGGTCTGGGATTTCGAAATGTCCAACCAAGCAATTCTAAATACCTGAACCATATTTAGATTCAAATCCCCGGTCTTGAGGCTTCTCAAATTCTATATTTTTTTTACAGATTTTTCAAAAAGTAGTCGAAAATTTAAATAAACTCGTGCTCAAAAATATTTAAAGGAAAAGTAGCTAAATAATTCTATTTTTACAAAAGGCGTTGTTGTTAAATGGCTCGATTTCGCTAAAATTTATATTAAGATTTTAGCTAAAATAATTTTATGCATGCCCCGAGATTTCTTTAACAGATGACCATATCTTTCTGCTGTTTATGATCACGAAATCTCCAGGCTTACGTTATATTTTTTGGCGAAAATATTGGGATAGCCGTTTATAAAAATAGAGCCGTTTAACAACATTAATCAGTTTATTTAGAATATAATTTAAATGCTTCGCCGCATATTCGTGGAACCGTGAATGCAGGGTTATGGAGAAAATATAGTTACCACAATATTCATATTTAGTTATATTATTTTGAGGTTTGAGTTACATTAATTATTGGATTTAATTTTTTTTAAAAAAGGAGCATATAAATTACATTTTACAATTTTATACCAATCGAAAAAAATATATAATGATCTAAATGAAGAAACAAGTTAAAAAAAATTTACATTATTTTAAAATTCTTTATTATTTTTTATACTGCGAGAAAATTTTTTTTTTATAAAAAACAATTTATTCATGATCGCGTTCTATTTAATAAATACGTTTATTTACACACCAACATAAATAAAATAATAATATGAATATGACCAGAAAGATTAAAATTTTTTAAAAAAATATAAATTTGTGATAAATAATATAATTTTTATGGGGTAAGATGAGGGAAAAAAATAGATTTTAAAATTTAACAACCACTATGATTGTCTCATTGGCTCCTTATATTAGGACCTACTTGAGTGAAAAAAATGAACAAATTCTTGGTTCCCACCAACGACAAGTTGCATAGACTCAACCTGCCTAGTATGTCATTTGTTCTCAAAAACTTTAGAATGTTTAAAATTTATTTTATTCAATATTAAAAATGACAATAAGATAAATTTTGATATTTAATATTTAAATATATAATATTTATGTTAAAAAAATTAAACATTTGTTTATGTACGATAATAATAATTCCAAATTTAAAAAAGTGATGATATATAAGCGTAAAACGAGAAGAAAAGGGAAAGAAGAGTAAGTCTAGCAAAGTTCTTTGGAGAGAGGACTGTCATTAAGGCTCATATAATTCGCTCTAAGGATAATTAGCCTCTGTCTGAGGAAGACTTGAGGATCACCAGTAAGTTTGCAGATGTGAGATCCAAAATCTTAGAAGGACGCAAAGGAAGTAAAGGTTGTGGATATTACTATAAAGATATGATCTTCATTTTAAGCTGTTCCTTTTGCTCGAGTAGTTAAGCTAATGGATCTATACTAGAATGGTCCCTAACCAGAAATTGGGCCCATTACCATGGGATCTTGGTGATTCCTTCAGAAAATTTTCCATCGGATCTAAAAAGTCCTGTTGGATCAAATATTGCGGTATATGAACCGTTTTAAAGCTCGCTGGATCAAGAATTGCATTAGTTATGGCCAATTCGGCTGTTAAATATTATAAGGATTATGTAATGCTCATTATAGTAAAATGAGTTTAAAAAAATTGTGATTTCATCTAGAAAGATTTTAATGCATAGGGCAAAATATTTATTTATGATTAAGCCCAAAATATTTTTTAAAACTTCAAATTGTTTTAAAACTTTCAGAAGTTTTAAAATTTTAATGAATTATATTTTGTACTAATATTTAAAAAAGCTTATATATATTTTTTTTAAATTTCAAATGTGAATCGTATTTTTTGATAATTTTTTAAAAAAGATCTTTTGGTATTTAAAATTTGTTCAAAATATTTTCTTCTTTAAAACAAACTGAAAATAAACAAATTGACACTTATTTATAATAAAAATTATTTTCAAATATAATTTTATTGACATATTTGCCTTTTGAGGGCTGGCCAAAACCTTAGGTCAATCTTATATTTTAATAATCATTTAATTACCCATAATGAGATTACATAGTTTTTTATAAATACGTGTTAAGGAATAACAACTTTTTCTTCCTTTTGTTATATAATTACATTTTTTTTGAAAATTTAGACAGCTGAAAAAAAATATATTTATTCTTATTTTTTATTATTGAATAAAAAATCAATACTTTGTTTTTATAATAGTAGAATAATTATAATTTTTATTATAAAAATATTTAAGCGACATTTAATGCTAAAAATTAATTTTGGCCATTCATCAATTTTTCAATGGTGTGATTTTTTTTTCCTCTTATTATTATTATCACCATGATATATTCAGGTAAATAAAAATGTAAGTTATCTTTTTCAAATTATTTTGTAGAAAAAACATTTTTTTCACGATAAATAATTACGTGATTTATTAAAAATCGTATTTAGTTTGGAATAAAACAAAATTTTACTTTTTTTTTTCAAGCGACATAAAATTTAAAACGTTAATACCAAAAAATATGACGGTGACTGGACCCAAATAAAGAAATTTAAAATTCGTCCGGACTGGACAGGCGCTTTTTCTTCCGCTTTTATACGTTGTGAATTATTTTGGAATAAAAAAATGATTTTTAAATAGAAGTCTGTTTTGATTTAAAATTCACCCGCCCATCACCGGGTCATTGTTTTAAAAATACTTTTTCAACTGCCCGCACACCCGCCGAATATTTAAAATCTTTTAAACATCCGCCCATAAACTAAATACCCGCCCATTGCAGACCTCGATATTGTTTAATGGATAACTCGTTTGAAACGCGTCTCGTCCGAGATGTATTCACTTTTGGAGTTTGATCTTTCTAGACTCTACACCCTAAAGTAAAACGATAAATGTAGGAAATTGTTATAAAAACGAAAACTTTTTAAATCGTATATTCTTGTTACTTAGTTTTTATACAAATTTCTATTTATAAGCCATTCATTTCATGGCATATAGGTTATTATGTAATGGACATATAATTTAAAATAATTTATTTTGTAGTATAATAATTATACAAAGAATTAGTGCTATTACTACGGTACGGATAAATAAGCAAAATAGAATGTTGTAAATAGTTTATTTGTTATACTCTTTTGCGAAGATTCTATAAGGGGCTGGGAGGGAGGGGTATGTCCCACTTTGTATTTACATCTATATACTAAAAATATATTGTGATGCCATAATATTTGTAACCACAACAAAGATATAAAACATTAACTCAACCAAGTGAATAAAAAAAATACCTCCATTCCTCTATCCCCACCTTTTCCCCAAAAAATGTATAGAATTATGTCATCATAAATAATTTATATTTATAATATTTATTAGAGATTTACCAAATAGGCCTGAATCTAATAACTTTAAAAATATCGGGCCGGGTCGGGCTTAAATATTGAAATAATTATAGATATATTTTAAAATATTAGCAAGAAACAAGACTCCAATATTTTTTATTTGTTTGTAGAATGATCATATACTCATAAATTCTGGCCGGGTCGGATGGACAAATAATTTTTAGTTTTATTTTGGGTGAACTTTTCGGGACAAATAAAATAAATCATTCGGGATTGCGCTGGGCAGGTTAGGCTTGATACTCAGCATAGGTCACTCTACTATTTATTATAATATTACCAAAAAATAAAAAAATGAAAGGCGTGTATAACCCCAATTATTTTAAATAAAGCCTGCATAAAACCATCCAATAAAATTTATTGAGTTAGGGTAATTAGAATATTTGCTTTAAAAAAAAATTGATCTAAATACGAAATGGTTGTGACGTGACAATCAATTTGGATTCATATGAGGATCAACAATTGAATGTTATTAGGTTGATGCTAAAGGATTTGAAGAGCAGAAGTGGAAGTACTAAAGTCCTAAAATTAGCCGAGCTGGGTGGCTAGTAAAAATAAGTATAAGAATTTTAATTTAGAGACAAAAAAATATGGACATATTTATAATAAAATAAATTTAAAGTAAAAGGAATAAATCAAAACTTAATAATTTCTCTAAACTAATTTTAAGTCATAATATTATCCTTTGATTTAATTATAATTTTTGGAAATTTGTGTTTAATTATATTTTAAACAAATTTAATCAACTACTAATGACGATATTACTTATTTCATAACACTATTTTATTTTTTTCAAAAATTTGGGAGAAACCTTTGAAACCGAATTGAACTTTGTAATATTTTTTTTAAAAAGTAAACCAGCCATAACATAACCTTTATAATATTTGCACCTGAATTGTGACCTTATAATTTTTTCTCCTAAATTATAATCTTTATAATAGAAACCTGCTTAGGTGTTTTTAAGTTATTGTAGATTTTGCAAACCACTATTACATTCTTCTAAATCAACTCCCACCCATTGTATTTTCGTAACTCTTAAATCAAAACCTTTAAACTTTAAACTGGGCATAAGATGACCTTGTATAACAGAAATTTCCATTTTCTGACTAATTTTTAAGATTTTACTTAGTCATGTCTTATCCGCCAAATTTATTTAGGTTTTAATTAATAACTAAATATCTAAAATCCGAAATAGGTTAAAGATGACCTTTTTTTCTACCCTTAACCCTTGATATTCCGGATAATATAAAAAGTTAGCAAATTAAAAATTTCGTTTTTGATAAAACTATCATATTTAATCTTCATATACTAATTTTTATCGGAATTAAAACATGAGGCTACCCATAATTTGTACTGTAGGTCTTCAGTTACACTTGTTTTAACAGGGCCGAGAACCCTCCTTCAAAAAAATGGGTCCCAGGTTCCAGAAAAATAAAGACTTATAAAATTAGTTATAATAACAGAAACATCAGTCTTTGTAAAAATTTATTGTATTATATTCAATATTCATTCACCTTTATAATACAATACAACTTAAAAAATAATATTTATTTGTATTTAAAAAAATATTTTAAGCGAATTATCATGATATCCTCCAAAATATTATTAATGATAAAATAAATAATAAAAAATAATTCTTTAATCCTAGAGCCTAAATGTAAAAAAAGGGTTCCAGTTTAGGTCTGGGTTCAGCAAAATCTTGAGAATTAGGATTCGGATTCATTTGGCTATGTTATACATTTAAAATAAATTTGGTTTCATTTTTTTTATTATAAAATGCCTTCTCTCTAAAAATTTCTAAATATAATCGTTATTTAAAAAAAAAATGTTAACTTCTACTTATTTTTCATTCAGATTTTTGTTTATAGTGATATATTGCATATATTTTTAGGGGAGATGGGGGGAGGGGGGGAGGTGTATGTATATTAGAGGAATTTTTATTAGCTTAGAATGATATTGATAGATGCTGATCCATATTTAGATACTAACAATTTTTGATGTATAAGAAAATATATATTCCTAATTAACTGGAGGCAGCGCTTTCTAAACTTTCATGAATCACGATTTAGCCCCTATCTCTTAATAAAAATTACACTTCCTTACCCCCAAATAATGATTTTAAATTTTTTTTAGCCGGGGTAAAAGAAATTGACATTGGATGGACGGGCAGACTTGTTAAAAAATATTTTTACAACCTCGTGCAGGTGAATATTTTAAGGGGGGGGGGGCATACATTTTATAAAAAATATTTTTTTTTATTCATAATATTGCATATTTTATAAGTTTAAGTCTAAGAACTTTTCTAATAAACAGGGATAATCCATCCAACTTAAACCCTTGATGATGATTTATTTTAAACACACAAGAATTTTTATAGTAATAAAAAAATAATGATTTTTTTTTATTTTTACTCTAAGTTGGGTGGATAATAAATTAAAAAACCAATATATAAAGCAATACCGATATAAAGCAATACCAATAACAATACAATGTAGGAAAAATAGTGGCACAGACAAGAGGGATTTGGTGGGTTGAAACCCCATCCCTATCTATAAATAGGATTAGGTAAATTTTTTCAAAATTATTCTAAAATTCGAATCGAATACAAATAAGGTAAATATATTATTCGATAAATTTATCGTATATGTTCGATATTATTCGTAAATATTCGAAACTTTTAGTAAATATTAAAATTATTCATAAATATTTAACATGTTCCTCAAGGAATATATTATTTTTTTAACTTTATTTCTACATCTATAAATCACTTTTTAAATTTTAATAATCTAAATTATTTGAGCAAAAATCTTTGAAGATTTTTTTAAAAAAGAAAAATTTTTGACCAAATTTTACCATCAATTCTAAACATGTTTAATAAAAAAAAATTTATAAGTAAACCTTTATAATTTTCATAAATAAGAAATTTCTCAAAATCAAATTTTTTTAAAAAAAATATTCCAAAGATTCATTTTAAAAATTTTAAGATATTTTTATACTTTTATACTCTGATATCATTATTTTAGAAAATATTTTTAAAGAATTTAATTTTGGAACTGAGTCGAATATTCTACGAATCAAATCGAATAATATATTCCGAATATTCGATTCGATTCGTATTTTTTAGATATATTTAGAAGTAATTTTAAACGCGATTTAAAATCTTATATTTAAGATTTAGCTTAACGGATTGAAGCACTACTAAATCGCGCGAATTATTGATATTTATATTTTTTTCCCCAACTTTTAACAATTCTTTAATAAAATACTAAAATTTCATTAAAATGACTTGATCCCGTTTTGGCGTTATTAAAATTTCAAAACTCTACATTTTTCCTGAGCCACCATTAGGATAATTAATTTAAGAATATAATTTATAGTTAAATAATTGTAAAACAAGAATAGTCCGTTTTATTGATTTTTTGAGTAGTCGGAAAATTTATTTGATTTGTCTGTAGCTTTAAAAAAAGGATAAAACAAAGCATCGTAAGGATTCACAGCTTTCCCATCGGATAGACAAAGATTTGATTCTTCTTGGGGTTTCATGTTCATATTATAATGCCTCATAATTATTCCCCATTTCCTAAAAAAATTCCAAGTTTGTTAGCCACCCGTCTTTAATCAAATATTATATTTAATCCTAGCCAACTTTCCAAATTCATAATCCAACGATACTAGACTGGCTATAAATTGGGTAAATGAAGACCTTAATATGTATGATTAAAGCCATTAAAGCATTTTATGAAATCTGATACTGCTGTGATTTAAACATTACCTCATTGCTTTGGTGTGTAGCGAGTAGAGATACGTGACAAAAGCTATTTTTTGCAAAAATATTCAGAAAACGAATAAAATTTATAAGAATGAGTTATACAGGAATGAAATCTTCAATCAAACATATATATGCAAAAATACAGCATATAAGAATTAAGTAGACTTTATTTGAGCTTTTGAAAGCATCGATTCATCAAATAATCCGGGAATTATTTTCAGTTTACCCAAATAAACCATATATTAATTCAAAAATCTGCAACAGAAGTTTTCCACCTGCGGGTTTGAAAAATATTTCAGCCTAATTAAAAATGATGGCTTTCTTCCCCAGATTACCATTCTATTGTAAGTTTCTGTGTTTTTATCTTTTGCCAATACACTCACTCACCCAACTAGTGTTGTTTAACTGCTCGATATGAGCCGATTTTTAAAAAACGGCTCACTCAATATTTTAGCCCGGAAAATATTGTTTTAAGCCTCGAGATTTCGTTAATGGATGTTCAAACCGTTATGCCACCTATGAGAAAAATCTTAACGCTTGCATAATATTTTTCATAATAAAATATTAAGTTAGCCGATTTTAAAACAACACTAATCCCAGCTCATTTTATATATTAATATTTTTACATCTCAAAGAAATATTTATTTTTGTTTAAGTTATTAGAAAGCTTATTTATCGTTACATTCTTCAAATCATCAACATGAATTTTGAATTTAAC